TTATTGAATACTTTACCCAAAGACTTCAAAAGTTCGCGTTTTAAACTGTTAAAAGCTTTTTAATTACCTTCGTTATTGTTTTGTTTTAGTTAACTTAGCTGATCATTTAAATAAAGCTTGACAGTTAAACGCTACGCAGCTACGAGCATGTCTACGCCATGCTACGATGGATATTTATATAACTCGTTGATCGCAGCAAAATGACGAATTTACTTTATAACATATGTTTTATAAATAAAATTTAATTTAAAAGTAAGTTTTAGAAAAAAAAACCGTTAACCGGTTTAAAAAAATGTTTTAAAATTGTATTGTATATTAGTTTTGGTGTACAAAATGAATAAAAAAAATGCTTGTCATAAAAAAAGAAGTACGGACAGCTTCGCTTGGTGGATGGAGTGAAATACCTAGTAATACCTAGTACATAAAACATCCCCATCAGGTAAAAAATCAATTGTTTCGGTCGGCCAGGGCACAGAAGTCAACTTGCCTAACGATCTTGATTATTTAAAAGACACAAAATGTGTTCCCCTGAAGATCGGATTTTTAGAAAGCTTAGGCTAAGTTACGAGCCAGGTTAGCAACTGTGTTTACACGGGTCGTGGCAGTGAAGCACTAACGTAGTCAACTCATTTTGTATGCAAGACTCGAATTTATTCGCACAACGCTAATGCGGATAACCTGTTATCTCTTAAACTATGTTTTATAAAATTACTTAACCCGTACTTACGTAAAGTAACGTACAATATTTACCTTTCTTTCTTCCAAATAATATTACATTTACTCTGTGTCACAATGTTAAATACTTATACTCTGCGTCTGCGAAACGAATTCTTAACAGATGTTTTTTACATATCCTTTATTTGTTTATTATCAAACTTGTGATACCTCAAGATTAAAAATGTATATTTCCAAATTAACAATAAAGTCGTATTTGAAACCGTTGAAAGTGTTTTAATATTTTTTTAGCTCTAATAACGGTTACAGGTAGCATGCTAAAATATTTAAGAATTATGAAGTTGTATTTTTATTTTAACAATAAGTATTAAGAAAAAATGCATATTTTACTATAAGAGTACTTGAAATTAGTGGAAAAGTTTAAATTTGTCTACTTAATTATGTTTTGTTTTTTTTTATGTTTAGTAATAAGTGTAACATGTGTTTTTCTGTGCCCTAGTAGTAAATAAATTTTTCTTTCTTTCTTTCTAATCAATTTTATTCATTAGAGCTTTTTATTTATTACAAAATATAATTTTATTCCGGAGTTTTCGCGAGTAGTACATATTAAAAAAAAACTCTTTAACGGTTTAAAACGCGATATATATTAGTTAACTTATTTAAAAAAACATATTTTTCACTACGGTCCGACCTTTCGGATGTGTGGCAGCAGCCGTGGTCACGGGGAAACCGAAGGGTTTTATTTAAATCAAACCATATGTTTCTTATCTTCACACCTTTGTCATCTATAGGTCAGAGCTGATCCAAACATCATGTTTCCTTATGGATAAGCGTTGATTAGGTCTTAAAATGGCGCTTTGTACATTCGTCTCCTTGTGACGCGCATTCGACCCGCATTTTGTGTAATCGCTGTCGCGTGTTATGCTCGCGTGCCGAAGCGGACGCCTGCGTGCGACACTGTGTTTGTGATTCCTAAAAAAACTTATTAAAACCCCACGAAGTAATATTCGTTCGGACATTCAATATTGGTAAGGTAAAGGGCTAAGCTTTCCTTTGAATACACAATAATCTTTGTTTAGAAGTATCTGCTGTTCACACGAATACAGATTAAATATAACGCTTTAAGAACTTTATTGTTTCTCACGTATTGCACACGATGGCATTATATAATTGAAAAATCGAAAATAAATTGAAAAAAATTTCGACTCGGGCAATACTTGAACTGGCATCGTCAGCGTTCCGTGCTGTTTCTCACCTTAATACACGTGTGTTAAGGTTGAAATTCCATTGCGCAAGAGGTGCATGTGTCAATGACTTGAAATAATGGACGATGAGGCGTGGAACTCGGTAGCTTAATTGGTAGAGCAACAGCACTGAACGCTGACGATGCCGGTTCAAGTCCTGTCCGAGTAGAAAAATTTTCAATTTATTTTTGATTTTTAAATAATAACGCTTTAGTTAAAAATAGCAAAAGACGAAGATTTCAACGATATTAATTGTGAAATAAATTCTATTTTGTTTGCCTGCTGAACTGCTCAAAAGAACTTAACTAAAGATGGCGTCGCCAAGGTCATACTCAGATGTGCTACACTAGCGCCATCTGTGTCCTATAAATATATATAAACAAAGATATTCTGCGTTTTAAAACGTTACAAATATTAACAAATACGTATTACGTTACTTTTTTTTATCATCAAACATAACTATGACTTTAAATTGTGTAAGTTTTATATAGAACACTGTTCTTGAATTAGTTTGTATAGACTAAAATAGAAGTAAGAGTATAGATGTTTTCTCTTACAAACGTTTGAAAGAAAGCAGAGATATACTACAATTTAATTACACATTTTCGACAAATAATGCCAGCAATGTGCTGCAGCAAAGTGACGATCGGCACGTGAGAAACAATTTTTCAATCAGTTAAAAAACTGGTTTTCAATCCTTACTTTTATTTTTTAAGATTAATCGTACGCTTATAGCCCAAGCAATAAATGGTAAATAAACGAATCGAGAAAATAAATCAATGATGACGTGCGGGATACAGTAGCTCAGCGGTAGAACCACCGCGTGTTACACTGTGTGTGTACACTTTCTCATGTTAGAATATGTACAGCACGGCATCAGTACATCTTTACTGTATGTTATAGTGACCATATCTTAAATGTTGGGGTAGAGAAAATGTTATTTGTATTACTTGCACTTTTTTTATTCTACGGAGTTTCTCACACTTTACGTCATAACATACTATACACATAACTGAGAAATTGTACAAGAACTCATTCAGAATTCTCAAATATGGCCTGGAAGAGATGGCTTGTTAGCGATAAGGCCGCTCGTTGCACTCCATATTTTCAGTATATAAGTCTCGTTTGTATTTTTTGTTTTTTTTTCTTTTGCCACAATATTGAATTTTTGACATTCTGTCAATTGCTTCCTAGCTGTTCCATTATCTGTATCTACGAAGTCGTTGTGCTACTTACTTCCAATTGAATAGTTTGCAAAACCCAATATCGATTCATTGTATTGTTTCATAGCTTCGTCGCTTAGCTCGATCAACTGAAGGAGACGCCATAGAACTTCACCGGTCTATTATTCTGTTACAAAGGTATTTTAAAATTTTATATGAGACTTATTTCATCCTTTATTTACCAATGAAATGTCATTAAGTTATAACAAAGAATGATAAAGCAGCCCAAACGAAAAATGATTATTGATTTATTTATGGATACAGGGAACAAACAATAATAATTTATAATAAAATACTTAAAACTGTCTATTTCAACGAATGCAGCTTTAGATAAAACAAAAACGAGACATTCCTGTTTTAAGTAAAAAAAAATTGACTTAATTTTTTAACATTACTTTACTATTTATTCAAAAATTTCCTCACCACAAATATAAGGAACATAAAAATTCTGTGACACTACAATAATAAATAATTTTTAGTTAGGCGTGTAGTTCAAACTCGAGGTCGATGAAAAATGTATGTAATATACGCTTAATTACCACTTTAACAGTTTAAAACGTGATATATATTGGTTAAACTGATTCGGAGATTATTTTAACTACCGACGTTTCGGATGGGGAGATTGTCTCCCCGTGACCACGGATTAGTTTAAATAACTTTTTAAATAAGTTTAACTATTATATTTCCCGCTTTAAACCGTTAAAGTGTTTTATTTAAGCTTCTGTAGATTGCTCTAAACATTCGAGCTTCAAAACTAAAGCATCATTGATCATATGCAAACCTCTTATATACTGAAATGCGACCACACATTTGAACTATCAAAGAAAATGTGTAATAAGACTTCTAGAGATCTCTATGATAACGACTTAGTGCAGATGTCATATTGTATCAACACGTAAATAGTAACACTCTGTATAGAACGAAATATCTTCAGTACTTTTATATTATCACATGATAAATTGGTTTAATAGATATTATTATCATTGGCCGCTATTTCCGTTCGTTAGACAAAATCTTACCCTTTATCTTACTATCTACACTTAAAAAACCCAAGTTTGATTATTTGTTAGACGCGCTTATCTCAGGAGTTGCATGTTTATTAATATCATCAATCTAGCGCATATAAATTAAAATCGATTTATTTTGAAAAAAAATACGATAGTGCGGGACTTGAACCGGCGTCCGCAGCGTTCCGTGGTGTTGCTCTTGTAAAATATTTTATTTAAATTGGTCATCGTCGAATTCTTTCGAACACTTGCGTTTTACGCTTGAAATTAAATCGCGCGAGAGGTGCCGTGACGTGTAGGACACGAAAGTTCAGTTAGAACTTAGAACAACACCACGGAACGCTGTGGGTGCAAGTTCGAGTCCTGCCCATGGCGTAATTTTTCAATCTAAAATCGATTTTTAATTTATATAAATACGTAAAAAATATTAAAGTTTTAAAGCTTACATATCTTTCTTAGAGCATAGACTATGCTATATGAGCATAGACCTTATTTCGCAAGAATACTAGCTGAGTCCTCGCAGAATTTACTTATGAAGAATACTGTTAGCAATATCATCTATAGACTAACAATGTTTAAGTCAATGACAAAAAGCAAGAAGAGCTGGAGGCAAATTATTTACGAATTTGCCAAACTCAAACATCCCGACACCGCTTATCAAATAAATTATACGACTATGTATGTACTTTATTATAAACATTAATTATAAGAAAAATCTCAAATATAGATATTGTTTATCCAATTATTGGTACGTACGAACCCGAAACAAAAAACCAGTGACGAGTTTGGGTGTTCAAAAATGAGTTACAGCCAACAAAAAATTGTTCATTCACAGAGTGTTGCAAAAAAAAATGGTGGTCACGTTTGGCTCCAAAACCGGCCATGTTGCGACTATTCCTCTATACGGACACACGGTTTACGCAGAATGGTATGCTACCATTTGTTTGCCACAGGTCGATTCTGAACTCTGTAAACAGAACTGCAACCGTCGCTTCATCCTCCATCACAACAATATGAGCTTTCACACCGCGCACATAACGAAAGAGTTCTTTGAGCTAAATAACATAGAATTATTAGTCTATTTGCCGTACAGCGCCGAACTAAGCCCTGATGATTTCTATACTCTCCCTAAAATAAAGAATAAACTGCGTGGTCAGTAACTTTCATCGCCAGAAGAAGCTGTGGACGCCTACTAAACGGCCATTTCGGAGGGCCCAACATACAAATGGTAGCTTCAATGATGGTTCAATCGTACGGAAAAGTGTATCAAATTTCGCGGAGAATACTTAGAAATGCAATAAATACATTTTTGAATAGAAATTTTGTGTTACTTCTTTGATTCCCGAAATTTTCAGTACCGCCCTCGAACCTTTTTAGTTACTAAGTACAGATAGTGTCGTCGATAAGTAATGAATATTAAGTAAAGTAAACATGTTGATTAACTTCCAGAAATTAGTTTACAATTTACATTGAAGTGTAGTAAGTTTTAATGAAGCTTGTGTAGAAACCACTTTGCCAATAAAATAATCGTAGAAAATCCACACAAAAAATAAAACAACTAACCTATTATGACCGAACTGTTTATTTTAGATTGAGCTAACGTCGGAAGTATTCAAATGAATTTGGCCGTGTTATAAATTTTAGTTCACTTTATAAAATTACATAATATTTTGCTTATTGGTTCTCGACTTCGACGGGTTCTGGCACTGGGCCTTCGACTTCGACGGGTTCTGGCAAAGGTCCTTCGACTTCGACGGGTTCTGGCAAAGGTCGTTCAACTTCGACGGGCTCTGGCACTGGTCCTTCGACTTCGACGGGTTCTGGCAAAGGTCCTTCGACTTCGACGGGTTCTGGCAAAGGTCGTTCAACTTCGACGGGCTCTGGCACTGGTCCTTCGACTTCGACGGGTTCTGGCAAAGGTCCTTCGACTTCGACGGGTTCTGGCAGAGGGTCTTCAACTTCGATGGGTTCTGGCTTTTCGGGTTCAGGTTCCACTAGTACTGGTCCATCGGGCTTTTCTCCAGACTCGACAGATTCACTAGACTCAGATGACCCTGGTGATACTTCTACGGGTTTCGACTCGTCTGATAAAACATTTGTATTTGCTAATTTTGAGGGAAACGCCAAAGCGGTCGCCAAAAACAAAGACAGCACTATTAACTTCATTATGCCAAACTTTTACCTGAAATAAAGTATTTTTATATGATATAGTATTTATTTTTTAAATGTAAATGCCTACCTTTAATACCTACATTGTATAGAAAGTATAGAACTGTAAAATTATTATTTAAAAACCGTATTTTTTTTAAGTAACCATTCAATTAAAAAAACTGACGTCATACAACATGAAATACCCATGGCTGCTGCAAAGCATCCAAAAGGTTGGGTCGTAGTTAAATATAACTTAAATAACATATTTCAAGCTTTAAACCCTTGAAAGTGTAAATTTAAGTACTTAAATAGCTTACCTTAACTTTTGAAGAAGAATATCGGTCGGTGGCTCTTCCCTATGGATTTGAGAAATAATTTGCCGCAACTTTATTATATACTGCTTAACAACATTACTTATCAGATAAGAGCTATTATGGGATTTTTATTGAAGATTATTATTATTATTTATTGTTCGATTCATAGTAATCTGTAAAATATAGCCTGATAACAATATTCGTTGCGATCATTTGTTCAATGGTTTGGTTAGTACGTTGGTTTTTGTTTCAATTTCCACCAGGTCTAGGTGCTTCTCAACAATTATATATTTTTGGGCTATAGGCAGGCTATAGGCTATAACACACCGCTGCACCTAATAGGAGCAAAGAAAGATTGACAGTTTATTATCTAAAAAAAAAAGTCTCCCCGTGACCACGGCTGCTGCAAAGCATCCGAAACGTCGGGCCGAAGTTAAAAATCATTTTCAAATAAGTTTAACTAATATATCGCGTTTTAAACCGTTAAAGTGTTTTATTTAAATGTGTACTACTCGCGTAAACTATAGACAGTATTTAGTTTATTATCTTTTAAGATTAATTTGCAAGAACGACGGGACGCGGACGATGTCTTGATGTCTAAGTGCTATAATTTACAAAGATGAGGTTTACTAATTTTTGATGTCCAAAACTTATTATACACGGATTAAGTCGCTGACACAGCTAGTGTTCATAAATAGATGAGTTATATTACCAAAGAACAAACACAAGTGTGTGTTTGTTGTTCGCTGTCCTTTATAATACATAAAGAATCTCGCAACATTAATTAACAACATTGAAGAGATTCGTTGGGGTTTGGCATTAATATGTTTTTTTAATCTATGCATCTGGGACTATGACGTAGCTGGCGAAAAGTCATGCACCTCGAGTTTATTATGCGTATGTTTGTTCTATCAAATAAATATTAATTACCCAAAACAAAACAACAGCGACATAAAATTAAAAAATACAGAATTCTAAATACTTTTTTCCTGTTCATTTAAAGATTATGAAAAATTTATATGAACGTTGCTATGATAAGCTAAATCTAGGATAAACTGATAAAATAATTAGTCCATGATTAACAGAAGTGACACCTTCGACGCCCGACGTTCAGAAGGCCAACACTTCCTTCAGGACGCTGAGCCAACGGAGTAAATGTCGATGCAGGTTTTATTTCAAGTCACAGACAAATCTGTACTAATATATAAAGCTGAAGAGTTTGTTTGTTTGTTCGAATTGAAAATTTCTTTTTGTGTTGGTAAGAGGAATCGTCGAAGGAGTCGAGGAAGGTTATAGGCTATAACACATTGCGATGTGACTAATAGGAGGGAAGATACAGCGAGAAATGTGAACAAAACGGGGGAAATTTTTCATCTCAGTAGGTTTCAGATGCGACGCTGCGAAAATGGTTCAAGATACCTAAAAACGGCGACGACAACGCTATATGTCTACCTTTTAAGATGAACTTGCAAGAACGACCCAAACGAGTGAGAGTTTAGTGATTCATGGTCGTTTTAATTAGCATGCTTATAATTTAAATATTTCTAATTATTTATGTCTACCCATGCGTAGCCGGGACGGGGCCGCTAGTTTATATTAAATTAATAATGCTATATATCGCCTTAGTTAGCTTCACAGATAAGAAAAACAGGTAAATACATAGGATTGAATGTACAACGTTGCCCAATTGCTTGTCAAACCGACAATCTAGACCTCTTGTGCACTATTTAGAATAAAACCTAAAAGCAAACCTAAGACCATAACGGCTCAATGTTTCTACAATAAATAGACAATCAGCATCAATTTCAAAGCACTTCACCTCAAATACAAAGGTTGAAGTCCTCTTCAGTTGAACGTTTGAGTAGCAACCCGAAGCTATAAAACATTGATATGTTTCAGAATCAATACTGGCTTTGTTACAATCTCTAATACGTAGTAAGTACACTTGACATGGATGGTTAGGTTCTTGATGAGCTTGAACTCAGGTCCGATTTAGAGTTTGGGGGGGGTTACAAGATTAAATATAAATAATGTAGTTAAATAAACTAAAATGCGCTTAAACTACTTAGTAAATCTTTCTTTTAGCTTCGAACTAATCCACTGCTCCTGCGCACTGCATACTACATACTACACAGACCCAAAACTTATTAGTATCGCGGTGACCAAATACTGTCATAATTCTTAATATTATGGTATATAATTTTTTGAAAATGTAAACCATGTATATAAAAGAAATGTTAAACGTTGATGTAAATTTATTTGACTTAAAAACACTAATATCGCAAGATGTGGGAATTACAACAGTGTGTCTTGTTTTATCTAAAGCCGTATTAATCGCATATTGATTGCCATATGTTTGGTATCATTTCATAGTCTTCATTAAGCCGATACACTATTTTATTATTTACTATCTGTGCCCGCGAATTCGTTCGCGTGGAATAGTGACTTGTGGTAGATTTTTTAATTATTTAGGCTTTTTATTAATTTATTTAATTGCGCATTTATCGCAGCCAATCTATGTTGTAAGTGCTACAATGCCGCAACACTGTCACCTCACATCACTCCTACTCTAACTCCCACTCTCACTCGCACTTCCACTTCCACTTCCACTCCCAGTCCCAGTCCCACACCCGCTCCTATTCCCTAAAAAGCCAATGAAGAAAGTTTCATTGTTTAACCCCTTAGAACCCTCTTTTCGCAATAAAAAGTAGCCTATGTCCTTTCTCAGGGTCATTCAAATCCGTGCAGTAATTTTTGCGTGAAAGTGTAACAAGCAGACAGACAGACAGAGCTACTTTCGCATTTATAATATTAGTACAGATGTGCAGGTGTTATGGTGGGGCGGGGTAAGTCTAAGCAACTACTGCGAACACAGAATTGTGTTCGCCCCATGCCCCACGAGAGGAAACGGGATTTCATTATGTTTGTTTAAATTACGAAGCACATTGGTTAATCAATAGCAATACAAAACCTTTACAACATATAATTTTTTTTTGTTTACTGTTAAACGTGTTTTCTTTAGCATTTACGTGTTTTGTGTTAAGTTAAAATTAGATTAGAGCTAGAAATTATATTATCTCACAAACAGAACTCTTTTTTTTCTTATTTTACGTGAAGTGGAAGAAAAATTACCTATGCCAAAACCCAATACCTACTAAATACTAAATCGTGTGTGAGAAATCAGCGAATGACGTTGTGCATCGATCGATCATTCGGAACAAAGCATTGTCTATGTTATATACATATATTTTTCGCTTAATCATGATATCGTTACTAGCATAATTAAACAATATCTATTTGATAAGAATCATTTTGGAAAACCCTAATTGTTTAATGTGTGACGATTAATATGCGAAATATATTAATTTACTTATTTACATTTTTTTTTATTACGGCCCGACGTAGCTTTGCGACAGCGGGGTCATGGGAGAAAGTCAAATATGCTACGGAGCGGTGGTCTTCTTGAGCTAAAATATCCGTCGTTTTCATCATCAGACCCTTAATAATAATGATTGCCCATCTAGGTGAAAAGCTGGTGTGGATCGTTGAGGAGGGTGAATATATCTTGGCTCCATCATCAGAAGATTTGATCTCATAATATTTATTTAATTGCAGTGCTTTATTGAACTGACTGAAAAAAATAAATAACGTATTTTTAAAGTTCCCCTCAATACAATTTGAAATACGTTTTTGGATTTCGAACGGAAAACTTATTTTTAAAGGGCTTTTATTCTATAAAACTTTATTTCGACAAAGAATCTTAAAACTAATAATTGGAATTGTAGTATTTCTAAGAATTGCTCTCCAGCTTTTCAACAATGATCAACGCTCGTGGCAAAATCTATACTTATGTAATAAAGCTAAAGAGTTTGTTTGTTTGAACAACTAATCTCGGGAAGTACTGGTTCAAATTTTAAAAATTATTTTGTGTTGGTTAGACCGTTTATGAAGGAAGGCTTTAGGCTTTTAGGCTATTAAATATCAGGTCGCGACCAATAGGAGCGAAGTAAGAGGAAAATGTAGAAAAGGCGGAGAAAATCATTCATCTTTGAGGGTTTCCTTTGCGTGCGTTCCGGAAACGGTGAATGTAAAACTCTTTAGAAAACTCTGTAGAATCACGACGAACGGACAGACAAACATGTTACTTAAAAATCAAAAGAAAATGGAAAAAATTTTCGACTCGGGCAGGACTTGAACCGGCATCGTCAGCGTTCCGTGCTGTTGCACTACCAATTGAGCTACCGAGCCCTACACCTCATCGTCGATTTTTTTTCAATTTAATTTCGATTTTTAGGTTATATGGTGCCTTCATATGCAATAACATGTAAACAATATTAATGTTTTCAAAGACAACATATTATTTAATATTTGTTCGACGAATCTAAATAATTTTTAAAGCCTTACAGAGAATAAAGTATATTTAAGTTTTTATTTTATTTTATAATAATAATATTAATCTAATATTTTTTCCACTTTTATGGTAATCTAATTTCGTCTAAATGGCAAAAGAACGTTCGCCAGGGCTTTTAGTAACTGAAACTAAAAGATAGTGAATCGTTTAAAATTTTTGTTGTTATTTAATAGATATAAAATACACCATGTGTTTAGATTAGATTAATGATTAACTGGAATGATATGATTTTTCACGCAGCGTAATAGCATTTTTTGGAAGATAATTAATAACACCCGGTAAGGCTATCGATATTAGTTTTTGCGGGGTTTTAAGTCGGAAGACGAAAAAAAACATTTCAAACTCTTTTAAATTAATACCTTAACCGTTCAAAACGCGATATATATGTTACTTAAACATTGGAAGATTACTGTACTGACAGTATTTAATTTCAAACTCTCTTAAATTTTATCCTACTTGTTGAAATACTCTGTGAACAAGAAAGGGATAGATCACCCTAAGTTATTACTTCTTCGATAAATGGTCCAAACCAAACAAAACAATTTTAATTCGAACCAGTAGTTCTTGAGGTTAGTGCGTTGAAACAAACCAACTATTTAACTTCATAATTTTAATATTAGTACATACGACAAATTTGTTTATGTTACTTACTATCTGTCTCTCTTGAGAGGGTCAACTTCTAACCATAGATAGGTTACTTCATATAAAAGAAAACTTAACGAAATTACTTACAAGGTTATGCCACAAAATCATACCGGGGTGCCTTTGCCCTGAATATAATGCTAGGCGACATGTTTTACTATTGCATCTTAACGGGACATTTTTAATTTTCTAAGTAATGCGTTAGGCTACTTAGGAGTGACAGTTAATATGAGCATATTAAAAAATTTAAAGTGAAATATAAGGAAATAAACTTTTTAATTTTAAAGTTATACTAATGTTCTGAGTATAATAATTCAACATTAGGCATAGGAAACAGACAGCGTCACGAAAAAATATCACTACGATTTATTGGCTTCAGTGCATTAGACTCTTTCTTTTATTTATATATTTTATTTTAATGCTTGAAATAGGTATTTTTTAGTGTCGCGGCGCAATAAAAGGAATAAAAAAGCAAGCAAATTTTATTAAAGCAGCATTACTCCTGCGCGTATATCGGGCGTAATTTTTATAATCTTATATTCCTATGTCATTGTCAATTACTAAGAGCTAGAATAATTGTCGAAAGAGCAACGTCCAAAGTTTATTCTCGACATACTTTCACCATTGATGATCCAGAACACTAAGTGTTATAGACGGCTTCTTTCTTCTTCTTCTTCTTTATCTTTCATGTTTGTGTCAAGCTAACAGCTAAAATAATCGTTTCTTATATTAGTCATTAAACACATGATCAAAATCTTGGATACTATATCAAACAATTACCGATTTAACCATTTGTGATACATTGTTTTGATGATTCAATATAACCTAGATGTCTATTTAGAGTACAAATAATCTTTACAGGCGAAAAAAATAATGTTTCAAATTATACTTATTTAATCATTATATAAGTCAACGCAGTACAACCTACCTACTCAATAATAATAAAACAAAGTTACACCCACACATAGAAGTTAATTACGAAATGTAGTGTAGTTTCCCAAATTTAAATGGATTTTTATTAAACAGATAATGATTAATTATGCTATTTACGATAAACTTAGTAAAAGATATATATATATATATATATATATATATACAGAGAACATGCTTTGTCTTTAAAAACGCCGAACAAGATACAAGTAGCAATTCGTAGCAACTGCGTCCTTGTACCAATAATTGTTCCAGTAAATAGGTTGTGTTCTTAAACAAAATTTATTTTTAATTAGATTCTAAATAATTTATTTGTATTTACATGAAATGTTCACTGTTCGTTAATATGAGAAAGTTAGTTTCTATTTTAATTACTATTGTTTTATATATTAAGTTTCAACAATTGAAATTAACAGGTCTCAAATATTTAAATAAACCACTTCAACGGTTTAAAACGTGATATACATATTTTAGACAGGTCTCAAACTTACCAATCGTTTTCGAAAATCTCATAGCACCGTTACTGGACGCATTGATGTAGTAGATAATATTATTACTGCTTACGAGTAAGGTCTAGTAATCTAGTAAAGTTTTTATCCTAGTAGTTTTATCCGACGTTTCGGATGCTTTGCCGAAGCCGAAAAAAAGCCGAAGTTAAAAATCATTTTCAAATAAGTTTAACTAATATATTGCGTTTTAAACCGTTAATGTGTTTTATTTAAAAGACATTGTACCTTTTTGATAAACTCGATTGGGTCTCTAACATTTACAACACAAGCTTTCAACCAGTTCAAGCTTAAGTTACAACACCAGAAGCAGTTGCCACGTGTAAGTAAGTAACCTCTTATTAATTCTTTGATATCTCTAAGTGTTACTAAATTAGTATACTAAATATATTTTTTGTACATATAGCCTAGTCTATAATATTGACTCAATATATAATACTATATTTATCAATCAATACGACTATTTAAATAAGTAAATCTGCAGAAAATTCCGTCCGGGACACGAACCACCATAGATGAAAAGGTTTTGATTTCAGTCTGTAAATTGCGAAATGTTTAAAGCCAAAAGATCGTCAGCGCATTTTCTTTAGAACTATATATATGAATATGACTGCGGTATTTCAACTTCCATCAAGGAAAATTCATGCTATGTGTCCCCTTTTGTCATAAAAAATAATAATAGCATATCGGTGCGTACTCACTTCAACTAATTGTTAGATAAACTAAAGAATTTTTACCCACCTATGATTGCGTCGGATAAACGATAACAAGGAAATGGCGATCAATAGGAGATTAATACAGCTTTAGATAAAGACACCAATTTAATTCCCACTTCGTAAGATATAGTAGTAGTGTTTTTAAGGAAAAATTTGCAACATTTCTTCTTTCTATATTCTGTTAATTTCGAAAGTGTTACCAGAAATATTAAAAAATATGAAACTTCTTTGACACCGCGATAATACATTTTCAGGCGAACAATAGTTAAACTAAACTAGATGCAAAATGTAATATTCATTTGTTTTATAAGACTAATTTTTATTTCTATGAACTTCATAAATCGTGTATGACAAGAAATATAGTGTAACAAGGCAGGCTCATCGCTAAGAGCCATCTGTAAGACATTTATTATTTCATAAAACGCTAAAGCCGAATTCTTGAAAATATTTCAGCTAGAAAAACGTGGTTTTGTACCAGATGGTTCCCCATACTTTAGCTGATGTGTTACTAAATGTTAGAGATCTAAATAGTTTAATGGCGGTGACTTAACTATAACATATTGCTGGGAGACCAGAAAACATAAGTAATTGAGTGTTTCCATTAGAGGGTCAGCAAGCTAAGGTAGAAAAAGGAAGAAAACAAACAAACGGATAGGTTTTAATCAAATTATAAATATTCAGAAAAATAGTGGACTTAGGAAAACCTCCATATTAAATCGAAATATTATTTGGTCACGAGTGACGGTGAACAATATTTACGTTTAATCGCATTTTGATTTCAGCCTGTGGATTTTCGAAAGTCCAAAGTCAAAATAAGTTAACAGCTCGTCTAGCTCAGACGTTATATTCGTTATTGCACCTCTCATCAAACAGATCCCACGCTCCTCCTGCTCCTTCACAAAAATACTCCACTTCTGACCTAAACTCAAGCTCATCAAGAACCTAGAGTATGCATCAAAGCCAATATTAACTCTAAAACCTTGGTCTTCAATTTTAATTCTATTTAAATTAATTTTACAAGCGTTTACTCCGTAGGCACGGTGATTCGAAGGAAGGGTTGGTCTCCTAAACAAGAAAACCGTATCTTCTGTTAATACTTTGTAACAGTTTGAGAATGATTTTGACAGGTTATCCTAGATTATGGCTTAGCATAACATAATTGTATAAAATCCTAATAATCTTTAAGTACACCGGAAAAAATACATATTAAATGACTGGGTACATTACAAATTTACGCCGTGGATAGTTTATTTTGGTTAATAATCGTGAGAACTTATCTTGCGATTAGTGTTATCAGTAATATAACACGAGTGAAATAAAAGTCAAGCTCTTTATGGCCATATTGATTGATATTTAAATAACAAAATGAATAATCAAATGTTGTTCTGTCTAAAGTTTAGGCGAGTAGTACACATTTATATAAAACATTTTGACGGTTTTAAACGCGATATATATTAGTTAAACTTATTTGAATATTATTTTGACTACCGCCCGACGTTTCGGATGCTTCGTAGCAGCCGTCGTCACGGGGAGACGACGGCTGCTACGAAGAGACGATATCGTAGTTAAAATGTTTTTCAAATAAGTTTAACTAATATGTATCGCGTTTTATACCGTTAAAGTGTTTTATTTAAACGAATGATACTGTGTTTTATTAATAAGATGCTTTTTAGAAGACTAGTCACATACAATAATCAGCAAAGTTCTGCGAACTGAACTAGAGCCGAATTATACGAATCTGAAAAATACTTTCTATAGTTTACGCGAGTAGTACATATTTAAATAAAACACTATCCGTACCAGTCTCCCTGTGATTACGGTTGCTGCAAAGCATCCAAAACGTCGGGCCGAAGTTAAAAATCATTTTCAAATAAGTTTAACTAATATATCGCGTTTAAAAAAGGTAAGGTGTTTTATTTAAAAGAACGTGTTTTATTTAAAAGAACCTTAAAAAATCAAGTTTTATTTAGTAGTGAAACGGTAAACACTAGACTTGTGTTATATTGTAATATATACAGCAGTATATACTGAATACCGAATATTCGGTAAGCCCCCTAATCGGATATTCTAATCCGAATATTCGGCAAAGTATTCTATAATCTATATCTATATACAAAATAAACTGTTGTGATTGTTATAATGTTCTCAATCGACCCCGTGGCGTACATTAAAGAGTAAAACGTTTAAAACCTAAATATATATATTTTTTACAATATCTTTAATTTGATGGTATGATTTTCTTAATCTGCAAAACATTAATAGAAAATAAGAACTTTAATACGCATGAGTTAAGATTGAAATTGCATCGTGAGAGATGTATGTAACAATTTCTTGAAAAATATCGACGTTGACGTGTAGGACACGGTAGCTAAATAATTGGTAAAAATAAAGGAACGTTGAAAGGATACCGTAATTTTTTTCAATAAAAATCCTTTTTTTAATTTAAATTCCCATTGAAACAGAACAGTTAGCTCAAAGAGTGTTATATTTTTAATTAATAATTTCTTTTTTGATTAACTACTAGCTGTGCCCGTGACTTCGCTCGCGTGGAATATTGACTTGTGGTAGAATTTTTAATTATTTAGACTGTTAATAATTTATGTAATTGCGCATTTATCGCAGCCAATCTATGCTGTAAGTGCTACTTTGCCGCAACACTCTCACCTCACGTCGCTCCTACTCTAACTCTCACTCTCACTTCCACTTCCACTTCCACTTCCACTTCCACTTCCACTTCCACTTCCACTCCCACCCCCACCCCCCACTCCCACTCCCACTCCAACTCCCACTCCCACTCCTATTCCCAAAAAGCCAAAGAAAAAAGTTTCATTGTTCTAGCTTGAAAAACCACGAATTTTCATACAAACATTCACCCCCCTTTTAACCCCTTACAACCCGTTTTTAGCAATAAAAAGTAGTCTATGTTCTTTCTCAGTTCTTTCATCGGTATACCAATTTCATTGTAACTGTAAATCATTCAAATCCCTTCAGTAGTTTTGGGGTAAAAGAATAACAGACAGACAGGCAGAGTTACTTTCGCATTTATAATATTAGTAAGGATTCATTCTCTATAACTTAAGTATTCGGTATTCGGCCGAAGCAGCAGAATACCTAATACTAACCGAAAGTTCGTTGCAAGCCTAGTAACAGAACCTAGCCTAGTAAGTTATCTTACCTATCGTGACTCGTCGTCGACTTTTGTCCCATTCTTACATATATAAACATTTATTTTGCTGTCATATTACATGCTAAGAAGAAAATAAAGATTAATGTTTACGAGAAGCTTCCATGCAAAGAACGCCATTTGTTGAATTTTGTTTAATTGAATTCCATATATGTACTTAATTATGAACTTTATTTGAAGGAAAAGGTTTATTAAATTTGTTCGCCTAGTAATTGGCACAGACCTATTTGCGTAAGTCCGACGTAGGTAGTTTCATCTTCGTACTCATTGTGGTTGGTAAATAATTAATAAGAAATAAAATACATTTATTATATTTATTGATTTTCAAAAATTCGGTCACAATTTACATTTGCGTATAGTCAGTTGTAATGAAACTCGTGGAGCAACTTTTAAAATAACACACAAATAAAACAATTACTTATTATAATCGAAACAAATTGAGCTATCGGAACGGATCAGTTTTAAGAATTGGTCTTTGACATGGATGGCTTCCGGAACTGGGGTAAGTTCTGCTTAAGGCCTTGGCATGGGGATAATTTCTGGTTCAGGTTCTGGTACTGGGATGAGTTCTGGCTCAGGCCTCGGCAGGGGGATAATTTCTGGCTCAGGTTCTGGTACTGGGATGAGTTCGGGCTCAGGCCTCGGCTGGGGGATAATTTCTGGCTCAGGTTCCGGTACTGGGATGAGTTCTGGCTCAGGCCTCGGCAGGGGGATAATTTCTGGCTCAGGTTCTGGTACTGGGATGAGTTCTGGCTCAGGCCTCGGCAGGGGGATAATTTCTGGCTCGGGTTCTGGTACTGGGATGAGTTCGGGCTCAGGCCTCGGCAGGGGGATAATTTCTGGCTCAGGTTCTGGTACTGGGATAAGTTTATTAGACTCGGATGACTCTGGTGCTAGTTCTACTGGTTCGGATGCTAACTTGTTTGATAAAATATTATTTGTGTTTGCCAATTTTGCGGGAAACGCCAAAGCGATCGCCAGGAACAAAGACATCAGCACGAATATCTTCATCATGTCGAAGTTATACCTGAAATATATGTGTATTTGACAAAAGTATACAATACCATTATTATGACTAAATATTTAAATTGCCTATGTTACTACTTCATTACCGGTAAAGTAGTACAGCTCTAAATACTCATACTCGTAAAATTTGTTAAGAGTTTGTAAACCCCGAACCCTGTGGGGGGAAGTGTATGTTGCCAGACTATCACCGTGCGCGTCTCCAAGTTGCGAATAGGGATATGATCGTCAGATCGTATTGGCCACCGACAGTTTGCCAGTGCGGACCAAGTTTGGTGGTTTTCTACGGGGATTCCGATGCAACGGCACCCCACCCCGCTCGGGCACCCCATGCCTTTTGTCGTCGGGTCTTCGAACCCAGTGGTGCTTAGAAACGGATACGGCTGGCGACGGACGCGAATGCTAGTCTTGCGCCACCCCTCCCCTTAGGGTAGTACGGTTGGGCTACCCGTCCGTGCCTCGGTCTGTATTAGCAAAGCATGTAGGCATACAAGGAAAGGCTAGATCGCTTTACATTTAAGCAGACGTTAGACTTGCCAGCTATGCCCTGAGCTGGACCCATGGAGGCATTTTACGATGTAAATAAAGACCTTGTCAAAAGAGTGGCTGCGTGGCTTGCCAGTTCTTACTGTTCGTTTTACGACATCGATGAACTGTTAGTATATGTCAATTAGTTATTTGATTGATAATAGTAATAAATTTATTAATACAAGTACACATTCGTATTGAACATTTTTAACGGTATCAATATTAAATATGTTACCCCATGATTACCTTTGCTTCGATGTCATTTTCTAGACGTTTTAGATTTTGATTTCTAAACCCCTGGAATAGCTATATTAGGCACTTAAAAAAAATTAAGAAAAAATAGAATGTAGAAAAGGCTTACCTTAATTTTTCAAAACAAATTCCTGTCGACTGCTTATGTGTTTTGATTTAGGAAAAAATCTTCTGCAGCTATTTTATATAGTGTGAAAACAGTACTTATCAGATAAGACTTATTATTGGATTTTAATTGCGGATTAATTTTATTTATTATATTAAAATTATTGTAATCCACGTCTAAGCTAGCTTAACAATACATTTGTCGGGGCAGTTGGTCTTATGGTATGACTAATAATCAAAGGATCACGATCACAGGTTCTATTCCCACCAAGTCCAACATTCTCAAGAATAATTATGATGAATTATAAATATTATAATAGAAAAAATTTAAATTTCGTGATTGACTGGAACCACTTGCACAGATTTAAAACATATGAGTGCGGTTTAGATTCAGCCTGTATATTTCTGAACACCCAAAGAAAACTTGTTTGACAGCGCATGTCGTTATCTTATATAGATGAGGTTTCCAATTTTCCAAGTGATTCTATTCTTGTCTGCCGTTAAAATAAAGTTAATACTAATATCATTAGGCTTTAGGATATATAACATGACGCTGCGGCAAACGGGGACGAAGTAACAGTGGAAACTTGGAAAAAAAACGGGAAAATCATTAATGTTTAAGGGCTTCCGTGCGCTGCGACCTTTTCATAATATAAAAATGTCGTCGACGATACTCCTATTTGCCTGTGATCCAAGATTAACTAACAAGAACCGTTTTTATGGTGAATAAATTTGTTTGAAATAATGTACTAAAAATTTCTTTGAGTTGTATCAACATAATAGTAGTAATCTTTATCCAAATAAATACGGTGATTAACAGAATTATTGCAAACGGCAAATTATTTGTCGCGTTGTCAATATCGGGTTTTAGAGAATATCCATATGTTCAATGTTGTATGATATAAAATAAAAAATATTTCCTGTCGGATCGACCACTTATCAAAAAAGACTTCAGTCTCAACATCGTGCTGCCAATAGGAACGAAAAAACGGGTTTAAAAAGGAAAAGGCCGGGGATATCTTTTATTTCTAACGAAAACGATTAAAGAAACCAAATAGTTTATATGAAAGAATTGTTCCTCTTTAAATGATCTAGAAAAATGTCCGCGACAGTCTCGTAAGCAGAATCTCAAGAACCGTTTATATAGTAATACAATTTTGTTGAAATTAATGCATTATTATATGCATAATTAGTACCTATATCTAGTTATTACAACTGATTGTTATAATTAAATATTGGTACTAGCTGTGGCCGCGTCTTCCGACGTATAGAATTATTGTTTCAGACATCAAATGGAACCTCATTTTGATAAATTTTAGCTGGTACTCACGACTTAGCGTCGTGCGCAACCCGTCGTTCTTGCAAGTTAATGTTAAAAGACATCTTGTCGAGGACAATTTTTTAGATCATTAAAAGAGAACTCATTATTTCATACATATCTTTTGGGCATCTTGAATCGTTTTCGCAGCCTACGTATCGGAAACCCAAAAAAAAACAATTTCTGCTAAGTTCTATGCAAAATCCAAGTAGTACTTATAGGAACAAAATAATATTATGAACAAGTAATACATTTTTTTTTGTTATATTGGATATGTACAACAATTGTTGTCATTAGAAAAATGTGAAATCTTCACTCGGCTTGCCGCACTGCCGCGTGTCTCGATTTATTATAAGCTGAGTCAGCGACTTCAGCTGCGTAGAACAGTTATTTTGGTCATCGAAAATTGTTTTTCGCAAGCTGTTGTTACCTACGTCATCGGTCGCGTCCCGTCGCTCGCGACCTGTTGTTCGGGTTCCGTCGTTCTTGCTAGTTCATATTAAGAGATAGACATATTCTGCAACAGATTTTTTTTAAATAATTTAAAGAAGAATCATTCTCTATGTATGAGATTTTTTGTGTATGTGTAACCGTGTTCGCAGCGTGCGCATAGATAACCTATAGAGATGAATCATTTTCCCCGTTATTACCGCATTTTCCGCTGTTTCTTCACTCACACTAGTCATAGCGCGCATTTTTTAAAGGCCTTCTTAGATAAATGCTCTAACCAACAAAAAATACATTTCTAAAATCGAAGTAGTAGTTTCTGAGATTAGCGCTTTCAAACAAACAAACAAACTCTTCAGCTAAATATATTACTATAGATTGATAAAATTATCTGGCAGGACTTGAATCCAAAAGAAAAAAAAAACACAGCGCTCCGTTCTAACCAACTGGGGTTTAGATTTTTTTTTAATTATAAGAAATGTTTAATTTATATAGTGCCATTATGTGAAATAACATGTAAAAAATTAAAAGTTTTTAAACATGGTTGTATTGTTGTAGCGTTTATATACATTTTTTTCATCGTTAAATATTTATGGAAATAAAAAGAAAATGCTCAGGCGTTCGAAAAGTACCACCCGTTGTATGTCTACAATTAAACGAGTGAAAATATTGAATAAAAAGTCTTCTGTCGGTAAATGTAAGAATGACGAAATCTACGAAAAAACCTTAAGATATTTTGCCGCAAATTCGAACCTGGGAGTTCTTGCACTAAATATAATGCTAGGCTGTAAGCGTTGCGGTATTAATTTATTTATACAATAACCGTTATATATGTATTTAGGAATAAATAAGCTTTTTTTATTTTAAATGTTTTCAAAGCTATTATTTCTTATTAAGGTCAAAATATAGCGTGACTACGTGAACCGGCAAACATTGTTTTCTTGTTTGCAAAATTAATATTACTATATAGTTAGCGCAAAAAAATCTTGATTGTTGTTTATTCGAAGCCAGCTTGTGTCCTTTTTTAACTACAATCTTAATAATTCATTATTAAATTATCTTAAATTTACATTAAGTCTTTTTGGTCAGAAAGTTGTACGAATATATGTGTTATCAACATAATTATTTATATTATTAGTTACTAATATATCGCTTCAGGGTTTTATAAGAATAAAAAGGTATGCAATAAGAATTTTTAATTTATAGAATTGAGGTAGAAGGAATTAAACAACATTGTGGGTCACGGTGCTGTCAGAGTAGAAGTAATTAACGATTACGTTGAGCCAATCTTTTACACTGGAGAGGACACCATTTTCGGGCTTGTTAACGTTGATTTGGACTAAGCCATCATTATATAGTTCGTCAGGAACTGGATCTGGGATAGGTTCTGGCTCGGGTTCTGGGTCTGGGATGATTTCTGGCTGTTCCGGTTCTGGCTCTGGTGCAGGCTCTTCTGGCTCAGGAACTGGTTCTTCCGGTTCCGGTACAGGTTCTTCTGGTTCTGGTTCAGGTTTATCTGGCTGATCACTGTCTTCAGAATCGCTAGATTCATCGGATTCAGATGACTCAGATGACTCAGACTCCTCAGACTCTTTCGATTCTTCTGACTCTTCTGGTTCAGGTACAGGTTCTTCTGGTTCTGGAACAGGCTCTTCTGGTTCAGGCACAGGTTCTTCTGGTTCTGGTGCTGGCTCTTCTGGCTCTGGAACTGGCTCTTCTGGTTCTGGTGCAGGTTCTTCTGGTTCTGGGACAGGTTCTTCAGGTTCTGGTGCAGGCTCTTCTGGCTCTGGAACTGGCTCTTCTGGTTCTGGTACAGGCTCTTCTGGTTCTGGTGCAGGCTCTTCTGGTTCTGGGACAGGCTCTTCTGGTTCTGGTGCAGGCTCTTCTGGTTCTGGGACAGGCTCTTCTGGTTCTGGTGCAGGCTCTTCTGGTTCTGGGACAGGCTCTTCTGGTTCTGGTGCAGGCTCTTCTGGTTCTGGGACAGGCTCTTCTGGTTCTGGAGCAGGCTCTTCTGGTTCTGGGACAGGCTCTTCTGGTTCTGGTGCAGGCTCTTCTGGTTCTGGGACAGGCTCTTCTGGTTCTGGTGCAGGCTCTTCTGGTTCTGGGACAGGCTCTTCTGGTTCTGGTGCAGGCTCTTCTGGTTCTGGAACTGGCTCTTCTGGCTCTGGTGCAGGCTCTTCTGGCTCTGGAACTGGTTCTTCGGGTTTCGGTACAGGCTCTTCTGGTTCTGGTACAGGCTCTTCTGGTTCTGGTGCAGGCTCGTCTGGCTTTGGTACTGGTTCTTCTGGCTCGGGTACAGGCTCTTCTGGCTCTGGTACTGGTTCTGGTGCTGGTTCTTCTGGTTCGGGTACATTCTCCAAATTTTTTATGTTTGATAGTCTTAGTCCGAACTCGTTTGATAAAACATTATTTGAATTTGCTAATTTTGCGGGAAACGCCAGAGCGGTCGCCAAAAACAAAGTCATCAACACGATTACCTTCATCGTGCCGAATTTTCGCCTGAAATGTATTATTGTTAATTAATGTATGTTATATTAACTAATCTTTTACTATAACTGTAAAATTGTCATTTTGATTGTATTAAAAGAAAAAAAAAAACAATAATATGTATTGTAGTTGTTGTATTATTGTTAATGTATTGTCAAGTGGGGTTGTAGGTATTATTGTTATTTTTATCTTTTGGAGACACCGATAAAAGGCCATAACAATAGCCTAGCTCTTTATAATTTTTATTTATTTTGATACCTTTATTGTGGTTCTGCAAAAACAGGACATTGTGTTGTTTTTAAGGTTTTATAACAAACACAGCGACTACTGTACCGGGACCGAACACTTGTTATAATTTACAAAAAATAGTTATAATTTCTAAAATACTTTTGAACCGTATTTAAATAAAATACTTGAACCATTTAAACCGTGATATATATTAATTAAATTTATTTTAAATACGGCCCGACGTTCCCCCAGCCTGCCTGTGACCACGGCTGCTGGAAAGCATCCGAAACGTCGGACGGTAGTAAAAATAGTTTTCAAATGATTTGAACCAACATATATCGCTTTCTAAACCGTTAGTGTTTTGTTTAAATATGTACTAGTCGCATAAATTACAGACAGTACTCTAGACTCAAGAAAAAGAGAATAGGAGAGAAAGAACTAACTAAAAATTTTGTAGACCTACCTTCACTTTTCAAACCAAATTTCTTCTGGGCGCTAACTTAAATTGATTTCAGGAACACATCGCTGCGGTTATTATACTGTTCGAAGACAAAAATTATCAGATTACCGTTTATTGATGGACTTTAATAGCGATTGATTATGCACCTCTATTAATATGTATCTACGTCAACTTGATAATATTTTTATGAATGTCTCGTATAGATTCGTATCAACCTATTGTACTGTCTCACAACTTTGTGCGTGACTTCTCCCTCATAGGACAGAGCTTAACAGCCTAGAAATACCACGCTGTTCCGAGGTGGTGAGGTCTTACGTCTACCGCCGCGTGATGATAACCTACAAAAGTGCAATTTCAATATTTTTTGTAAACTGACCTAATATTAGTCTATTCTTATATTATAAAGCTGAAGAGTTTGTTTGAACGCACTAATCTCAGGAACTAACAGTCCAGTGAATAATTATTTTTGTATTGGTTAGAACATTTATCGAGACTATAGGCTACAGGACATCATGCTGCGACTAATAGAAGCAAAAAAACAGTGTAAACCATGAGAAACATTATTTATCTTAGGGCTTCCGTCGCGTGCGCTGCGAAAACGGTTTAAGATACCCAAAACAGATATATGAAGGAATGATTCCTCTTTAAATGATCTAAAAAAATAATTAAACCAGAAATGTGGAGTCTCGGTTTAACTCTTAAACCATGGTCTAAATAAATCTAAGTTAGTCTATCCAGTACAATCTAAGTATCTAGTCCAGTACAAACGTTAAACTTCGTTTTGTGATAAGTATTTTAAATAAACTAGGGTTTAAGCAAGGTTTGAGAGTTAGTCCCTGTTTTGTAATAAGTGTGTTTGTCTAACTTTTAAGATTAACTTGCAAGAACTCGCGTTCCGTTGATGCGAACGATGTCTTGGGTAAGAACTTTAGGAAGACGAAGAGTAGGATTGCAAAAATAAATGTTGATGCCCAAAATAATTAAACTAAGCCGACAGGGGTGACACAGCTACGTTGTTCTATCTTATCATTCGATCCAAATACATTTATTTATAATTGAAATATAAGCAGGAAGCTGTTGTAATAAACTTTACAAGTCAACAGTACAATCAAATAAAATTATTTAAAGGATTATAACACGTGATACTATTAAAATCTATTTTATTTATGGAAAGAAGCCAGACAAGCATAGGATTTACTTTATGATTAATGAAAGGTCCCCATCGTCTGTATAAGATACGGTAACCGACTGTCAAACCGACTAACATTTATTTTGAAAGACAGATGAAGACTGCTAAAAACTATATAAGTAACTATAACAACTCTACTGTTTAAATAAAACACTTTAACGGCTTAAAACGCGAAATATATTACATAAACTTATATATTTAAAAAATGTTTTAACAGTCGTGCAACAGTCGTCCAACAGCCACAGACAGTCTCGCCGTGACTACGTTACGTACTATAACGACTCTCTACCGTTTAAAATAAACATTTTAACGGTTTAAGAAGTGAAATATATATTAAGGTAAACTTATATAACAATATTTTAAATACGGTCCGACGTTTCAGATGTTTTGCAGCAGTCGCTTAGACTGAGTTACTTTGGCACCAAGGTCCATTTTTAAATAAATTTAACGAACATATTTGGCGTTTTAAACTGTTAGTGTCTTTTGTTGTACATCTCGCGTAAACTCATTACTTGTTCTATATATCCGAAAAATATAAATCATTAATATACATATACATATACATATACATAACATGAAAATAAATAAAACAGCTGTTAACAGTTGTAATTAAATACTTATTTAAACATAAAAAATAACTTAACTAACCATGGATATTTAAGGGTTGGGTGTAACAAAAACAAATACGGGCTTGAATTTTGGGTCAAAGGTGCCGTCGTTTGGAGACTGCGGACTCAAATCACCGCTATGCTGCGTTTCGGAGATCTTCTTGAAGATATCCTTAAATTTCTGCTCTGCATCACTTGATATAGCGCTGTCTACGTCTTCTATCGTGCAGCGTGATGGCACCACTTCTTCTCCCATTGTGTAGGGCGTACTCTTCGCGTACTGTAGATCCATCCAGTCATTAAGAATTCCTTCTAGAACCTTCTTCACTGTTTCATCACCAGAATTGTCCTCGATGCCCTTGGACAATTCGTTGACAGTCACCGTTGGTACAGACATGTTTCTGAAATGTATAGCACTTTTACAACGGACATTAAACTGTAAAGTTATTACATTTAATCTTATTAAAGACCATGTAGATATGATTATTTTTTAGGATTACAAGATGTAGTCGTCGTTTACCTATATATATATGTGCAACGCGAGTACATTATCTATATTAATATTATAAAGCTCAAGTGTTAGTTTGTTTGTTAGAACGCGCTAATATAAGTAACCACTGGTTTGAATCGTAGACTAGACAAGATTTATCTTTATCGAGGGAGACATTAGGCTATAAAGCATAACGCGACCAAAAAGAGCGAAGATACTGTGGAAAATGTGTAAAAAACGGGGTAAATATATAAACATATATAAATATAATAGGATGATTTATTTTTAAATTATCTGAAAAATTCCTTGAAATTCCGTCTATCGTGTAGAAGATTCAGTCGCAAAGACGTTGGAAAGCGGACGAAGTCGTGGGTACAGCTAGTATATATTTTCAATTAATTACTCCTCCACGACTGGGCAAAGGTGTCCTTTCTCATAAGACAGATTTAGGTGATTAGATACAGTTTCTGTTCGCGTTGGCAGATTTATTTATGACAGAAATGGACAGACAATTATACAGTTTACTAAATGGAAGGATGAAACAAGACGCAGTGTCAACATTTTTGTGGCTTCGCAGGTCCTCAGGTTGAAACCATAACGTGAATTTACACATCACGGTACTTTTTCTTCTTCTCTTATGGTTTCGAAGTGTCGATATTCCTTCCAGATGAAATCCAACATGATCGAGACAAATTGTTGATTGATTAGATGTTAGACTCGTTAGAGGTCGAACCCCTCGAAATGTCGAACAGTCAAGAGGTCGAACGACCTCTTGATTGTTCGACATACATCGCGACATACGAAATATATAAAAACAAAACTAAGTATGTTTTTATGTCTGTGAAAGATAAGTTTGTGAGATTATCAGAAATATCCAAATCGCCATGATGTCATCAATTTGTTATCAGATAATTATTTATTACATTTTAAGGTATAACACGTAATATTTTTAATTCACTCTACCAGATCAAATCGCGATAAAAATCTAATCTATTTCTATACAATTAAATTATGTCAGTTATGATAGTGGATCCTAGAAAAATACATTTTGTTGTTATCACAGGTTTATAGGTTCTTCTTGAAATTCTGTGTACATATGTCTTTAGGTGTCCCCAGTCTAGATTAGCACAATCTTAGTATTTGCTCTACACCGTAATAATTATACAGTGAAACTAATGAGAAACCTCTATTACAGAGATGCCTCTACACTGTCCCGGTTCTTTCTCATTAAATTACCTCTGTTAATGAAACTTTTTGAACTTGGTTTAATGAGATTTTGATTCTAAGACTGTTTAAGGTTTATCTCTATTAATGAGATCTCTCTCCATTACCTTTATAAGTGAGATAAATTCAGAGAGATCCGGCTTTAACACGTTATGTCATATCATTGCTTTTCGAGCTGTTCGGGCGACATAAGCGAGAAGAGGTTCTCGCTTATGTTGTTCTCAGGTTTCACCATCACGAGCGGACGTCATCATCAGGAGATATTAGCTCCTCGATTGCTCTAAGAATTAGCCCGAAAAACAATGATATGCTGAACGTTGACCGTAAAGGCCTTTACGTTATACCGCCATGTTTGATTACATACACATGGCGGCTTCTGTTAATGAGATAACAGCAATTTTATACCCGCTTAATTGGGAAACTGAACTATTGGAAACCCTCAATAATTGGTACATATGTCCGTTCAGATCCTAATTACCCAGGTTTTACTGTACGTGTCATTAGTGTTATAAAAATGGTCTTACCCTGGATTCGCGTATTCTACCACGAAGTATGAAAAGGTACTAAGACATAAGAGAAAAGGGCCAACTTATAAATCATTGACAATCAACCTCTTGAGATAGAAGGGTGTGTCCAGAGTGACACAGAACACGATAACGGTCAAATATCAGACGATGTCAGAATTTGCGGTGTTTTTTTCGCGTCCTCTTTTGCGATAGTGCGTCCTAAATACCACGAAAGTGATAACGTGAATGGATAGAGCGTGTGAATCAACGCAAACTCAAACTTTGTTCCTTGATTGAACCTATAGTTACATTATTATTTCTTTACTAGCTGTGGCAGCGACTTCGTCGGCCTACAACAGCTATTTTGAGCGTCAAAGTATGTTTTGAGCAGTGGCGTAACTATACCGTTCGACGCCCGTGGCAAATTCATCGAATGGGCCCTCCCACTTCCCCAATATATAAAGAAGCTGAACAAACAATTGAGATTTCCTCTGACCGGGTGCCCCTTCGGGCTGGGGGCCCGTGGCATTTTGCCGACTTGCCACCCTATAGTTTCGCCACTGTTTGAGGTGTTACCCAGGACGTCAGTTTTGTCCCTTCGTTCTTGCAAGTTAATCATACTTTCGTCCAGATTTTTTGAGGATCTTGAACCGTTTTCGCGGCGTAAGCATCGGTAACTCACAACGATTAATAATTTTCCCCGGTTTTTCTGCACTTCTCTCTGTCTCTTTGTTTCTATTAAATACAGCACATCTCGCTCTACCCAACATAAAAACTATACCTAAGACAAAACCTGAGAGATAAGCAGGCAACAGTAGGATAATAACCATATAAAGGTTTATATAATAAACGAGCAAATTTTCGCTGAACCCTTTCGAGCATAATTATAGATTTTACTTTGACTATTATTTTATTGTTAAACCAATAGATGCAACATTGGTTCAAGTGTACCGAATATCAAAAATATGTATTCATGCATGACTGTCCGCCTCAATAATTAAAAAAAATACCAACTACTAAGTAACAGGTGGCGTTAGTGTAGCAGATTTTTTATACAATGTATATTTTTGGAACCAATTGTATGTGCTATGGAATACCGAATATTAAAGTTGTCATGTTGAGTGTTAAGAATAAGCATTTTCCATCTTAATCTAAATATAGATTTTTATAGAAATTTCTTATGCACTGCAATAACAGGTTCGTTAAAAATGGGGGGAGCAGGGAACTATGTATGTGTACTTTAAATTATTGTCTTGTTTTGATAGGACGCAGTAAATAATACACATGTATATGGTAGTTACATGTATATAATTAACAGAAGTTTTTCGAAGAGTTCAAAACAATTTAATATTTATATAGAGCACGTTTAGTTGAGGATGGTGTCGATGGGGTTGGATGGTGGTTGGGGTTCAGGGTTGACAGCGATATCTACTGGGCCTGGGGCGGGCACTTCAGAAACCTGAAATATTAAAACTAATTAATGCGGAGCAATATTTTTAGCTTAATTTTTGGGGTGCAAAGTTTCGTTAAGAATCGAACCTAACAAACAGAATGCACTGAGTCAGTGGCAGTACCTAACAGGACCAGACTGTGACTGGTTCGTTGGTGTAATGGTAGCAATGAATGACTAATAGTGAACGGGCCGTGTATTCGACCCCCATCGTGTGCAAACATGTTTCTTATAAATTTAATTTTTTTCTGTAACGTCGGATTTTGTCAGTAAAATTTGGATATTAGATTTAAGGGTATCGAAATTCCATCTGGGTCACGAACCACCATTCAGAGATGAAAAAGCTATGAAGTTTAATCGCATTTCGGTTTCAGTCTATGGATTTCCAAATGTCTAAAACTAAAATAAGTCGACATCTTGTCTGTCGTCTATCATACAAATTCTTGTCCAAATTTGGTATTACCTGTTGTTGTTCCTTGTTAACGTTAACGATGACTTGCACTAAGGGTCCAAGTACTGGTTTTTCTTCAGCTGGGCTTGGTTTAGGGTCGGGGCTGGGGATTGGAGCTGGGTCCACTGGGAGGGGAGCTGGGTCGGCTGGAACGGGTTGTGGGGCTGGTACTGGGTCGATCGGGTTCTCTGGCAGAATTCCGGGGAGGACATCCAAGGGTAAATCGACAGTCACGGAGTCCTGAAATGTACGTTATAATGATATAATTATATAAATCATTGATAAAGAATTGAATATATTTTAACGGGCCCGTTGGTGTGGTAACAATGTATGGCTCCCCCCCCCCAATCCACCACCGAGTCCAACATGTTTCTAATGAAGTTAAAAAAATTGGAAATATGAAAATCTGGATATTAAGTGGGCGATAGAAATATCGAAGTTCGGTCCGGGTCACGTCATGAACCACCGTCCATAATCTATAGACCACCGTCTATAGATTATGGACGGTGGTTCCTGACGTGACGTAAATTATAAATTAAACGTACGTAACAAGGTAATCATGAGTATATCTGTAGTACCTTTGTTGGTCGTGGGTTCGTGTTCCATTTGTATCACTCTTTTTTTTTATTCAAAAACATTAAAGATACTGTCTATAGTTTACGCGAGTAGTACACATTTAAATAAAACACTTTAACGGTTTAAAACGCGATATATTAGTTAAACAAGCAGCCGTGGTCACGGGGAGACACGGCTGCTGCAAAGGATCCGAAACGTCGGGCCGAAGTTAAAAATCATTTTCAAATAAGTTTAACTAATATATCGCGTTTTAAACCGTTAAAGTGTTTTATTTAAATGTTAAAGATGCTTACCATTTGCTCCCCGTTAAAGATGGCGTTCATAATTTTGTTCAAAGCATCCTCAAGGACGGCTCTTACTGATGCGTCCAGGTTTGGCTTGGACAGAGCAGCATCGATCTGCTTGAGAGTCAGCTCAACTGGCACTGCAGCTGCCAGAGCGAGTAGGGCGGAGACAACAATGAAGAATTTCATTTTGAAGTCTGAAAATGACGTATTATGCATATATTAATTAAAAATTGATCTAAGTAATTAAGCTACCGAGGACGCGTTAGAGCAACAGCACGGAACGATGTGGATGCCAGTTCAAGTCCTGCTCGAATCGTTTTTTTTTTTATTATATTTGATTTTTAATTTGTATAGTGCCATAACATGTAACAAATATTATGCATATAAAAAATAAATTTTGTAATTTCTTATTTAAATTTTTATTGTCTGGAAGAAAAATCTTATCGCGATAATTTATAAATTCTTTATCTTATGTATGTTTTCTTTTAATGGACGGTATGCCGACATAAAAACTTATCGAGACAATAAATATAAATAAATAAAATTATGCGAAATAACGTAATATCTTCTGTCTTCAAGATAAATGATACATACATAAATACGCTAAAAATTGTTAAAAGTGTTATTACCAATTTAAAAGCTCGTGGCAAGGTCCTGGATTCGAATCCTGGGGGAAATATAGATTCGACTACGCACACTACAGATGTCTGATCGACTTGTATGTTTTAGTTCGATCAGTGAAACGGACAGAAGAATGTGTCTGCGCAGGACCAAAATAGGGAAATTATCACTATCAAAATACGCTTTATCAATACTAACAAAGCTTTGGTATAAAAAAAATTACGCCCGTTTAACAAGATCTGAACAAATAGATTGTAAAGATCAAATGATTGTTTATCTAATGAGCGTCTAATTATATTATTACCATAATAGCTACATTTTTACTTAACGAGATAAAGAAATACCGGTGAAGGCAAAGAACTTAAGTACGTGTGATAATTTTTTGAGATAAGAAGCGATATTCACATACATTTTACACTCTCATTTTAAATTTGCTTATATTATTATATATAATATTAATAATATATTATAAAATTAAAACATATATTCGTAAGAGAAATGCAATCATTATGAAACACGTTTATTTCGGTGTGATCCCGGAGCAGACCTTTTAATGAATTATTATCTATGGGCATCTTTAATGATTTATTGTCTATGGAAGACCCGATATCATGAGAGTAAAATCGATGAATATTATTTCACCAAACGTAAAAGTTATATTCAAAATATGTTTTCTTAAGAAGTAATTTTATAAAACGCTACATATAGTTAATTTATTTTTAATTTTCAACATCCCTACATCTAACTAATATAATTCCCGTTTGCAACCGTGCAGAATATTCTTTAAAATATAAAGTTAACAGATTTTTCATATTAATTCTAATGCTTGTACTCACCAAGTAGTCACAACTAAGTATGTAATTCAGAAAACTATTCACTATTTATATACGTCCAGACATTTTGATATCTCCTAATTTTATTAACAGCAAGTATTAAAAGTATAAGCTTAATAGTATATCGTAAATTTTTACGATAAATTTTGTAAATCGTGGATTATCGTTTCAACTTGTGTAAAGTGTACCTACAATATGTTAATATTTTCGCTGCCTTTCCTTGTGTATTGTCTGTAGTTTACGCGAGTAGTCTATACTAATATTCTTAAGCTGAAGAGTTTGTTTGTTTGTCTGTCTGTCTGCGCTAGAGCATTTATCGAGGAAGGCTATAATAGCAGCCACAAAACCAGAGACTCGCGAAAGATCCAGAGAAAAGCGATTTTAATTTTCAAGGGCTGTCTATGGCGCTTTGTGACTCGGACGAATCTCTATAATCATACCACTCATTTAATGTTCCGATTTTCTTAGAAGGGATGATATGCTTAGAATAATCTGATTTTTTTCCGTTATTTCTGACGAGCACGTTTGTATGCTGGTACGTAACATATTTTTAAAAATCAATTTATACTGTATATAGTTTACGCGAGTAGTATACATGTAAATAAAACACTTTAACGGTTTAAAACGCGATATATTATTTAAAATTATTTGAAAATGATTTTTAACTTTGGCCCAACGTTTCGGATGCTTTGCAGCAGCCGTGGTCACGGGGAGACTGTTACTGAAGAACTGTTACTGGGTTGACTGGAGAAGTTAAGAATAATTTTCAAATAAGTTTTACTAATATATCGCGTTTGAAACCGTTAAAGTGTTTTATTTAAATCAATTTATGTTCCGAATTATAAAAAAATCACTAATAAAAACATTGAAAACAATAATTTCATTAAGGCTAAAACAGATTATCAATCCGTTATCTAAGCCTTTAATGCGTAAAATATGTCATTGTTATTTTACATGAATGAGACATTATATCATAACATAACATATGCCACAACAAAGAGATATGAAAATAGATGAAATATGAATTCCGAATTTCCAAAGCTAAAATAGGTCAACAACACATCATGTTAGATGTTATCTGGTGGTAATTCACCTATCATCAAGTGACCCCATAATTTTGTGTTCTCCTTTATCATAAAAAATGAAATTGTTGTGTCTAATGGTTATTTAAATACATCTGTGTTTTACGTACGTTAAAATGTAGCTTAGATTTTCTGTTATCATCTTAACATATTATCTACTTTCCTGCTGCCAGTCGTAGATCTCATTTCCTCAGAAATAGATCAAAATAAAAACTAAAGAATGATCACGCTCAGACTGCGACTCAATTAGTCTAGATAACTGAGGCCCATAGATTAACGTGCTCTTTAAAGCAACGAGGTGGTAACAAATGAAGCTAAGAGCTTCAATTTAATCATTCGCACAAAGTATCTTTTAAATATTTTCATTTAGTTAGAAATATTTTTTTAACATAATTTTGAAGTCTGTGCCAAGTTTCAAAAACAAACAAATATAGATGTTAATAGTTGTCCCCTTCTCTTTCTGTCATCTATTATAAATAGAAAGAGACGGGAGGTATAGTACGCTTCCAAAACTAGTAAACAGCTATCTCCTAGTTTTGTTTACTCTTAAGCTCTCTGGATTTAAGTATAATTCGTGTGGAGCTGTTTTGTTATCAAACATAAATCAACACTAATTCCTCGAGATAGCTAATGTTATGACTTATTAGTGATGGAAAAAAGTGACTTTTAGATAGCATTTCCCCCAAGGCCGCTATATATAGTTCTATTCTTTATAACAAAATATAAAGGCGATAAATTTATTAGGTAATTTTAGGGATTATTTGCGGAAAATAACGTTAGATAAAATGTGTTCTTGGATTCCTAAAATACCTCAATACCTAAAGAAAAGGGGAACTTTTCTTTAGCTATTGAGAAGAAGAAGAAGAAGTTTTTTTTGTAACAAACTACAAAGGTTCAGAAAATAAAAAAAAATCATAAGGAGCTTTTAACGAAATTTTGGTCCCCGAAAAGTGGGTAAAGGAGTTTGGTTGGTTGCTAGTCTTACATTCTGTTGCACTACCACATCATACTATATTATAATTATAGCGCTTCTGTCTGCGTTGTGTTGGTGCAGATGCCTAGAGCAGTTAGTAGTTTCTTTCGGGTGTTATCATTATTTATTAATTTTAATTTTCCCTCTTTGTCTATAAAGAGTTCGTTTACAGAAGGATAAGCTCCAAAAATAGACACACATAGAGCAAATGTCTCATAACTGTGGTTTTTAAGTACGCGATGAAGAAACGCCTCAACTGTTAGTATTTTGTTATACCAATATCCGTTAGAAATAACTAAAAACCGAGCGCATTAAATTGTATTATATATTTTATAATCAACATATTTTTATATCTATGAATATTCTTATAACTATGATAAGTAGATTCTTCTTTATATTTCAACGTTACCTGAAAAAAAATGAATTTAAAATGAATTAATTACGAATACTACATAGTTAAAGTCTCAATTACGACGGCCGAACATCCCAAATTAAAATTCAAATAGCTTCATTATAGATATAAGCTCAGACAAGTGATATTCCTTTATTTAGTGAGTATTCCTTCACTTCATTAATAGAAGAATTTCTGCCACAAGTCACAACACAGTTTAGTAGGTTGGACTTAAGTCTGTTTTACCCCCATAAAATGACACAGAAATGTATCTGTCCCACAATAGACACTTTTAAAGTATTTTTTATGAAAGAGAATAGAACCATAGGAATTGAGGCTGCCGAGGATCGATGAACAGTGAATCAGATCCCAAATTACGACTTATTTGGCTCTGGACATTCTGAACGGCAGACTGACACAAATCTCAAATTAACACTTGACGGCTTTTTTTATCTGTGGATTAATGCAGAAGACCACAGAGCGTGGTAGTAACCTAACAGGACTTCTGCATTTTAACTACTCATAAAAAAACAAATTTGTCGATGATTGATACTTGCTATAAATATCTCAGGTCTCAGCTGCGGAGACTGCCAAAATCCTCTTATATGAACCGGCGAGGGAACGAGATGCCAGAAGTAAGAGTTCTCGCCGAGGCACGCCTGTTGTTGCTTCCTGCCATTGAGTGTGTGGTACCTGTGAAACAAATGTCATAATTAAAATGAAAGCAGTTCTTGTTTGATAATTTTTAGGACTTCGTTGGTCCAGTAGTAGCGATGTATGGGACCACCAGATCGTGGGTTCCTATTGCACTACAAAAAAAAACGATCTTCTTAACATATGACTTCGAAATACTGTCAGGTAAATTTCGAGTTGCACTACCGCTTCAAAGCGAGGTTACGATTTTAGTGTGTGAATTTCCGAATGTCCAAGATCAAACTAAACCTAGTACAAAATACTGTCTATAGTTTGCGCGAGTAGTACACATTTAAATAAAACACTTTAACGGTTTAAAACGCGATGTATTAGTTAAACTTATTTGAAAATGATTTTTTTTAACTTCGGCCCGACGTTTCGGATGCTTTGCATCAGCCGTGACGGGAGACCAGGGGTCATTGTCTCCCCGTGACCACGGCCGCTGCAAAGCATCCGAAACGTCGGGCCGAAGTTAAAAATCATTTTCAAATAAGTTTAACTAATATATCGCGTTTTAAACCTTTAAAGTGTTTTATTTAAAGAATAAACCTGTGTATTTGAAAAAAACACTTAAACGATTTAAAACGCGAAATACTATATGACTTGACGTTTCGAAGCTTTGCGGCAGCCACGCTCACTACACCGTCACAGATAAATAAGTTAACTCATATAATTCGCGTTTTAAACCGTTTTCTTAAAATTTGTGCCACTCGCGTAAATCCCAAAATATTAAACCTGTAGATTAGTGGCCATAATAGATCCGATAGTAGTGTTGTATCCAGTTTGTGCGTGGGTATAGTCTTTGGGCGTGGCTTCTCTCGCTGCCAGGACCGCAGCGGTTGGTACTGGCGTGCCCTGCGACTGAACTTGCAACTCAATACCAAGTGATGGCTGCGATAGTACTAGTAATGCTACATCATACCACCTGTAAAAAGTAGATGGGCATTATCAAGCAACATTATCTTTAAAATATTATTAATTAACTTTTACCCAAATTGCTAATCAAAACTTTAACTAGTCGCAAACAATATAAGAATAAGAAATAACAATATAGTATAACATAAATATGTTAAAAATATTAAACATACATAGAATTAAAAATCTTTATTTATGCATCACTTTGACCCATCTCTTTCAAATTTGAATATTTAATAAGTTACCAATATATCTGTTGTATCATTTGAGCGTCGTATAATAAGTTCCCCCCTCCCCCTCGAGGCACCTTTAGTCTAGCTGCAATCACGGCGAGCGATAGCGTGATCGCCCAAATGTCCAGTTAATATTCGTAGCCCTGGTCAAGTCCGCCCGCCTATATTATGGTTGGGCTCTACATATTGCCTTGCCTATCGTTAAGCGCGAGAGAACTAGATCATGCTTGTCTGACGTCCTCTATCCTAATAATACTGTATGGTATGGTTGGTATGAATATGGTTTTATCATACTATTTATGTAATATACCTATCAGGCATTGTTTCTTGAATAAAGCTTTCCACTGCGACGATTGGCACATTGTTATTAAGCTGCGCATTTACAGATCTCAGATGCGCAATACGCTGCTTCGCCGCCGCGTACGCAGCAGCGTAGCCGACTGGCTGTTCCGCTGTTACATCGCTCTGGGCTGCTTCACCACTGTAATGTAATTATAAATAAATGAAAATACTGTATAGGACTTAATATTTGTTACATTGATGTTACCTGAGTCTCTTGAATTTAACCTTATCCTTTTATTTCTAGAGATACTTATTTTTAAGGAAAAATAGGCTTAATATATATAAAGTATTGTCAGCAATAATACTAACACAACAGTGGCTTTTCCAAAAACAGTCTGAAATGCTTCTCGTATAGGAGATACTTTGACGTCTTTGTCCGATGCTATAACCATGTATAAATCTCCACCAGAGCCTGGAATTTCAATGGTAAATTTAGAAAAAAAATTATATTAACTCTCCCGCGATCTGTCTTATTTCTATAACTTACGTAAATATTCTTTCATCTGTGGATCTAGCGTTGTTATCATAGAGTCAACTGAACTCTTAGCTTTTTCAGCTACCTTTTGCAATATACCTCCACTGGACATTGCTCCTTTAACCCAGGTTATTAAGCCACTGCCTGGCATGATATCTCCTTTAAAGAAACATAAAAATATATATAATATTCATACTTTCTACATTTTCTTTGTTTTGGCAAATGTAAATGTGTGTTTTTATGAATAAACAAGGTCATAAAATTAACATAAATAATAATGTACAGTATCACTTAAAATAAGACTATTACAACATTCTAAAACTAACATTAATTGAAACATACATATAATACATACATCTAGAAATAAAAATTTAAGCATAAATTGGATTTGTTATTATAGGCTGCCTACCAATTGCATCCATTTCAGGCACTGACTCCGGCAAAGATTCAGGAGATTGTGTTGTTTCCGATTCTACAGGTGATCTTATTGACACGGTGGGTTCTCCTTTTGATAATGGTATTGCTGGACTAGGAAATCATATATCTTTAAATATGTATCATAAAAGCATGCAGAAATCAATATCATTTTCCTATTTGAATCTTTAAGTAAGTAGTAGTGAGAAGAATAGAAGTTGGTACCTAAAATTTTCGGGAGTTTGCGGTGACACTTCCATAGGTGCAGGTGCATCTTGGTTATGGGCAGTTTGCCGAACCTGAAAGTAAGAAACGTGTACACTTTTTTTTATTTTATCCCACATACATTTAGTGTCGATGAAGGTAAGTTGAATCTTCTTACCTCACTCTGAGAAACTGGTGGAGAGCTAACACTTGTTATAAAGTTCGGTAACTCCGACGGAGGAGCAACACTTGATAAGAGATTCCCAGTAGCTGCCAGTGTTGGGGCAGCTGGGATTTTGCTTTTTTTGTCGGTGATGTTCATCTTCGACCTATATATTGTTAAAATACAAGTATATAATACCAAAACTATGTTTTTGTATCCAATATGTTTCTTACTATTATTGTTTTGGAAATACAAGCCGAACGACAAATCAGCAATCGTCTAATGTCAAAGTCAAATGTCAACGCCAAGTCTATAGTTCTTTTTTGCGACTATAAAAAACCCTACACGAATATTTTTAAAATATTTGTGCGTGTGCTATGCACTTTGTACATAACACACGCATTTTTAATGGTACGGCTAAACAACGAAGCTCAAAATAAAAGACAATTGCTAAATGCAACGCAGTTAAAAAACAGTTAGAGTTTAAATTGTACTTTGATTACAAGTAGAAACAAAGTTATTTAAAAATTTAAATTAGAACAAAAAAGGAAATGTAGCAGTTATGTTAAAAATATAAATAAAAACATTATTATTATGTTAATCGATATTGTATTTATCATTAATATTACAATGTTAATTAATATATATAGTTATAATGAGTATAATTACAATAATTATACTATTGACATAGCTGACATTTCAGATCAAACTGCAATTGTCAAATTCGTAATGCAAAACGTCATCCAGTTGTTTCGTGGATAAACGTCGGTTGTCGGTTCGTTTTAATTTTTCTCACAATAATTATTTCTATTGTGCTGATAATATAGCTTGTTTAATTCAATACAGTTCCGAAGAGTTGTAGTGTTTTAGCTGTTGTGATTTATTAACGGTAATCATGTCGGAAGAATCGGCACCGTTCAGTAGCGTCGATATCAACAATGAAAACAGGGATGACGAAGATCTTTTTGCTTCAGCGGTCCAGGTATCTAATAGGAATCTGTTTTGAATCACATCTCGTCCGCCGGCCCACCGAGGACCGTTGACGCCCCTTTATACGGTGGTATACTGGTGATCTTTACGCCCTTAGTTCGTTTACGCGGCTGAGTCAATGAACACGTTAATTATCACTTAATTAAATTATGATAGTGCGCACTTTTAAGTTCAATAAAAGTAAACCGTTGCACAGAGACTCACAAACATAGTTAACATTTTTACAGTTACCAACTATAAATAGTAAAGCGAGTTTTTGTAACAACTTTTTATTGTAACATCTTCGCGAATCCGCCTGCTTCGTGATTTATTCTCTTGATCACTTGGGTTTAACATCCCGTTATAAAAAAATATATATTTTTTTGTAATTTGATCATCAACTATTACCTTTATAAACTTTTTTAACATGATCACTTATCATTACTATGTATTCATGGTACTTTTTTTTATAATCATAACATCATTTTTTTTTATAATAATTTAGTATTTGAAAGCAATAATATGAGTACGATCAATTCTTATTTCGAAGTACATTAACATCTTATCAGAAATTTTATAGATTAAAAGTATCATGTTATGATTCATTTTTAATAAGTAGGTACATTTATTTTGTGTAAAGAAGATTTTCTTTTAATATCGAATTTACATCACTCATATTACACCGTTTTACTATAAGATTTTCTTAAAAAGCAAGTAGTTGATTCTACCTAAACTCAGGACTTAGTAACACGTGTAATAATTTGGTTCAGGAGATAGTCAGATATTCTTGCAAAATACATTTAAAGTACAAGAAATAGTACTCTGTGTTGTAGTCTACCACCAAATGTACTTGACCTGAAGATTTCTAGGATTTGCAAGTAAAAATGCATAATTCACTCAACAATTCATGCAATTAATTTATTATTTAATAACAGTACTTCTAATTATCTTTATATTCAATAGAGTTTTTGTTTTATTTTTCCTCCATGGTATAAATGTAGAATGAGTACAGTATGGAATTAATTATCTGAATTTAAAACTCTCCCTTCAATAGGATTGTGCCAAAGATATATATACATACTAGAGAAAAGTAACATTTTTTCAGACTCTTGCTGGAAAATGTACAAAGAGATTTGTTGGCCACATATCTTAAAAACACATTTTAAATTTTCTATGTATAATTTGCAGGAAGTCAGTTTAGATCCAGAAGTAAACGGCGTTAGAGATGGCTTAGATAAAGTTAGTCTTGTGGATGCTCAAGTGACGACCACATCGTCGATTGGCAGTCCGATCATGGAAGAGGTATAAATACTTATTGTTTATTAGAATTAGCTACAATGGAACCATATGATAGTGCATACCATATTAAATACTGTTAAACAAAGTTAAGTTTTTATTATTTACTAGCTGTGTATAATAGTTATTTTGGTTAACAAAATTGTTTTTACAAACCTCCGCATTTCTATAATTTATTATAGTTGCTACCCACGACGTCGTTCGCGTACCGTCATTGTTTCAAGTTAATATTGAAAGATAGACATATATTTTTGTGGACTTTTTTTAAGATTGTATAAAGAGAAATCATTCTCTTGTACATATTTTTGAGTTTTCGCAGCGCGCGCAACAGAAACCTCCAAAGATTCATTTTTGACGTTCCCCGTTTTTTCACATTTCCCACTTTTTCTCCGCGTTTTACATAAATGCATAATTTTTCAATTCGAACCATTCGTTCCTGAGATTAATGCGTTCAAACAAACAAAGAAAAACAAACTCTTCAGTTTTATTATATAAGTTTATATGTAACTATATTTAAATAGTATATAAATACCTACCAAGTAGGCATTCAATCCACAATCTATTGATTTTATAAGTCCCTATTGTCACTTCAACTGTTTCACAAGCCTGTTTGTAATTCATATGCAGTTTATAAATTGAAAAAGTTAGTTTACTGATATACTATTTGACACATACTGTCTGTAATTTACGCGAGTAGTACACATTTTAATAAGAAGCCGTGTTCACGGGGAGACCGTCTTCTCGTGACCACGGCGGCTGCAGAGCATCCGAAACGTCGGGCCGTAGTTAGAAATAATTAGATAAGCTGAAACGTCTGCAAAGTTTTTGTATCCTATTTATATTTGGACTACGAAAATTCGGCCATATTTCTACGTTTCGTAAAAAGTTAGGGTAGCTGTCCATTCGCCTTCGGCGAGACTCACATGTCCTTCAGCTCCTATACTCTATTCTCTTCGCTTCTAATTCTCCTCCATATCTTAAATCTAATTTTAAATACTTGGGTCCGTACTGTAGTTATAGTTTGCGATCATCGGACCGTCATATTCTTGAGTTTCCTTCACGGCTTCAATTTCCATTAAATCCTTTCGAATTACTGCGATCAGGCTTTGGAACGTCTTACCCGTTTCCATACACATGGCTCCTTCTCTCCCATCTTTTAAACGGCTCCTTTATAAACTTTTGCTGTCTGTCATCTAAGTAAAGTCACTTTATATTTATTTTAAGTCCCTTTGTTTAAGTTAGTAAACATGTAACCTTTTGTAGATATGTATGTTTTTATTTTAAGTTCTGCGTTTTTTTTTGCTTATATATTGTTTATTGTTTGTATTAATTTGTTTCGCCTACCTCGGACATTTCATTTTCTTAACATTTCATAACTTTAGGTTGCCTGGAAGAGATCGCTTGCTAGCGATAAGGCCGCCCTTAGCTCTCGATTCTAGTATATAAGTTTAATTTGAAACATTGCAAATAGGTATAGTGCCCTCATGCATGTGATATATGCAATATGCGAAAAAATATTAAAGTTATCAAACATTATTGCAGATAGTAACTGAACGCGCGAATAACATAATAGTCACAGTTACTGAACCCCAGAAAATCGGTGAAGGAATGAGCTCATACGTTGCATACCGTGTCATCACCAAGACCAACATGCCGATATTCAGCAAGCATGACTTTGCGGTTCTGCGTCGTTTCAGTGACTTTCTGGGTTTACATGAGAAGCTGACGGAGAAGTATTTAAGGTCCGGTAGAATTATTCCACCGGCGCCTGAAAAAAGTATAGTGGGTATGTTTTTGTTATTTATAATTTAAACTATTTGGATTGCAATGACTATCCATTACTAAATGAAGTAATCAAATCTATTATAGTGTAGTGATTCATGTAATTGATAAGCTGTCTGTATCTTCAATAATGGAAAACTATAGATTACTATAACATGACCGGTATTGCTTGCAGAAAATTTTTATTAAATTTGAGAACTGATAGTTAAAATGAAAATTTGGCTTTTAATAAATTAACAGCTTAAAAGCTGTATTGACAAATATAATTATACTTATAGTAAAAAAATATTAATTTTTGTGTGTAAGCTATAAATACTTTTTTTAACATATCGTATTAAACTTAACAAAAATAATTTATTGCTGCATTTATTAAGTTTAAACAAGCTTAAAAGTTCAAATCGAAAGTTAGTTTTTGTGTAGTTCCTTTGACATCAAAATTTAAAGTTCATCTCTTTCAGGAACAACTAAACTCAAGATGGCGTCCACACCATCTACTGAAAGTGCCAATGGAAATTCTGGGTCCAGCTCCCTCCAATCACAATTTGTGGAGCGGCGAAGAGCTGCCTTGGAGAGGTTCTTGAACCGAGTAGCCCAGCACCCAGTTTTGTGCATAGATCCTGATTTTAGGGAATTCTTGGAATCTGGTAAGTTAATACTGTCTGTAGTTTACGCGTGTAATACACATTTGAATTAAACACTTTAACGGTTTAAAACGCGATATATTAGTTAAACTTATTTGGAAATGATTTTTAAGTCTCCCCGTGACCACGGCTGCTGCAAAGCATCCGAAACGTCGGACCGAAGTTAAAAATCATTTTGAAATAAGTTTAACTAATACATCGCGTTTTAAACCGTTAAACTGTTTTTATTTAAATTTGGTAAGTAGTAAAAGAAAAGACTTCAAAGTACTATTTCTGACTCTAGTATTTAACCAAAATCCACTTTTATTATAGATCAAAACATTGCTAATTTTTGTTTTTTTTGTAACCAGAGTTGAAGCCTGGTGGAGCAGTCTTCTAAACTACTGACCATTTAACAAAATACCCCATTCCCTATTTTATTTATTTACTAAGGCTTACTAAATAAGCAATAGTACGAATAATCCTTATGTATGTAGGTAACTTATACATATGCACAGCATACGCCTATCTATGAAGGATTTGCTCAAACATATTTTAAATACCTACCCTACCAAATATTTTTAGTAGCTATTTCACTTATTTAAGGAAAAGTCAAAGTAAAATAGATTAGTGTTTAGCAAATTTGGATTTTCCAGATACGGAATTACCGAAAGCAACTAGCACATCCGCACTAAGCGGGGCCGGAATGTTGCGTCTGTTCAACAAAGTTGGGGAAACAGTCAATAAAATTACATACAGAATGGACGAATCTGATCCTGTAAGTAAGATTTAGCAATTATCATATGAGTAGTGGTAGATTTTTCTATTCAAGGAAGTTATGGGTTTATTTAGTAGCCGTCTAATGGCACAAATGTTTGGTAACAATGTACGGCCAATGATCAATGCATCGATTCTAAAACATGTTGGGCTCCGACTGGAATTCTCGATATTAAATGGGCGGTAGGAATTCCGTCCGCGTCTCAAACTACCGTCCACAGATGAAAAAGCCTTGAACTTTAATCTCGTTTCGGTTTCAGTCAGTGGATTTCCCAATATCCAATGGCAAAATAGGTCGACGGCGCATCATGTTTAGATGCTATAGGCTTTGGTATTTTACCCACAAGTGAACCACATGTGTATCTATCGTTCTCTATCATTAAAAACAATAGCAGATAGTCTCAGTTTTACCTACTTTTAAATTACCTACAATTTGTTTCCTAATGTAGTGGTTTGAAGAACGTATCGCCCGCGTGGAGTCCCTTGAAGCAGGCTTGCGCCGTCTGTGCGGGGCGTGCGAAGCGCTAGCGACGGAGAGACGGGAACTAGCCGCGCGGTCTCATGAAGCGGCTAGATCTATTGCGGCAGCCGCTGCAGCTGATCCACATGCGCCGCTATCGAGGGCGCTCTCCCATCTCTCAGATCTACATGAAAAGGTGACAGTAGAAAAATAATAAAATACAACTTCGCTAAAGGAAATGTCTGAAAATACTAATAATATTTATATTTAAAAAAACCACGTACGGGTTTCTAAGACCACAGTTAAATAAATCACTTTAACGGTTTAAAACGCGATGTATAATAGCTGAACTTATTTGGTTAATATATTAACTACGGCTCGTGTCCGATGCTTTACAGCAGCCGTGGCCAGGCTAAAACAAAAGATGGAGGGTGTCACTATTGTCAAATAAACACTGTTACGCAAGCGCCATCTGTTCCATCGTTGTCAGTATTGGGCAAAACTGGCCGTGTGATTGCAGAATTTACAAACAAATTTTACTGATATATATGGCGTTTTAAACCGTTAAAGTATTTATTTAAATGTCTACTACTCGTGTAAACTACAGACAGTATTTAAGACCACAGCGTTTATTTATTTATTTAACATATTTAATACACATTTAACCAAGTAGACTATGTTCTATACATATTAGTACTTAGTATTATTGCTGTTTTATTAATTAAGTTTCCTAATATTCTTTTGATTACAGATTGAGCACTTAAGGGTGGAACAATCGAACACAGATTTCTATGTACTGACTGAACACATCAAAGACTATCTTGGTCTTATTAGTGCTATTAAAGATGTATTCCATGAGAGAGTCAAGGTATTAACTAGTATTTTATGATTATTTACTAGACTTTGTGCCTAGACTGATATTGGGTTTGAATTCTTAGTTAGTTACGTATAAGATGTGTTTGTGAAAGGGGTAATTAAAACTATACACAAATATAATTCGATATTTTTATTACGTATAGAACAATTATTTATAATTACACTAGTGATTCGCCCCGGCTTCGCTCGGCTGCAATGCTGATACCCTACAGAAAAACTGAATGTTGCATATAAAAACCTTCCTCTCGAATCACGTAGTTTTAAAGATTTAAGCGTACATAGCGACAGAAAAGACAACTTTGTTTTATACTATATAGTAAAGCTCTGCCCTATTTACTTATTATAAAATGCTTACAATACTGACTTGCAGGTATTCCAAAACTGGCAACACGCTGAGATGCAACTGAATAAGCGGAGAGAAAATAAGGCGAAAGCTGAACTCGCTAATAGGCCAGAGAAGATCGAGCAAGCCTCCAATGAGATTATCGAGGTATACTGTATATAATGAATAATCTATCTTGCGTCTTATTTTCATAAAATTGAACTGACTTCAAAATTTCACCAAACCATATTATAGGAAACTATCGTTACACAAAGAAATTAGAAGACTGATCATATTTTGATCGCATAAGCGACTTTCCAACGAAGGTTTGCTAACTTAGGCATGTTACTGAATAAAATTTTGATGTAAATACCACAACGCTAAATATCTTACGTAAATAGTAGGGTAGGGTCTAAAAGACCCATTAAAAAAAAAGCTATTATTCAAAGTAATCGTTCAATGTTTTGGTAATTAGTAATATTATTCTAGATTTTATAAGGACCTTTTTTATCTGTATAATAGTGTATACATATTTTCTAGTGGGAATCCAAAGTGGAACGCAGTCACAATGAGTTCGACACTATCTCGCGTGTGATCAAGAAGGAGCTGGAGCGATGGGAGGAAATCCGAGTCACGGAGATGCGGGCTACCATACTGCGTTATCTAGAAGAGCATATGAAGCACCAGGCACAGGTATAGATATATTTTTCAATAGTTTACCAGCTTGTAAAGAAAGATCGAAGCTAATTGGTTACAATCAAGGTAAGTTTTACAAAAAGGCTTAATACAAAAGTGGCCCCTAAAGACAGTAGCAATGTCATTGAAAATTGTACCATCTTTCTATAGGAAAAGATGTTACAATTTTCCTTTTATTTAAATTTAACTGAAGCAAAATTTAACAGCTTTTATTTATGTGCTGTGTAGTGTCATTATAGCTTAAAAGTCAATTCGTGAGAGAGTATTGTGACAAAAATATTATTCTTTCCAGTCGGTTAGATACTGGGACGCCTTCCTACCCGAAGCACGCGCGATTAAATGAGTTCGGTGTTGCGGCAGGTACCGCGACTCACTACACACACCTAACACTACATTTTAACTCAACTATTTACAGCGGCAGAGAAAAACATGTTTACTTTATTGCAGTAAGGTTGCCAAATATTTCAAGAATAGTGTATGTAAATTGATTTGAATTAATATTCTATATTAAAAGATAAGAGTAAAATTTAGTCTTTTGTCCGCTGGCTGTTTAATAATTACATTCTGACATCTGTAAGCTATTACACTTTTTATCAGTTAGTGGACCAGAATTAGACATTTTGGAGTGTGGCTCTTTATAAAAAAACTAGTTAACAAGTAAACAAAATTACAAAAAAGTATTAAAGAAATTAAAAAAAAACACAATCTGGATGTTCTGTTTTATCAAGAACAAAATAATATTTATCTTAAACTTAGTCGCTATGACTAACCTTTGTCTGCCGTTGTAAATACATGTAAGATAAAAGATATAACTATAAAATGTCTGGTAGAAGCTACCTAAGGGTTTAAATAAATGAAAAACTAACGTAATTCGTAATTCAATAAACCTAACCTTGTTCTACACTATAAACATTAAAACAACACAGTTTTATGTGAAAGTCTAGTGTGTAACAAGCCTTATGATATGGCAGAATAATATCAGGTATTCAAATTGGAAAGATCTTCGTGTTTAAACAATTACATAATTATACATTTTTTTTAATTCTACAGTGACCTAATATTATTGTGCTATACATATAGTTTATATTTGTATTATAAATAGATGATTTAAGTTTAGTCTTCATTAAACACGTCAAAGTCAGCTAATGTCAAAATGTAATATTAGGAATTAAATGTATAAACGATCTCTATTATGTGTATCATATTGTGTCAAAGTTTGCTGTTTCACGGAAATTATTTAAGAATGGCAAACATAAAGACTTATATAGCTATGTAGAGATGGTTTTGAGGCTAAGATATTTTTTTCACTACCAATGATTCCAATTAAAATAATAATAATTAAATGATTAATTGATAACCTGAAATAGTTCACCAAAACGAGTTAATTATAAAAGGAAGTAAAAAACATAATTGTTTAAAACGCGACATATTTTAGTTAACTGATTCTCAATTTAATCGAACTACGCTCCCCCCTCGTGTCCACGACTGCAAAGCTTCCGGAAGGTCGGGCCGGAGTTAAGTAAAATAAGTTAACTAATATATATCGCGCTTTAAATCGTTAAGTATTTTATTAAATTGAATATTATTATTAATTATTTTAATTTAAATAAAATAACACTCAACCGAGTCTGCCGTCGTAATAACCTAGGGTTTTGTATCCTTGTTCTTTGTAGGGGATTGTGGGAAAGAGACAGCGCTCTATTAACTCGTTTCGGTGAATACCCATAGCAGATAACTCAACTTGTAACTGTCCACTTCTAATTTCCCTTGTCCATTTATTGCTCAATATCACCAATTCGCAAATCCAACATTTTGCTCAAGGTATACCAAATACTAAGTCTTGATGTGCGCTATTCATATAAACTACATATTGGGCTGTGTTTAAATTGTAATAGAGATTGTTATTCCTTAAAAACGAGTCTGAAAAAAATAATTTAGTTTCCATGAAGAAACGTCTTGACCGAATTGCTGTTACGTTGTTTTGTAAAATAAGTTTTATCTTAGAAATACTTACTTTGTTTTGCTTATGTAAATGTTTGTAAGGGTAATATGGTAAGTGAATAATTGAGGCTGCTGGAGGCATAGTAGCCTAATGAAAAAACATGATTTTCAATCAGGAGCACAATAAAAATGCGAAAACTTAGACGAAAATGAATTTGTGCTATTATGTTAACAATTTTCGATCACTGTGCTCTATTAGATTAACATATTCAGACTATAAAATATAAATAACTCAAGTCAAAAATTGCAGTTAGGCCACTCTATCTCTAGCGGCCGCAATCCATAGTAATATTTGCATTTAGTTTCTCCACCCATTATTAGTTTTGATAGTTATCACATGCGTTGAAACTTAAACATAGTCTATGGTTCAATCCAGATTATAGAAGCGCCTCTGTCGGTAAATTAAGGAACTGGTTTACTATACTTTTTCAAAGGCGTATTTTTACTCTTTAACTATTAAACATATGTTTCTGTGTATTCCTTCAATCTTTAATTTTAAAATTTGATTTACATGTGCATGTAGACATTTAGATATTTTAATATTAGTCTGTATGTGTAATATAGAATTACTATTCGTAACGATTACAGCATAGCTGTGTCTGTATGTTGTAAGAGGCACATTTTATGCGTTGCAAGTGAAATATATTGTCTATTGCTTTTTCGCTATAACGTTAAATATTCTTTTGAACAGGAATAAGGATTCGTTAAATACGGTCTGTAGTTTGCGCGAGTACTAAACATTTAAATAAAACACTATAACGGTTTGAAACGCGAAATGTATTAGTTAAACTTGTTTACAAATTAGTCTCCCCATGAACACGGCTGCTGCAAAGCATCTAAAACTTCGGGCCGTCGTTAAAAAAATGTGATTCATTTTAGCTAGTATATTTCGCGTTTTAAACTGTTGAAGTGTTTCATTTAAATGAATTCATTAGTGGCTTGACTACAGCTCAGTTTTGAAACCTTAGTATCGGAACCTACGTTTTATCCGTCTATTCCATATCTGCGTGGGCCCAGATGTGGGATAGATAGGATGAAACGATTGATTCTCTCTCACTTAATACCTTATTTCTGGTCGATCGTACACTTCCCTATATTTTTATAATTGTTATTTTTAATGTATATTTTACTAGACAATGTATTCCAATTAAGTTAATTATTGTTAAGTGTTACTATTCATTATTATGAACAAATCCGTTAACATGTAAAATATATTCTAAAAGAAATCAAAATAGTAAAGCTGAGTTCTGTCCAAAATTATTTCATTGAGTAAAATAGACATTTTCTTTCATCTATGATATAGTCAGAGCACCACATAGTTGAATCTGGGACCTCTAGAAGTCAAGCATACATAACCATTGAGGTGCTGATTAAAAAGTCTTTACTATTCTTCATATTTCAATAATAAACGGGTGTAATTACATTACCTTTGTTATAAAGGTATGCCTATGTAATATTTTGCGATAAGCTTATCGGTTTTAGGATGTCCCGATCGAATTCCTTAAAACACTTTCCGATGTAAAGAAATTAGTTAGTATTAATAAAATGTCTATCTATTATTTTTATATTGCCAAATATATTTAGCGGTAATTCGGTATGGAGGAGCAATGGAAAAGATAATATTGTTTAAATTATAAATATTGTAATGTATTCCAATTATATTATTTACTTAAACATTGAGTTCTCTTTCATTTTACTATTTAAAGTATCTATTTTTACATAAGAAATAAATAAACAGAAAATTCGATTTGAAGATTTCTTAAGCTGTAAAGCATAAGACGTTAAACCAAACGCTATTAATACGCAAGTGTTAAGGTTGAAATTACATACATTGCGACGAGGACTCGGTAGCTCAGTTGGTAGAGCAACAGCACGGAACGCTGACGATGCCAGTTCAAGTCCTGCCCGAGTCGAAAATTTTCTCAATTTATTTTCGATTTTTAAATTATATCCATCATAGTATATTAATATCACCAAAATTTTTGAAATAAGTAGTATGTTGAAAAATAATGTTAATCTATTTAAATATTATTGATGGAAAACGATACTTTTCATCTGTACCAGTCACACTCGTGACGTCATTTGTGCGCATTCATACAGTCCACCTACTCTTGTAGCCGGTGAAACTGCAAATATTACCACATAGCACGTCGTAACGTATAGAGTATAGACAATTAGCTTTAGGTACTTTAAAGCCTATAAATAAATAAAAAAAAAATTCGTAGAAAGAATAAAATCGATAAAAATGAATTTAAAACTATTTAAATACTGTAATTTACGCGAGTAGTACACATTTAAATAAAACACTTTAACGGTTTAAAACGGGATATATTAGTTAAACTTATTTGAAAATGATTTTTAACTTCGGCCCGACGTTTCGGATGCTTTGCAGCAGCCGTGGTCACGGGGAGAGGTATTTATATAAATTGATTTTAGAAACATGTTGGGTCTGGTGAGGACCCGTTGACTATAAGCCATACATTGCTACCATTACCCAACAAGAGCGCGAAGGTTTGTTTCACTGGTCTGCAATTAGTTAATTATTATTGACGCTTGATACATGATAGAAGCTTTAAATAAAACACTTTAACGGTTTAAAACGCGATATATTAGTTAAACTTATTTGAAAATGATTTTCAACTTCGACCCGACATTATAATAGTTTAACTAATAAGTCGCGTTTTAAACCATTAAATTGTTTTATTTAAATGTCTACTACTCCCGTAGACTATAGACAGCATGTGACGGAAGCTATTTATTTCCCGGGATTCAAACACCGACTATCGCATTTAAACAACAACGCTCGTGAAAATAATGATCTACTGTAATGAATAACAAATTTTCCCTGTATTTTATCGCTATCATTTGATAAGGTGAATCGATATATAAGTGTTTACCCAATACATTAAGTGCGGCCCACTTTCCTCGTCACCTCAGTGTGTCAACGTACAATTTTCCAATAAATTAAAAGTGATAGGTGAACAAATCACAAACGATTCTGATAATTTCTTATCGAACAAAAGATTATATTGATTCCCTATATATGAGCAATTATTATCAGATTTGTTGAACAATACCAACAGGTGAGTGTGCTTGTGTGTAATCTTGTAAATAAACTGTGTCAAATATAATTCCTTATTGTATATTACCCAGTTTGTCCTGTAGTCCTAGGGCTTCGTTGTCCTGAATAAACCAAAACACATCTGTTTGTCCGAAATAAGAACTCGGGGTTTTTCATGCCTAACAATGTTACCAGACACATTTTACAACTGACTCATAGGAGCGTCTCCAAATAAGAAACTTAATTGTTTTTTCTTACTGAATATTAGCTCACATATCTTAAATGGTATTGTATTTTTCATTGCAGTCAAGATGAAGTTATTCATAGCGCTAACTCTACTCACCGTTGCCTGGGCTCTACCGAAGCCGTTGGATCCCCAAATCCAAGATTTGACAATTAACGAACCTGCTGCTGATATAGACAATGACTTCAAGTCCATTGTCGCTGAGGATAATAATAATGCCTTTGAACTATCATCTGCTAATGAAAATGATATAGAATTATCGAATGCCGACATAGATATGGCTATTCCAGAACAGTCTAATGACGTGGACAACGCTGAAGAACCATCTGCAAATGTTGACAATGATCTACCATCTCTATCTGAATTACAAGAGATAATTGATATCGCACACAGTTTAATTGAGGAAGAAAACCTCGGAGATTCAGACGTCAGGGTCATTAATGTTCTTCTCGATGAGGAATCACCGAAAATCGAACCCGCGAATGGTCTGGAGGCTCCGGAACTGAATATCGTTGAATCGAACAACATTTTTGACGAGGAAGATATGGATGATGAAATCCATGACGCGGTGTTAGTTGGAGAACCGAGTGTTGAAAGTGACGACGTCCGTGTTGCGGAAGCGGTTGCCAATGATGATGCTTTTGATCGTCTCCAAGTTGTGAACTTTGATAAAGATACAGATTTTCGTGGTATAATGGGAATTGCGCCGTCTGAATTGGAATCATTAAGAGTGGAATTTGAGGATGAGGCTGAACCTTTAGCTGATGAACAAAACGATCAAGCTATTCCCAGGGAGGTTTTGTTTTCTGATCCGAATTTACGTTAAAATTTGAAAAATATAATTTTATATGAAGGTACCAGTATTTATTATTAAACAGGTTAACAAGATATAATAGCATTTTCTAATCAACAGATAAATCTTATCTATTCTACATACTTCAGTCTATATAGTTTAACTGAAATCGCGTACTTAATGAATATTAAGTCCTAACTTAAGGCTGCTGCAAAGCATCCGAAACGTCGAGCTGAAGTTAAAAATCATTTTCGAATAAGTTTAACTAATATATCGCGTTCTAAACTGTTAAAGTGTTTTATTTAGTGTAGATAATTAAAAGTATACTACAGATACCAAACATTTTAATGAAGTTTCAAAAGGCACAGACAATCCCAAGTACTGCTGATATGCAAGTTTGAAAAGATTGCACTTATGAACAGAACAGAATGCTTCTTCACTATGCAAATTCTTATCACCTACATTCTTATGAAGGAAAAAGTAATTAAAAAACATCTATATTATTAAGTTTATTACCTATATTATCTTCTACCTAATTATCACTAACAATCACTGTTCTAGATTATTTCAATACATAGTCACTTGGATACTCCATAACTTTGGGATATTGCTGTACTTCATCTTCAGGAATATGATCCAATCTTTGAGGTACAAGTCGTTGTTGTCTGATTTGATTGCTAACATTTTGCATAACATCATCTGGTATCTCTTCACCAGGGTAAATGAAGAGTCTTTCCATTGTGTGGCGTCTTTGGAGGTTACCTTTCATTGATTTGTACACTGCTTTTTTTATGATCTGTAAGAAATAGATTTATTTCTATGTCAGGACAAATTTTAAGGATAATTCTATTCCCCCAATGCAAGCTATTAAGCAAACACATATTTGTGTCTGTTTAGAGGAAATTAATTAGATGAATACCTAAATTCCTCATAATAGTCCAATGTTTAGTTTGTTTTTTCAATATATTCTCTACATTATTAGATTATGTAATAATATAATAAATATAACATTTTATAACATGACAAGGTATGTGTTAAGTTCTTATTTATTTGTATTATTTTTATTAGATTATTTACCATTGTAGGGTCCTTATTATGAAGCTCCCATGCAAGGGTCCATGATGCTCCACCAGGATAACCAGTGTGGTGGAAGTAAGCACGTTTGCGCCACTCATCGCCTCTCAAAGCAATTTCTCTACTATTGATACAAACCACGACATCGCCACAGTCATTCATGGGATGATAGATAGGTTTATGCAAACCCATTAAATATTTTTTAATGACATTCGCTGACTGATACGGATCTTGCCACTTGCAGTCGAAAATATGCCAAGTACGCGCGAAAGTCGCCCATTGCTGAAAAATAAAAATAACAGAAAACATAAATGAAATACAACAGTCCAAACCAGTGTACATCCTAAAAAATTTAAATGTTTATATACTTGGACTCGTTTCGCTGCAGACATGATAAAGACTTAACGTATATTTTTATATTCTATAGATTTTCAACCAATAGGTTTATAAAAACTGAAATTAAATTACTATATTTTATTTTTGTAAATAATAAATATAAACTTTATTGGAGGTTAGTTCTATTTCCACACCCACAGATGGTAGATAACAATTGTGTGTAACTACATAGTAGACAGATAATAATTAAAATTATAAAATCTAAAATTGCCATATAAATGAAAAATGCCACAACAATTGATTTTTAAGTATGCCAATACCACGTAAAATACATAAAATTTCTTGATTCTCAAATTCAAATAATACCTAATATAACAAATTATACAGTTTTCTATATTTGACGAAAATAAAATAAATAATACGTTATCAAAATCATCTGTCTTCTTTCGAAGAGCTGTGTCAGTAAGACTGAATCTGTCATAAGTCATTGTCATTTTTGGAGAAATCGGCTGCAGCTGAGCGGCTGAAAAAATGTTTGTCATCGGAAAATTGGTCACGAGACAATATCGTTTACATATTCGCCACTTAATTAATAAAAACACAAGATTAAATTCTGCATTAAGTGTAAAATTAAAAACTGCAAACTATACATCGTACATACGAGTACCTTGGGCGCTGACATTGTTGAAAAGAACATTGCATACAGTAAACAGGTGTCAATATTTGGTATCAATAATTTTTCAGGTTACTGCCGGCCCGAACTATTAAATAAAGACTTTTAGTGTATTTGTAAATCATTAAAACTATAACAATATACACTACAATTTTACGATAGTAAAATATTGATATAGATAAATACAAATATAGAGAGAAAAGTTACTTCTGTTAACTGTTAGACACTGTTCTGGTAACTGTTGTTAACAAGAAAAATATTAATACTAGTGTACGAAGCAGCCCAATAGATAGATAACCATAATATTATTTTGGGTTTCTGGTAAAAACACAAACACACATACATTGTATTGAGGTCAACATTAGTTTCTTGAATATAATTCTCTTAGAGAAATTGCTTATACAACAGTTTACAGTAATAGTAATATAGTCTTTACATTATACAACATAAAGAGCAAGATAGAACTATACAATTGTAACTTTTTAAAACTGACAATACCACATTCAAGCCCAACCTTGATTCAGATTCAATTGAATTGTCCGACAGTATGCACCTGAGTGTCAAATGGTATATTTTAATTCAAATATTGTTTCTCAGGGAATTGGACGCTATGGGTCTGAGTCCCCTTGATCCGTCCTCATACTCAAGGCCTGGTAAGTGATACTAATTGACATCTGAAATATTATTGTTAGATTTTGTATTAAAATAAAATTTTCAAGAGTTTAAAACAAAACATGATTATGGTCATAATTGAAAATAAGTTAATCAATATAATTACATGTTTTAAATCGTTTTTTATCGTGTCCTACTTGCGTAAATTTCAGATAATATTTTGTTAGGAATAAATTATTTTGGGATTTTATCTCTGTGTTTCAATAGTTAAATGCTTAGCCTGAGGTCCACTCTTTAAATAGAATGTAATATTTTACATAACGAAAATGTGATTTCACTTTTAAAATATATTTTATCATTAATTTTAATTACTGTCTGTTTTTCTGTTATATAACTTAACTTAAATCTAGGATATTTTATTTATCTTTAATGAGTAACATTGATTACAAATGTATCACTCTTTAAACTATAATCATAAATGTGTATAATTATTGTGCAGTAAATCCAATTACTTTTTTAGAACAAGCTGTTGTAAAGCATGTGGACTTGAAATTGAATGTGGACTTTGATAACAGACAACTGAGTGGTGAAGCTCTACTGACGGTTAATGTATTAGACTCCATCGAAGAATTGGTAAGATAAATAAGTATTACTTTTATACTGCTAATCAAATTCCGACTAACCCACCAGACAATATAATGTGTATTTCCCAAAATCAAAATTTATGAGAGAGTTAAAAAGTTGCTTGGCCCTTTTATATTTTTATTAGTTTATTTGGTCAGTTAACTTAGGTGTTACCTAAATACTGTCTATAGTTTACGCGAGTAGTACACATTTAAATAAAACACTAACGGTTTGAAACGCAATATATTAGTTAAACTTATTTGATCTCCCCCGTGACCACGGCTGCAAGCATCCGAAACGTCGGGTCGAAGTTAAAGTGTTTTATTTAGGTGTTACCTCATAAAAAAACTTTTGTATAAAGGAAAATATTTCATGATTAAAATTATCTCAAACTATCAAGCATCTTTAAGTTGTCACTAAATTTGACATGCAATAGATATAACTTCTTTATCTTAATATTATTACGTTATCGTAAGTACGTATATTTATGTTACTTTTGCAGGACTTTACCAAAAAATAGTCTATAACTCGAAATAGAAGCTAAATGAATATTAAAATTGTATTTGTGTTTACTCATCAAGCACGACATACACTGATTTAAGTATTATCTGAAGTTACCAATAATTTTATATTTGTTGAAAAGTTGAATTACTTATATACAAAAAAAAATGGAAGTTACATACTACAGACTGTCTTTGTAGCTAAATTATTATATGAGTTGCAATCCAGGACCTCCATTATGATTATGATTAATCCAGGTCCTGTATTTGAATGTTTTCGGATGCCATGGTTTCGGATGCTTTGCAGCAGCCGTGGTCACGGGGTAACAAAAGATGGGGGGTGTTAACGATCGAGGGAAACATCGGGCCATTTAACATAATTAAGTAGAAAAGTTCAAAGAAAAGCAACAATAGGTATATACACAACAAAAAATCGTTTTATATTAGGGCCAGTTATAAATATGTACCTATTTCTTAGTTTTTTGAACTGTGAAGGAATTTGTTATAATTATCTTGTATGTTACTATTAATAAAAATCCTTCACAGATACTTGACTCAAGCAACCTAACAATAGAATCCATTGAATCCGAAGATGGCAAAGTATTAAACTATAAATTGGACGATCCCGTACCCAATTATGGATCCAAATTGACGATACCTCTGCCGGAACCGGCTACAGTCGATCAGAAGTAGGTATTCAAATATTAAAGCAAGAAAATTACAAATATAATTTTATTTTGTTATGTGAGTTGACAGATTTAAAATTAAAACCCCTTTAAACGGTTCAAAACGCGATATATATTTGTCAACTAATTTTCCATTGTAACTACGACCCGAGGTGACGTTACCGTTGCTCTTATACAGCTGTTGTCACGCAACGTAACCAAAGGAAGGAGAGTGTTTCAGAACCGTTCTTTTCACTAATTGAAATTCTTTGGGGCAAATTTGTTGGGTCTTTAGATATATTCTTTTCACGTTTTCCAAGGAAATTAAGAACTGAAGATGGAGTTAGTATAGAAGAGGGAAAACACCAAGATATCAAACAAATGCCCTCTGGTACTATGGCTTTAAATTTTAACGGCCTCATCTATCGCCCGGTAATAGAGATGTGTGAACTTAGTGACTCTATCAGCGGAACGTCCACTATGTGTGTTAAAGTACTGCAAAGCAATTCCGACTGTGTGCACTTTGATGGGAGGCAGTGAGGTTTTTTTTCGTTTTCAGTAGTAGGGTAGTCTTACTAGGATGTTGTACAGTAAGGTTATAGACCTAATTTCAATGAGACATAATCAGTATAAACTGTCAATATTTCATCAAGTTATAGTCGATGTAGTTTTGTTTGGTAGTCTGGCTCCTTAGCCAGGTTTCTGTATTGGGGGGGGGGGGGGGATACTAAACATTATCATTTTAATCGTGGTTGTATACAACAGTAGCTTGCATTCATTGGTTTGTTAAATATGCCAATACTCTTATATTTTTGCGACCAGCATTAATGTTACATTAAGCCGAAATATTTGGAATGTGTTTCCCTCTTAAAGAAGACTCTCGGAAAAATAATATTATCTCTCTAGGGAGGGTGTTTGCCCCTCTCTATCCGTAACTGGCTACGACCTTGTTTATAGTAGGTAATGCATTTTAAAAAACCTAGTTATTGTAGAGTATAACTTTGGTAAGTAATACAAATTATATAGAATAAATGGCAAGATTGTTTATACTGTTTAAAAATGCCTTAAAAGTTTTTAACCAATTTTTATCCTTCAGAATTAAACTAAGAATAAAGTACAAGACTTCGCCAACTGCGACGGCCCTACAATGGCTGGAGCCGAAACAAACTTCCGGCAAGAAGTACCCATACATGTTCAGTCAATGTCAGGTAAGCAATAAGTGCCCAAGCAATGCAAAAAAATAGATACAATTGAACTAAAACACTTTAACGGTTAAAAACACGATATATATTAGTTAAACTTATTTGAAAATGATTTTTAACTTCGGCCCGACGTTTCGGATGCTTTCGCGTTTTAAACTGTTAAAGTGTTTTATTTAAATGTGTACTACTCGCGTAAACTATAGACAGTATTTAGATACAGTTTCTTTAATCAATACACAGGCATTTTTAGTTGAAAGATATTAAATATCTGAAAATTTTTAAGGTTTACACTGATGCTTAGACCGATTACCACTATTACATAAGTGATGATAACTGGAACGAAGGTTTAACTTGGTCTCCAAAGCTCAAGATAATTTGACATTTTCTCTCCATAAAGATATGTTTTGACAGCCTTTGTAGCCAAATGGTTAAATGTGTTACCATGGCGCTAACGAGGTGTTGGTTTCGAATCCTGGTGAACCAATAAATTGGTTCGGTCGGCCAGAAGTCTGATAAACAAATACTGTCTATAGTTTACGCGAGTAGTACACATTTAAATAAAACACTTTAACGGTTTAAAACGCGATATATTAGTTAAACTTATTTGAAAATGATTTTTAACTTCGGACCGACGTTTCGGATGCTTTGCAGCAGCCGTGGTCACGGGCCGAAGTTAACAATCATTTTCAAATAAGTTTAACTAATATATCGCGTTTTAAACCGTTAAAGTGTTTTATTTAAGTCTGATAAACAGTGAAACGGCTACAGAAATGTGTTCGCCCCAAGCCGCAAGGCGGTAAAGCGGATTTATCTTTTTATGTTTTTATTACGTAACTATGTACATTACCTACCATAGTCAGTCTCCATGTCATAAAAAGACATGAATTATTACTTACTGTAATGAACCAAGAAAGGTATAAGGAAAAATATCAACATGCATTATAAATAGATTTTAGTTGATCGATCATAAAAATACAAATAAATCATCCCAGAACAACAGACTTACATATGGTATTATTTGTGTGTCGTTCTGTTTATAAAGCTTTAAAATTTAATTTTTGTGTTATAACTTCAGCATTTTAGAGATTCACCAAAACACGACTGACTTAACTCTTAGAGAGGGTTCGTTTGTGTGCGTCATTGATTTTTCAATGTACTTAAAATTTATTTTCAACTTGTTCGGTAGCCGTTAAAAAAATCTTACATAGAAATAGTAAATATTCAAGTAGTTGTCCTTCCACCATCTATTGTGTTACTAGCTGTGCCAGCGACTTTCGCGTGGAATAGTTATTGTGAGTATGAAAATTTGTTTTTCCAAAGCTCAGTTTTATAAATTCCTCCTTCCTCGATAAATGGTCAAAATTACAAACAAATTTTCAGCTCGAATCAGTAGTTCTCGAGAACAGACAAACTCTTCAGCTTAATAATATGAGTATAGGTTCCGATCTTTTCCCATCAAATTGTTTAAACGTACAGCCAATCCACGCGCGGTCCATCCTGCCCTGCCAAGACTCACCTGCTGTCAAATTCACGTACAACGCGGAGGTGACAGCGCCGGAACCTTTTACGGTGCTCATGAGCGCTATCAAGGAAAACGGAAGTGCTAAGGCGACGTTCCGACAACCAGTGCCGATCCCCTCGTACCTGCTGGCTATAGCTGTTGGGGTGCTGGAGTCGAGGGAACTTGGGCCGCGGTGAGTTTTTAAATTTTTCATACTTATATCATATAGCGTGGTTTCAGGTTATATATCAGTTATATTAAGTAATCGGTGACTTGAAAATTTTAATATTTTTCATATAGCATTATATATATTACAAATCTATTTGGATTGAAAAGAAAAACGCCACGGCCCAATTGTTTAGGACAACAGCACGGAACGCTGTGGGTGACACTTCAAGTCCTGCGCGTGTTATTTTTTCAATGCAATTTTATTTTTAATTCAATTCATTTAATATTTAATTGGTAGTGCACGGAATAGTTCTGCCAAATTCCGTGTTTCTTAATTCAGTAAACAATTATATGAGTTTTTATAAAGTATAGTATCTATGGATTTTATTGCTATGCATTTGTTATTAGATCGTATATGTAACAAGCAGAGTTAATGATTAGTATTTATTACGTTGTGAAAGAACAAGGTAGTCATATATCGTACAAAGTAGTACAATTTATGAGTATTGTTTCCTTTTAAGAACACACGTTTGGTCAGAAAAAGAGGAGATAGAGAGAAGTGCATGGGAATTCGCGGACACAGAAAAATACCTGCAAGCGGCCGAGAGACTGTGTGGGCCTTACCAATGGACTCAGTATGATCTGCTGGTTCTACCCCCCTCTTTCCCCTATGGGGGTATGGAGAATCCATGTTTGACATTTGTGACTCCAACACTTCTTGTAAGTACTCTGTACTATTGTTTTCTACTCCATTTTCTATATCATTTAAACGCCAATAAATCTCATTGATGTCACATTATGTACAGTTATAAATCAACATTTTGTTTAATACAATAAACTTAAACGAAGCTTATCAAATCCCTTAGTTATACTATTGTTCAAAGAATTCATAAGTTAAATTATGGTAACATTAATAATAACGTCCTAACTTAAATCTGGACCTGCTTCTCCTTTAAGCAACTGGTAGTTGTTTATCTGATATTTCTTTTTGACCTAAATCTGGAACTTACTCTAGTTCATAAGAGCACAGTACGCTGCGGTCTTGGGTTGCAATTTGTATATCTTATTAGACTTTTAAATCTATTTTCAGGCTGGAGACAGGAGTCAAGCTGATGTTATAGTTCACGAGATAATGCACAGCTGGACTGGAAATCTGGTGACTAACACAAACTTTGAACACTTTTGGCTGAATGAAGGTTTTACTGTGTTCTTGGAGAGGAAGGTCGGCGCTTCTCTTATCTCTGACAAGGAGGAGGCGCACCGCAGCAGAGATTTTAGCAGCCTTTTGGGCTTACAGGAGCTGACAGAAACTGTAAGTTGAAAGGAACTATATTCCCCCCCCTCCCTTTATAAAAGGGCCAATTTAGCAGTAGCCAACATTTGTGTTACCTGGTTGATATTAAGCATGGCTTGGAAAAGCTTAAGAATTTTTCTTTGCCATCCATAGACAAGAGAATAATGGAACATTAAGTAAAATATTGTCCAACATTTCCTTTGGCAATAAAGCACAGAATCTGCTCTTGCAGATAAACCAAAATTTGGGTGCGACAAGCCCACTTACCCAGTTGGTGCCAGACTTGAACGACACGCACCCAGACGATGCATTTTCGAGAGTCCCCTACGAGAAGGGTTCACTATTTCTCCGTTATCTTGAAGATCTCGTTGGTGGTCCAGGTAAGACTGACTGGTATATTTGTTCTAGATTAAACTCGACCTGGGGGAACAAAACCCTCTGACAAAGTTAGTGGTGAACTTGACTGGTGTTCATCCGGATGATGCTTTCTCTACTGTCCCTTATGAGAAGGGGTCCTTGTTTTTGAGGTATTTGGAGGATCTGCTTGGTGGATCAGGTGATCATCAATATATCTATTTATTACGAGATTTGTAGCAAGTTGATTAAAATAAAACACGTTAACGGTTTAAAAACGCGATATATTGCTTATATGCTTTGCAGCAGTCGTGGTCACGGGGAGTTTCCCCTGCCGATATCGGGCCGTAGTTAAAAATAATTTATAAACAAGTTTAACTAAAATATATAGTGTTTTAAACCGTTAGTGTTTTATTTAAATGTGTACTACTCGCGTAAACTACAGACAGTATTTAAGTTTATTAAAATTATACACACCCGTAATATGTGCTGGATCTCACTAACTTTTTTTATTGTCAGCGGTATTCGATGATTTCCTTCGCGCGTACCTGAACAAGTTCCAACGACAGTCACTAGACACCGACCAGTTCAAAGCTTATTTGCTGGACTACTTCAAGGACAATGATGCCCTCAAGAAGGTTGACTGGACTACCTGGCTCCACAAGGCGGGTATGCCTCCTGTTATTCCAGAGTAAGTATGCAATTTTACCGACCCATGTGTAAAAGTAATTTGGAGGTGGTACGTCGGGTAAACCTTGGATGTGACTGGATTCCTACGATATTGTTTCTGGCCTATCTCCCATCTAATATTATAAAGCTGAACAGTTTGTCTATTTGTTTGAACGCGCAAATCTCAGGAACTACTTGTTCAAATAAAAAATAATGTGTTGGACCGGTTATTGAGGAAGGCTTTGGGCTATAAAACATCACGCTGCGATCAATAGGATTGAAGATGAAGTGGGAAATTGCAGAAGAAAGTGTTTAGTTGATTAATTTGCAAGAATGACGGGACGCGCACGACGTCATGGGTAACAGCTAAAACTTGTTACAAAGAATTGTTTGCAGTATAGGCATTAACTATATGAAATCAATGATATGAGATGATGATAATGAGAACCTCTTCTCGCTCACGTCGGCCGGACAACCCGAAAATGCCTTATACAATTTATGATTTTATTTTTAAAATCTATAAAAATATTTGTTACAGCTACGACACTTCAATGACTAAAGCTGTGACCGCTCTCCTAGCCAAAGTCAACGATCCCAACAACTCCTTGGATTACAATGACGTAAGGATATTCACGCCGCAGCAGGTCATCAACTTCCTGCAAGCTCTGATCGACCAAGACCCACTTCCGGTGGATAGATTGCGCACCCTTGGCGACGCATATAATGTTGCCACAAGCAAAAATTCAGAAATCACCTACCGCTGGCTAAGACTGTGTATTAGAAGCCGCGATGAAAGTAAAATCGACGAAGCACTACAATTCGTGAATAGTCAAGGGCGTATGAAGTATGTGAGACCGGTATACAGAGATTTGTACGCGTGGGAAGCCGTCAGGGAGAAGGCAATAGAGAATTTCCTTAAGAATGAACCGAACATGATGCATGTCTCTGCGTACACTCTAAGGAAGGACCTGCATCTAAAAGAGTAATAAATAATAAGCAAATAAAATGCATCTAAAAGAATAGAAGAAATAATAAGCAAAATTAAGAATTTATTACGCATTTGGTACGTTTTGTACTGTATATAATTTTGTTGTTTTCTTTTTTTTTCAATTATGTATTCCTTTATACAATAAAATAGATTATTTAATGTGTATTTTATTGTGTTATGTACTGTTATTGAAGCTGTGTGGTGGATTTTTTAAATTATAAGTAATTTTTAGATTTTTACCTCAGCCATATAACATTGCAAAAAGCGCTGTCGACCTAGTTTGGCTTTTAATATTCATTTCCACGTGTTAGCATCAAATAAAGGACTTTTAAGATGTTTTTCTAACAATACAAAAATGTGTCGACACGTAGAACACACAATATTTTTCTATTTCACAATACTGAAAAATAAAGTTTTCTATAATGCCATCATGAACTGTAATTCCATCTACAATAATTTCTTAACATTGAACCTTGTAAGTAGTCAGGGTGAAATTAAATTGCCCAATATGCGCGTCGTATGTATCTATGGGTTGAGAAAGTTGACAACGATGTATTATCAATAAACTACTAGATGTTTAATGAATAGTAATACAGCTTATATATTAGAATATTTATAATCTGTGTCATGACAGTTTAAAAGAACTATGACACTCCAACATGTCCAAAACTGAACTGTCAATATTTGATTTGTTACTAAAAGATAGCTGTTGACAAGTTGAAAGTTCGTATCATTATTATTATTGATGTATATCATATATCAATTCTCGTGTTTATTTTTGCTTCCAAAACTTTGAAGCACCGAACATTCTTAACGAAACAATATATATTTCAAGAGTAATCTAGCTATCGAATAAAGAAAAGGGCTGCTTGCACGATTTACCTTGAGCAAAAAATTGCGCGAGTGCTGGGTGTCCACTCCCAGCGGAAACAAAAGCGAATCGTATGTTGTCCATCATGCTGTCCCGATTTCACCACTACCACGGCTCGAATATCGTCTTGTTCGAGGACAGCACTGTCGCTTATCGAAAGACTAGTTTCGCTCACGGTTTAACGTTTAGTGAAAAACCTTTGTTGCCTGGCGAGATATTTTTAGTGGAGATAGAGAAAACAGAACGCGGCTGGAGCGGGCATATGCGGCTGGGCCTGACTCTACTCGACCCGCAAAGCACGGCACTCGGAGAGAAAGGGTTGCCACAGTATGCGTTACCAGATCTTGCAAACACAGGCATGTCCTGGATATTTCCGATATCCAAATCGCAGAATAATGTTCTCATTGAACTTATAAATCAAGGTACAAGCGGTCGACGAGATAACGAACCTAGAGTGTCAATCTTAGGAGATTCTCACAATGTACACACACCACGAGGATATGTCTCCAAACACACCCTACGTCCGCAGACGGCTAAGGGATCTCCACAAGGCATACTACCTATGGATGCAGGCAGTAGAATCGGTGTTATGTTTGTACCTTGTCCGAAGAAGTTTAAAGATGATCCCGATTTGGCAGAAATGCACTTTATTATTAACGGTGAGGAGCAGGGGCCGTGCACAAAAGCTATTCCATATACAAGAGGTCCTTTACATGCGGTTGTAGATGTATATGGAACAACCAAACAAGTTAGGATTATTCAACTTTATGGAGGTAATTATGGCTTATTATTATGTAATATGTATCTATATTATTAAGAAAATCCTGTTTCCCGCATGGGGCATTGGGCAAACATATTTCTGTAGTCGTACACACTACGGTCCCCTGCCCCACTGAAACAATCTACTGTTTCCCTGGAATTCAAAACCAAGACCACTCGCTGATATTGCAATCCTAGGCACCACGTTTAATATACATTATTCTCTCTAAAATTTTAAATTTTTTGGTTGTCTGTCTGTTTGTCGTGATACTACAGAGTGTTCAAAAGAGCAACATAATTGAAACTAAGACCAGGTTTTTTTAACATGTCCTATTAACTAATACATTGTTGTGAATTTATTAACCTAAGGAGAGCAATTCATATTACTGTCTGGCGGTCTTCATTAAAGAAATCGTTAAGACAATAATGCCTTTTGAGATAATCTAAATTAATTCATGTGTATGCAAAATATAATAGTTGTTTTTTTTCCATATTGTAACTTTAGTTGGATAACTAGTGCTTTATATTATTAATCGTTAATTGAATATTATTTTAATGTTTAAGCTTATCTCTGTTTGTGTACATTACCAAATTTTAAGAATAATCTGACTTCTTTAATACTCTCATATTAAAGCTTTTACGTTACAGATTAGACCCATCTAAATATCACACATATATAAACTTAATATGTTTTTTTATTTACAGTAAAAACACTACAAAATGTGTGTCGAGATGCTATACTTCAGTTCATCCGAGGTAACTCAGTTAAGTCCCTACCGCTGCCACAGTGTCTGAAAGAGTTCTTGCTTTCATAGGAGTAATAAGGAAAGCGACTGGGGCCTTTCAAATTGCATCAGTCTAGAACATTCCTGGCTTAGCCCTAAAATCCATCTATCCTGTTATTTATATAGCTTATATTATTTTTATTGTATGCAATTGGCAGCAAAGTATTAAGTTTACTTAATAGTCGGCTTCACTGGGAATGAGAAATTTTGTTTTGTTAAAACTGTCAAACTATTTAATCGGTTTGTTTAGACACCGACTATTCACAAATAAGTAATTATGTTATTCACATAATGGGAGTATAATAATTATTTCCAAGTGCAAATTTTATAAAAGTACAGTGCGACCATTTTTAATAGGAGTTTTAATACTTTAATACACACGATCTCAGAATAATCTTCAAATTATATACACATACAATAGTGCATATGAACTTTTCAATTTAATTTTTAACCATAAAGAGGAAAGTTTTCCTAGCTTAAAAGTGTTTTATTTTATATTACAGCTGTACCCTTTTTGACTGTTGATTGTAGTGTAACTGCCTTGTCTACTGTACTCTGACTCTAAGAAATGTCAATATCCTAATGCCACAGTACTCTCCCCTCCCCCCATAAATAAAAGTCGTATTTTTACTAAAATTTCTTTAAGATCTTAATAGCTATTGAAATATTTGGGGCAAAGGTAACGTGTAAGGTATTATTTTTTTACCCTTTTCGACTTCAAACTCCTTGTAGTTTAAGACCGTGTCTGACTCTACGTGCTCCGACCAGTAGTTTTCTAATCTTGGATTAAGGCTACGCTTCCAGTACTGAAATAAGAGAGGTTTTGAGTTATTTATGCACTTATAGTGTGGTGGACAAAAAATAATATTCAAACTATTTTTATATCCCTATCGCTCAATTGAGGGTAGTTTTCCCAATGTGACGGTCGAAGTACCTATTTACTTTGTGAGTTTGTATTCTGAAGATTCGTACAACTATACAATAGAAATTGAGATGTGACGTTATCCAAAGGACGGGCTCAGCTTACTGTAGCATGTATGGCGAATAATAGACAGTGGGGTGAAATTTCCACTGGGTCCAGCATAGTTTCAAACAAGTGTATAAATATACATGATCCATTGGATCATCGGATCCCAAACTACCCTCAAAGTAGATTCCGAATGTCCAGAAAAGGACGACAGCGCATCTTAAATGTAAATGGCTAAATTCATGTCACATTGAATCAATCACTAATTGTCTTATTATATTAAACTATGTAAATTGTGTAATAAAGTAATTATTAAAATTTAATATCCATTTTGTACCGCCTACATGTCATAGAATAGCGATGAACTCAATATCTGTACACGAGTCGCGGTATGTTTGCAAAAATTGCGGACGGAACAATTTGATACCGTTGACCCGACCAGATATTAATGAGTCATTCTTTTTAAGGTCAGACCGTTGAATTAAACATTTGAAAAGGTAGGTTGAAGCTAGCAACACATTTTGTTAAATTACTAGCTGTGCTCGCGACTTCGTTCGCGCGAGTAGTACACATTTCAATAAAACACTCTAACGGTTTAAAACGCGTTATATATTGGTAAAAGTTATTTGGAAATTATTTTATCTTTTGTTTCCCTCCATCCCTCCATCTTTAGCAACCGAAACGTCATACATACTTAGCTAAAGTAATTTCCAAATAACTTTAACTGATATATTTAGCGTTTTAATCCGTTAAAGTGTTTTATTTAGACATATTCAAACTTGGGCAACTAAGAAAATAATTACCGAACAAGCTGGAAATGTATCCCGTGACGTACAACATGGACTAAATTATTGAAACGAACCAGTGTTCATTATCATCAAAATAAAACTAGTTTTAATCGGTTGATTTGAAGCTTTTGCGGTGTTCTTGTCGCTTTGTTCTAATTGTAAATACTCACAAGTCGGTTGTGTTCAATCCATATTATCATCAATTTATCGGAATATTGAGCTGCCGACTGTGTTGCCTTATTGAGTAGTCTGAAAGCAGCTTGCGGTTTCCTCTTTATGTAATGGTAGTAGGCGTTTAGTAAATAAAATCTAAAACATTTATTTTGTAAATGAAATAATTAAGAACTTGTATTCGTTTTCGCGAGTAGTACACTTTTAAATAAAACATTTCAACGGTTTAAAACGCGATATATATTAGTTAAACTTATTTGGAGATTATTTTAAGTAATCTATGTCGCGTGTTAGTGGTTTTTTTTTAGAACTTATTATTTATTATATTTAATATATTGGCGCAGGTCTTATCTCTAATACTTATGTGTAGATTTAAAAGCCCATCGTGCCTCGTGGTACTCTGATGCGGCTTGGTGGGCAAATACGGCTACTCAATTTGTGGCAAGCCAAGGATGAATCGGTGATATAATCAACATGGTTGGTAACTGATATGTCAATCAGCCGGAAATCCACCCGGAATAAATTCGTGATAATAACTGAGATCGGCACCCTAATACGTTCTCAAATCTCTCTTTAAATACTGTCATAGTTTACGCAAGTAGTACACATTTGAATAAAACACTGTAACGGTTTAAAACGCGATATATATAAGTTGAACTTATTTGGAAACAAGTAATAATAAATTCCAAATAAGTTTAATTTATATCTATCTCGTTTTAAGCGGTTAAAGTGTTTTATTAAAATATGCTTATTTGTCTTATCAACTAATTCTAGCTCGTAGGTATCTACATGAAATTTTCCAGGAATATACCAGACCCTAAGTGTTAAAAGCCTTGTTGTATACCTTGATCGGAAAATTGGAATATTTTTCGATGCCTCGTCTAACTTTGGAATTAGCTTCTTTATCGATTTAACGATGAACACAATTTTCTTTACGTTTCTATTATTTAGCTGTAACGATTTATTTAAATTACAACATTAATACGTTAGTGTTTAGGTCTAAAACTCTACATTAGAAGACTCTACAATATCAAGAAGTGCACGAATAAAAGGTTTGATGGGATCCGACATTTAACAGAAGCAATTGGTAGAGCAACAGAATTGTATTAACTATCACCCAAAGTTGACGTTACAGCCGTGCTTACGGACTAATACATTTCATATTTTAAACCATAAAATGTTTGATTACCTACATGACTACAGACTTATTGTCCGTAGCGTGCGCGAATAGTATAAACAAGTGGTAACACTAAAAACTAGGATAGGACACTCAAATTTGTATTAGAAGACACTCTACTTCGTTTCATAGATTCCAATTTACTAACCTCCCGCACCAAATCTACCAAATACCCTTCAACCACCAAAAGTAACATCGATGTGTAATATTCATGGTTTGTACATTCCATGTCTTGGATCAGTTTGATTTTGTCACTCCATAAAACACTCTTCTCCCACATTCCCACTCGTATTGTACTGATAATCACAATTAAAATTTACGTTAATACTTAATTTATAATACATCACATAAGTCAAATGTCTTACCCAGTTGTCTAAATCGTTACTAAACCTAATATATTTAAATTAGATCCTCAAACTGTTCTGCAAATATAATCTATATTTGTTTCCTTTAAGTTTTAAAGCAAGGAAGAGTGATGTTCTTATTTAGTTTCATACTTTAGTACTTAAATAGCGCAAAAGATAAGATGGGGTATAAAATCGTCTTATAAATATCTATGTAGGTATTAGGCATAATAACATCTTATTTGATATAGAGTTGGGCAGATGCCAACTACTAGTAGATAAGGACTACGTATCGCTCATTTTTTTTGTAGAAATTTGCAAATAAAATAGCTCACAATAGCCACATGCAAGCGCAAAAGTTCCAACCAGCCTCGGGAGTTTTTGATCTCGGAAACATATCTCCCTTATGGACGTAAAAGGTCTCACAAGTCTTGTACGACTCTACGCAGTAGCCCGTGTCCAAGAAAATGGACATAGCGTTGTAGTGATACCAGACTTCCGCTTAAAAATAAGAGATGTTTTAACCAGATTAAATTTAAACTTGTCGATTGAGGGTAGTTTGTGCAACTAATGTTAATTTTTAGTCGATACTCACAGCTAACATCGTAATGTTCATAATAAATGAACTCTTTCATAATAGTAACCATTTGTTGAACTCGTAGTTCAGTTAGAAGAAGCTTAAGAATCCAAAATATGAGCGACTCTCGTGTGGTCGTATCCGATACATCCGTCATAATTCGCATGACAGAAAGACCGAATTCTAAGCTCTCCAATTTCTTGCCACGCTGAACACTAGAAACGGAAATGTAAAAGGGTGGGTAGTTTTTAAAGAAGGATCCCTGTTAGAGCATGTATGTAAGTAATTTAAAAATGTGTTTAGCTATTCTGTCCAATAAAAAGCCCTTCCTAAAGGCTTTTTTAGATACTTACAACCATTGAAATATTTTTCTATACGATTATAAAAATAAACATAAGATTTGAGAGAAATTATGTAAACTTACGTACTTGTACAAGAATATATTTGTATAAAGATAGCCAACCGCGTGCGACTCTACAATATCAACATGGCCGCGTTTCCGGTTACATAGTTCCCGCGCTTTATTTTCTAGCCGCTGGCATAAACGAAACTAAAACGGATAGATTCAATTATAGGTATATAGCTTTATTTTTTACCAGAATTAGGATTTTAATGACCTTAAATACTGTCTATATTTAGCAGTAGTACACATTTAAATAAAACACTTTAACTTCAAAACGCGATATATTAGTTAAACTTACGGGGACTCGTGACCAGGCTGCTGAAAGCATCCGAAACGTCGGGCCGAAGTTAAAAATAATTTTCAAATAAGTTAACTAATATATCGGTTTTAAACCTAAATTTTTATTTAAATTTAATGACTTTTTCTTTTGGCGATATACACTCATTATATTGCCGTAACTTGTGCAAAGGAGACGGAAATTGGAGTCGGTTTTTAAAGCGTAGTTTAACGACCATTTTGCTGCTAAGATCGCATTTACTTCGTCTTTTGATTCCTGAAAAAAACATTTTTGTAGCCTATATAAATTAAGTGTTATGAATATTTCTGTCTGAAAATCTTTTAACTTCATCTATTAATTGCGATAAGCATGTTAGAGAACATAAATACTAAACTATAAATAATTTAAACAGCCTGTTTAAATTCCAAGCTATGTCCTCATAAAAGTCGCCAACGAGCCCGCTTTCAGTGCCCACGAATAAACCAGGTACCACATACAATAACAACAACTGATTGATAGAGCTGGTAAAATTGTAGATTCTCGTAGCATTCCTGAAATTAAAAGATTTTTCACCAACGTAGTCGATAAAAATGTTTAAAAATGTTGTTTTGTTTCCTAAATTACAGAAGAGGGCGGGCGTTCATTTGATGGATCGACCTGGATTAACACTTCGCAATTTTTCTATCCGTGGACAAAAGTTATAGACCCATAGGTGTTGAGTCCAGCTTCAATTAGCTTCAAAGTTCGGATTCAATCTGTCGTTCACTTCTAGATAGTGATCATCTCTAGGGGCATTTAAAAACAAAATTTCAATTAGTGGCGAAATAAAAAATAAATACTTTGTCTGTGGAAACGGATTACAGAAGAGCTTCATCGCGTAGAGCAGATATTCCCGCGATTGTTTCAAATCGCCACTCTCCAATAAACAAGCGCCACGAAGTGAATAAATTCTAGCAATCTTCGAATCGAATATCCATTTCAAGCAATTATCAGCAGAACACCTGTCATTCTGTTAAATGTCTGTAGTTTACGCGAGTGGTACACATTTGAACAAAACATTTTTTGATGGTTCAAAACGAAAATTTTTTCTTCTATATTAAAAGACTGAAGATAGCGGGTGTCCGTAATATCTAAGTCAAATCTGTTTCCCTAGCGGCAATTCTTAAATAAGTTCAATTGTATATTTGCATTTTGAACCGTTGCAAATGTTTTATTTAAAATCTGTTAGAGATAAAAGAACCTCTAATTTAAGTAGCATAGCATAGAACAAAAACACTGTTTAATATTATTAAAATATGTTGGGTTCTCTCTCTGAATCTCGTGAAACAATAACATGTATAATTCAGGGAGAGTCAGAAAGAAGGAGTTATGGACTTAAGTAAAAAAAAAAAAAAAAAAAAAAAAAAAAAAAAAAGGGGGGGGGGGGGGGGGGGGGGGGGGAAAAAAAAAGAGGGGAAAAAAAAAAAAAAAAAAAAAGGGGGGGGGGGGGGGGAAAAAAAAAAAAAAAAAAAAAAAAAAAAAAAAAAAAAAAAAAAAAAAAAAAAAAAAAAAAAAAAAAGGGGGGGGGGAAAAAAAAAAGAAAAAGGGAAAAAAAAAAAAAAGGGGGGGGGGGGGGGGGGGGGGGGGGGGGGGGGGGGGAAAAAAGGGGGGGGGGGGGGGGGGGGGGGGGGGGGGGGGGAAGGGGGGGGGGGGTTTAAAAAAAAAAAAAAAAAAAAAAAAAAAAAAAAAAAGGGGTTGGGGGGGAGGGGGGGAAGGGGGGGGGGAAGGGGAGGAAAGGGGGGGGGGTTCTCTCTCTGCTCTCGTGAAACAATAACATGTATAATCATGAGAGTGAAAGAAGGTTGGAATACCTATACCTTACCGTGAACTTTTCTTCTACCTCTGCTAGAAGATGAATGGCTTGAGGTATATTCGCATTTAGCACGCACAAATCTGCGTATTCCATATATGTATCAAATAACTTCTCAGGGTCACCTGAGAACGTTAAGTTATATAATATTAATTAGTAAAAGTATCTTTATAATATTTTTTTTTAATTTATACATATTTAGAATGTTTCACAGTCTTTTCAAACGCTTTTCGAGCTGATAAATCATCGTAATTCTTTGTTTAGTTCGCTCGTGGTGGCGAAGTGTCAAGAACATGTTCTTAATTATTGCGGCTAAGCAGCTCGAAAATCAAGGTGGTTTTTAAATTTTTTTTAATCATTACCATATTTTTTAAAAGCTTTTTTTTCTGTAACTTTGTAAAAATTCTTACCGGCCCAACGGCAATGTGAGATAGCTTGAGAGTATGCTGTCAACAATATTGACATGCATTCACAGGCGTTTAATTCCACAGAAGAGAAAGAGGGAATTTTTGTATCCTTTCTAATTTGAATGGATCTACTGACACGTCTCAAATCAGCTACAATTGAATAAAAAACATTGAGTAAATTATTTTATTACGGTATGTGGGTAGACAAATAATATGGTTACCCTCAGATTCTGTGAGTGTGTTCCTGTGTTTTCGGCCGATGTGCTGCAACGAAATAAGTTTAATGAAATATTCTCATCACTAATTTCATGATATTCAATATGACAATCTATAAATATTAAGAAAACATACGACATGAGCTAGATACATGAGCCAGATTTCTATATTAAGACTTTAAACTAGCCAAATGTGTTGGTATACACACATCATATTTTATATTGAACCCTTTCCTTTGTCTAATAGTGGCAATATATGGCTTATAATCAACGGGTCGAAGATTGTATCCGGACCTAACATGTTTTTTTTATCAACTTATAGTTATTTTGAAACATATTGGACCACGACTGGAAATCTGGATAATAAATGGCAAGTAGGAATATCAAAAGTTCTACCGGGTCTCAAAAAATCCTCTGCACTGAAGTCGAATCGCGTTTCGATTTCAGTGCCTATCTAAAACCAAAATAGGTAACGAGCACATCTTGTTTAGAAGCTATTATGGCTGGGGTTTCACCTTCCATGGAGTGAACCCCCACACTTTTCTGTCCTTCGTTACAAAAGAGACAATGTTGTGATTCACGATCGGTAATCAAAATTACGAATATTAGTCGGATGTTCATATTATAACTAGACCAACAAAGCCCTTATAATACTGAATTGAAACATACTCCAAACTCCGTAATATTTCCAATAGCGCTGTAGATGTTGCCCTCCGATACTTTGGATTCAGCGTTAAGAGTTCGTATCTGTTCGCGAGTTAGTTTCAATTCTTCACTTTCCGTTTTTAAGCCCTGAAATTATTTTTTTTTATTATAAATACAAAATATCGACAGATATTAGAGAATACGCTTAACCACAATGTTCCAATAATTACCTTATTTCCTCGGGTTAAATAAAATAATTTTAACGGTTTAAAACGTGAAGTGTATTAACTTATCTACAACTTATTTTAGCAAACGGCCCGACGTGACCCTCCGTGGCGTAAATAAGTTAACATAACATTTCGCGATTTGAACCGTTAAAAATGTTTTACTTATAAGTTTACTACTCGCGTAAACAACGGACAATGTTGATATATATCGATTACCTATATCGTCTTTTAAACAGTTAAAAAGGTATTATATTATTAATAATAACTTACATCATTACATCTAAGCCCGAACAACACAGAAAAACAACCGGTACCGCAGGACGAACATTTTCGCGTATATCGTTCTAGATACAGTAGAGCTCGGGAGTGCATTTCACTCTGAAACATAAGGAATTTTTATTGGTAAATATAATACAGGTCTGGAGAATGCATAGATATACTCCCTGTTAGAATGTCTGAAAGTACTACCTACTTAGTCTATTTATTAACTCACCTGGGAAAGGGAAAAAAAAAAAAAAAAAAAAAAAAAAAAAATAAAGGGGTTTTTGGGGGTTTCCCCGGGTTTCCCAAAAAAAGGAAAAAAAAAAAAAATTTTCCGGGGGGGGGGGAACCCCCCGGAAAAATTTCCCTGGAAATGGAATTAAACCGGGGAAGTCGGCGCAAAAATAGGCCATCCACCTGGGCGCAGATTTTGTTTCATTTAGCCATTATCCTTAAGCATAATTAGAATTAGACACGCTTCGAACGGGTGTAATTAAATGTCTCTTTACATTTTTAGTACTAATATATTAAATACAAAGTAATTATATCGATTGTTTTATCAGGTCCTCGGTGTTGACACGAAACAATTTATTCATTCCACATTTACGTGATTAAGGGGAGCCCGGAGATGGTACAGGCTACACTAAAGTTCCCCTATGATTTACATCATTTCTCTGATTACCTTTTGACAATCGGTTAACAAATCGTAAGTCGTGCTTCTAAACAGCGTGTGTCTAAACTTCATGTAACCGCAAAAAGCGTACATAGGCAGGTCTTCGCAATTGTCTGAAAAAAAAAGCAATAACCTCCCCTATACTCCCTCCCTTATACTTTTAGATTCAAGCCTCCACAATCTATATACAGAAGAAGAACGATAAAAAACGAGTATAATAAAGAACTTAGCTATTTAAAAACACAAATATACAAACAACCAATTAAATATTTCAGACTATGTAGGCCTGTAAAGGTATTTCCAGGAGACGGTAATCCGAGCAAAAATAAACATATGAAGTAAAAGGACCCAGTATAATGACTTGTTTAGTGGCGGTAGTCAGAAACAGAACTTACTTAAATACTGTCTATAATTATGCGAGTAGTACACATTTAAATAAAACACTATAACGGTTTAAAACGCGATATATTGGTTAAACTTATTTGAAAATGTCTCCCCGTGACCGACTGCTGAAGATGAAAATGGGCCGAAGTTAAAAATCATTTTCAAATAAGTTTAACTAATATATCGCGTTTTAAACCGTTAAAGTGTTTTATTTAGAACTTACTTACTCAATTGCTTAGTCCCCAAACAGAAACAACAAGGTAACACTGAGTTTCGATGTACCAGCGCAGGATGAACCAAAACCTTTGAATGGTTATGTGTGAAGTCTCCACCTTCGCACTCCAAGACTCGAATTGAAAAGAGCTTTGCAACTGCTATAAAATGAATAGAAACATTTATTTTCAAAAGATCTTACTAACTTAATACATGATTAAAGCTTACACTAAAAAAACAACTTAATATAAACTTATGTGACGATTATGTATTTAAATTAAAGGTGGAAGGTAATCTAAACTAATATATAAAGCTGAAGAGTATGTTTGTTTGTTTGAACGTGCTAATCTCAGGAACTACGCTTCGAATTTAAAAATTATTTTTGTTGGTTAGAGCCTTTATCAGGACGGAATATAAAAAGCGCTGGACTAATAGAAGCGAAAAAAACAGCGGGAAATGTGAACAAAATGGGGGAAATTTCCATCTCTGTGCGCTTCAGATGCGTACGCTGCGAAAACGGTTCAAGATGCCTAAAAAATGTGTATCACAGTATAGTTCTCTTATGGTCTAAAACTCCGCGACGCCATGTCAATTTTTTAAGATTAACTTGCAAGAACCACGAGAAGGGAAGCGATCGAAGTCGTGGCTAACAGCTTAAGTTTATAAAGATGACGGGGTTTGCAAAAAACTATTTGGATGCCCAAAATAACGATTCTCGCGGACGAAGTCGCTGGCACATAATAAAATATATGGAAGTAAAATTAAACAAAAACATTATAAACAGACAAATTAATTTTTCTCATTTTTTTTTAAAATTTGGATTTTTAAATTTATAAAATTGGGAGAAAACATCAATTGTATTGTCTATTTTAAAAACATTATTTATTTTCATTTGTATAGTTGTATATGGTAAGGTTAAAGCTCGTATGGGTAAATTTAAAATTACCCACAATCCGCTCATAGTAAAAAATACTAAAGTATGTTGGTTTTGTATGAGCGATTTGTAATATTCAAAATAAGTCTTTGAACCAAGATAATTAAGCATAATACCAGGAAGTTGACATCACCTTGAGCTATTTTCCGAGGTTCATCGCATTGCAATAAATGCAGGAGCATTCGTCTCGAAAAGACATCGCCCAAAACGGATGCACACTTTAACAGCATTTTCTCGAATGGCGTGAGTGAATCGTACGTTTTGAGTATTAGTACTGAAAGTTTACAATATTATTGGGGTCTGATAGAGTTCTATTTTATATGAAGATGGAAAAAAATATACCGTCCATCTTCATGTCAACCTTTACGTCTTCGAAATTGTAATATTTTGACAGGACAGCCATTTGTATTATGTCCGTTTGGTGATTGTCGCTGTAGTTCGCTTCGTTCTGATTATGTCGCATTCCCTACAAATAATAACATTATGAATGACTTCTAGAAGCTGTAGAGAACTTTGCAGCAATCCTTGCTGCCAAACGAATTTGTAGTAAACGTAAAGACGGTCGCATTTCCCATTGTTCGATTCTCATTTGTCCTAAGGTTTACGACTTTTTCGAAGAACGTTTTGTCTGGAAAATTTGGACATTAAATGGACGTTAAGAAAATTTTAATTATGTTCGAATTACAGATGGAAAAGACGTAAAGTGTACATTCACGTTTCGATTTCAGACCAAGGGTTTTCCGATCGGCCTAATCTACACGACTTTACAGGGCTTTTAATTTTTCAAATACACGTGACGTTATATACGATTTGGCTACAATCTAGGGATTTGAATATAATAGCAGATATTACCAAGAATCGTCCTGTTTTAGTATTTTGTAACGTAATGTAAGATTCTTATGGTTAAAATAAAGGATGCTTACGAGGGCATCTGGCGGAAGTCTTATTTTGCCATCAGATTTCTTTATAAGTGACATTGGTGGTATCAGCGCGCCGGTATCTAACGCCTGTGACCTGGGCACAGTGACCATTGTCAGTTGCTCCCTCTGTACCAGGCAAATTAGGAAGTTCTGTATCCAACCAGGTAGACCGTCGCTTGCGCTTTCAATTACCCTTACATAATACATCATGATATAAAAAAACAGCTTAAATATAAATATATTTCGTTTTGATGTAATGGTAACAATGTACAACTAATAATCGTGATTTCGATCCCCATCAGGTCCAACATTTTTCTAATATACTAAAACATATCGGACTTCCTCTATAAATCTCGATATTAAATGGCTGGTAGCAATATTGAAATTCCATCCGGGTCACGAACCACCGTCCACCGATGAAAAAGCCGTGAAGCTTAATTCGCGTTTTAGTTAAAGTCTGTGGATTTCCGAATATCCAAGGACAAAATAGGTCGAGAGCGCATCTTGTTTATATCTTAAATGGCTAGTAGGTGAAATTAAAAACCTTAAGATACAATTAGCAAAAGTTACATTTCCACGATTTCATTCCATTTCCCTAGCGTATGAGGTTGTATGTAATTTGACAGGCAAAAGTCTGTGTTCTGTCTCCCCGAAATTTGAACAATGCCACAAATATACTTACTTATCTAACTCAGATGGTATAGCCTGTACATCCAATAACTGGCAAGCAAGCGCTGATAGATATCTCCTATCAATTCCGGCAATATGCATTTTTACGATCATATGGTTGTTCAAAGCATAACGGGCGACCGCTGAAAACGTTACTTCGTACATAATTAAGCTCACTAGGATAGTGCTTAATAATATTGGGAAAATCAAATAGGTGAAGTAAATGTTTTTTTTTAATGTAAAATGTTGTAATAGTAGGTCAGTATTCTACCAGGTACCAGGACAGAACAGATCCGGGCCCTCTCCCTTTTACCTAGTAATGGGGTGGGCTCGTGAAGTGTTTACAGTTTGTGATTTCACAGGATTATAAAATAATAAGCTGATAATTACTAATGGTGAACTAATGATATTTAATATTAGTTTATAGTTAGTTATGTCATAGTTTAATTGTATTCTATATTTTTAATTCAGTGTCGAATTGGGCTCCCACTTGTCATGACATTGTAATTTTAATGATTAAATAATAAAAAAAATAAAGCTTGAATTTATATAAGCCTCCAAATGTCTATTAAAGTATACTAATGGATGAACCTAAAGCCTATATAATCTATAAAGCTAAGTTTGTTTGTTTGTGGGAACGCGCTAATCTCAGGAACTATTAGTTCGAATTGAATAATTATTATTGTGTTGCAGCATTTATCGAGGAAGGCTTTTGACCAAAAACATCAACCAACCAATAGTATAGAAGAAACGGGGAAAGTGGACGGGGGAAAATGTGGAAAAAACGGGAGAAATTCTCACTTATCCTGCCGGTATACTTACGCGAAAGAATGTCTTCGTCGGTAACAGTCAGGAGGACGAAGCATATCTTGAACTGAAGGATTAACAAAAGCATCTTCCACGATTCATCATCGATATGTTCAGCTTCTAGAACAGACACAAGTCGAAGTTCCTTGAAACTCTGAAAAGAAAAGAAATCTTCATAACTCAAGAGGACTTTAATTACTAGCTGTGTTCGCGACTTCGTCCGCGTATCATTTTGGCCATGATATGATTTATTTTTGCAAACGACACGAGTTGAGTAGATTTTTAATTACAACTATGGTCTATCGTCGTCCACGTCCCGTCGTTCTTGCGGGTTGATCTTAAAACATCGACTTTTAGTAGATCATTTAAAGAAGAATAATTCTCTCATTTTACATATTTTTTGGTTTTGAAGAAACCAAAAAATATCCGTTTTCGCAGCGCACGCTACGATGCGATGTATAAATTTACACATTTTTAATTTCCCTCTGTTTCTACGCTCCCATTGATTGAGGTCTACTGTCTTATAGCCCAAAGCCTTATTTTGTAGATGGCCCAACCAACACAAAAATATTTTTTCAACTAGAAGCAATTTTAGATAAGATCCTTCCGACAATTAAACAAACAAACTCTTTAGCTTTATACTATTAGTATAGAAAAGTATATGTATTTGTTTTATTCCCGTCCATGGCTACACGATTATTCAGATTGCCTTGAGCGCAAAAGATCCGGATTCGAATCCCGTTGAAACATAATAAATAGGTTCTAGTTGGCGCGAAAAGATGGCCAAACACATGCTGCATTAGTGAAAGAGACCAGTGTCCACCTCCTGCTGAAAAATGTCCTCTCGTTTACTTACCGCCTCAAAAATGTTCTCCATCAGAACTCGGATTTGATATTCACTGAGCAGGTCTTTATCGTATGCGAAGTGTTCTGGCAATGGAAACCGGCAGTCAAATATTGTATTGATGGCGTGGATTTCCAATGGGCGCAATGACGTCATATCCACCCTGGGAACACGTGTGGATATTAACAGTGTAAAACTCTTTTTAACGATAACTCTCCTTTAACGAAAAACCACAAACAAATTTTTCATAAAACAATACACACAGTAGCTATTAAATAGATATATTATATTGCATTCTTTATACATTCACCATTTTTAAAACTGTTTTTTATTATTTTATTTATTCTATAGTAACCTTATTATGCTGAAAACTTTGTTTGGTTAAAAACAGTCCCTGTTTTTATTATAATATTATATTAATTCGAATTTAAATGATTTGTGTTGAATAGACCATTCACCGAAGAAGGCCTTAGACTAATGACGAGATATTGAAAAATTATGCATCTGAACTTCCATTGTGTGCGAAAAAGGATCAGCCAACCAAAAAATATGTATAAAAGAATGATTCGTCATTCAATGATTACAAAAAAGTCCGCAACTGATCTTAAAAGAATTTAAAAGATCAACTAGCAAGAACTGTTTTTACAGTAATCAAATTTGGTCTAAAATAGAGCATTATTATAATAAATGTTACAGTTGAAGATATCATTTATCATTATGGTATATCATTTTTATTTATGGTTACGTGGAAAAGACAGTTCATAAGCGATAAGGTCACCTAACGTACGTTAATAATAAATATACCAGTAAAGATAACCACCATGTGCAATAAGCGTCCTTGTCGTAATAAGCTATCTCTACCGAGCAATATCAAAACTTACGTAAATCTGATTCTACTCTCTCTATTCTCACGTGACGTCCGACCGATACCTTTGAAGAGGCGGCCCATGATTAAGCGTATCAGCTGATATGGAATCTGAAACGTATACATTAGACTGTAAAAGTATTTAAGAGTTTTTAACGGTTTAAAACGCGAGCGTTGCAGTAAGTGTTATTATACGTAATTCGCGTAGACAACGTACTATATATATCTGAAATAAATATTTAATGACTATACGATTGTTGAGTTATTATTTACAAAATTCAGAAGACGTTGACATGATACATACCTTATCTTTCTCTGTGAGAACAATTTGATCTGTTTCTATAAATTTCGGTGTAATATTCATGCATTCGGCCATCAGACGTCTTTTTCCGGCTAATCTTGATCCCTGAAAATGTAATTTCTTATCATGTTTTAGACCTATTGAAAAAGACTGTAGAATAAGCGATACGCCAATGCACTGTAACAGTAAACTTGTTATCAAACCAGCCGGCTCGAAGGACCAAAATTTCTGGTACTATGTGCGTATACTTACTACGATTGCCAATCCAAACTTATGGTCTCTATAACGTGTGAATTTTTTTCGGATATTCTTCGATCGCTTTCGTGATCGTCGAAAGATACAACTGTAGTTCCTCCTCGCGCCCCAGGATAGGATGCGAGTAACTGATTTTTTTGGTACTAAAAGCATTGAAACAAACAAAAAATCATAAATAAACGTAAATAAAAATAAAGGCTTTGGAAACCAGGGAGGCTAAGAAAATGCTATATTAGAAAAATGTTACGTTTATACATAAAGCCTTTTTATACTATTTTGTAGTCTTATAAGGCTTCACGAATAAGTGAAAGTATTGTTTTTATATTATATTATTTGGAAAATATTTTACCACACTATATAAAACATTCAAAACGTTGGGTCATATTGACTGAAAACTAAATTTATTTAAGCTACTCAAAATTTACCTGGAACGACTGAACTCGTAAATAGGGCCGGGATTCGAGAAACCTTTGAGGATTTTCGCTTCGGTAAGTTTAAAAAAATCCTGAACAAGCTTACTGCGTAGAAAGGTTTCTTTGTCGCAGGTGACTTTATTGGGGTACGCCATCATGAGTCTCGCAGCCTACAAAAGACTATACTAGAAAGCCGCGTGGGCCAATCCACTTGGCATGAGCATCAAACGTTAGTAAAGTCGATTCTTAGTTCCCCTGTGCATGTCTTATTTATCTCTTAGTAAAGTTTAATACGTATTCATATCTAAAGAGTGTTTTTAAAAGCAAACTGACATGTCCTAGAATGCCAAAAACTCAATCCATTACCAACAACATTTAGCCCTAGCCCTAGCAGATGAGACCGATTGAGGTTTTTAAAAGCTCTGTATAATGCAGGCGGTTCTAATAAATAAGATAGCCACAAAATAAAAACTGAATTTCGAACCTTATTCACAGCAGACCCGATAACGGTATATTCTCGCCTCAAAGCGTGACCCACCACTCCACAGTAAGTGGATCCTTGAAAAGTTAAATGCTATTATGTTGATATAGCTTTCAAAAGGTTATCATGAAATCGCTTAGTCTAATTTTAAAGTTATTTATTTCAAGTTTAATATTATATAAAGTAAAATAATGGTATCGAATTTGTTACTTGGAAGGGCTTTTTAATTTAATGGAACCAATTTTTTTCTATTATATCTAATAAAATTATAATTTTACTGAAACATGTTGAATTTTTGTTTGGATATCTTGATATTCAGTTAGTGGGAGAAATATCGAAATTTCGAGTCACGTAGAGTCACCTTGGAATATACCATATAGAAAAGCCGCCAAATTTAATCGCGTTTCGGTTTCAGGCAAAACAGGTCGACAGAGCATTTTCTTAAATGTTATATGGCTGGAGTACTTTACCTACCAACAAGTAAAACCATTTTTTAAGTGTAAGAGAATTGTTTAAAATCATCACCCGACGTGACTCCAACGCTGACTGTGGTAATATTAACGTCATTAAGATGCTCCTTCAGCTGATTAGCACACAGGAGTGCGTTTTGTGCTTCATCCTCATGCTTAAGACCTCTCAAACCGAAAACCATGAGGAACATCATATCTTTATCGAACATAGATACCTTGTTCACCAGACCGCCAGTTTCCGCAGTCACACTAATTTAAAATTAGTAAGATTAGGATAGATGATTATTGGAATAGTGACCCATCCTGAGCTGGTGCCAGGCCTTAGGTAGACCAACAATTTGAAGTTCTTTTAAATTTTACTTACATTGACTTTATACCTACTTTATACTTGTATATATTGTTATCGAACTTAAAAGTTTTCACTTGACTACGACTATTTGGATAGTTGGATCCGCCCTTGAGTATGTACTATCATTAGATCATAGTTACCAGCAAACAATTTTGTAAGCATTATCAACTACTTCAATGAGCACGTTTTCAGTGACTGTCCTGGTTATGATATTTAGGAAGACCACGACAACATGGCGGATCTCTGTTAGGAAGTCCATGGGCTCATCGTTGTCCACCGCGCGAAGGATCGGCGGCACCATGAATCGACGCAGCGCTGACCACCAAGAATTATGCATCGCAGTGACCACTGCTTGTCTCACTAAAATTTTTAAAGCCTAAAGACAATTACGCTGAAATGTCCCATAACAATTTTCTTAGGATAAGGGATCGGTAATAACTCTAATTTCTGCAACTTTTCGACAAAAAAATTGTAAAACACAAAAATTTTAAATGTCTAATTACGTATTATGAAAAATTGTATTTCAATTGTTAAGTGGCGCCATCTACCCGTTGTCAAAGATCTTTTCTAGTCATGAAGGCAAACGATTAGTGTCTCAACAGTGAATGGAGAGGGTCATGAGGGCATGACCTCTAAGCTAGTTCCAGGACTTAGGGGGATCACTAATTACATATGTTGATTTTATTAACAAGTTATGTGTCAAGTTCTACAAGTGTACCAGTGTGTTTACCAGTAACTATTGTTATTAAAATTTAATTAAGTTCTTGACGTCTTGACCTCGTCCTATGTGACCCCCTCCTGGGACCAAACTTATATCTGCCTTTGCCTAAATATATATCTTCATAAAATATGTATGCTGTTGTATCCTGACTTTGTTTTATAAAGCAGACCAGTAAAAGGTTTTACAAATATCGAAATATAACATATAGTATATTTGTGAAGTGTACGTTGATGTTTTGGTTTCAGTCTGTTGATCAAATGTTCTACGCTGAAATATGTCCGCTTTTACTTGTACATACACTGGGGCCGAAATTAAAAAAAAACTCATTTATCTTACAAGAAAACTCCCTGTAGTTTATTCCCGTTGGGCTTCCATCCATTTGGGATTGATTGTCGCATGACTTTAATATATCAGGATCTGCATAATTATAGGGACTAATTTAGCAAACTAGTTTCAAACCAAAATAACAGGTATATTTTAAATTAGTTACCAATAGGCACACTTATAGATGAATGTAACTTTTGAACCCTTTTCCATGTGGCTCCTACTCCAAGCACCTAAAAATATATCTAACTCAGTATTTCGTACTTCACGCAAGTGGCACTAATTAAAAAAAAATACTTTGACAGTTTAAAACACGAAATGTAACGGTTCATTTAAATTTATGTTAACTACACTCCAACGTTTCGGATGATACAGCCGTGGTCACGAAGGAACCGAAGATGGAGGTTGTCCCTAACGGCAAATCTGCTACAGAAGTAACTCATTGTGACCTTTTGTTTATGATCCCAGGTCTTTTCATTTGTTAAGTAACTAATATGAACAACAAAACTTTGTTACAATAAGGCGTATCCACTTTGTTGGAAGACCTATAAGTATACTAGATCAAATATCGTTATCATTGTAAGGTGAAAATCTTCCCATATACAGGTTATTGTAATACCATCACGTTTAATTTTATGTATTCCTTGCCTTAGTATGCCGTCCATCTCCGCATGGTTGAGTACAATAGTCAGATTCATTAACGTACATCCAGGCGCTGGCTGAAGTAAGTACATCCCCAGCAGTGCTCATGTACTCCGCCATCTTGACGTCCCAAACTGGCTGGCCCACGATAACATAGTCTGCCTGACTGTGGTTTTGCCCACCGATGATTGAGAAGTGGCATAACCCAGCTGCTATGGCTATTTTAACTAAAATTATTTGTTTAATGTTTATAGAAACAAATTTCTTTGCTTACGGATAATATTATCTATGTAAACCCCTTATAGTTAAAAGGTGCCAAGTGCTGCACTCCAAACGTCCGGGCCGAAGTTAAAAATAATTTTCAAATAATTTAACTAATATATCCTTCCTTGATTTTTATTTAAATCGTAGTTAAACCCCTTATTTAGCCAAACTTTTTACACATAATGTGTTAAGTAGTTTGTGTAGATTACGCGAGTAGTATACAGTTAAATAAATCACTTAAAGGTTTATAAACGCGAAATATATAAATTAACTTATTTTAAACTACGGTCCAAAATTTAATACTAAAGTTTGTATTAAAACTAAGTGATTCAATCCCTATTCCCCTCGTGGAGCATGGGGGCGAACACATGACTGCGTCCGTTTCGCTGATCAGTTTTGTTCACAGGCAAGCAATTAATCGACGTCTGTGCCCTGCCTGACTGAAAAAATATATTTTTTCCCCGGGATTCGAACCCAGGATCTCTCGCGTCGTTTAACCATTTACCTAGTAAGTCAGCAGCTAAATTTTTAAACTATTGTTTGTATTAAAACTAATAAGGATAGCAACATTACCTTATAATATTTAACTTTGATATATCGTTTTAATTAGAATGACTTGGGGATTTAAAACCGAATTTCGTCATATTTAATCGTGTTACCTATACCTTTCAATGTTACACCAACGTCAGTATAATACCGGCCATAATTTCGCTGAATCAAAAGACCACAGTCTATCGCTGTATGGACCACGTCCTGCATACTCAGCTTTGAGGATTTCTTCCACATACAAAGGAACGCATCGCCAGAAAATTTCAACACATCTCCCTTGTGTGTCAATATCTCTTGCACCATCGCACCGATGTAAAGGTTCAAAACTGTAGTAAGACGTGATGGACCTCCGTGTCCTGCCTTTGTGTATGTCTCACAGAGTTCCGTGAATCCTTTATGAAGACATCTTACGTAAGTCAGATAGCCAGTACAGTACAGCAAGAGTTCTACAGAAAACACTTTAACAATTTTAAACGCAAAATATTAACTTATTTAAAGTACCTGTACTTACCGTGCTGTAGTAAAAGGGGTCTTCGTTTTAACTGAGACAGGTTTTAGTTAAAAATGTGTTGACTAATATCTTTCTTTACCTATTAAGCATTTTATATAGAAACCTTATTTAATTTACTTTAATTAAATATTATATTAACTTATTACTTAGTCTACTGTAATCATTGTCTTCTTTGGGGTTTTTTGACAAGTCAATTATTTAAAGGAATGTGATCAGCAAGGACTATGTTTGATATAAACAATATTTAATTTTAAACATTTTTCTATATCTGATTTACAATAGAGAATATTTCAAATATTGTAGATAATATAATAAAAAATGTGTTCTTATTAAACTAAGCGAAGCTAGAGTTGAAAACGTTTTACGATGTTCTATCTAAAACCTTTCTCAGTCAAAGACTGCACCTACATTACTAATATCCTCATAGCACCCACTGCATACTACTAACCAGAAACATCAATAAACATAAGCGCAGTTTCATAGCGTCTGATAGAGTAGTCCGAATGCTTATAGATTATTTCGTCTGGTACCAGGGAAGCCAGGACTGCTACCCGTTTCGCTTCACGTATGTCACTCCAATGTCCAGTCACATCGTTCAATCTAATTAGTATTTTATATATTTTACTAAAATACAATATAGGTATTTATTTTGGTATGTAAATGAAAATTTCTTTGTGGGATAAGAGCCTTTTGTTTTTGAATGTATAGGAGTAATCAGTCAGGGTATTATCTTCCAATATTCATGTAATAATGAATAGGTAAAGTTATTAAATACAACAAAAATTATTAGATAAACCTAAGGTTGTCATCATAGGAAGACATGCTTCGATTCGATTCAGCCGTTCGGTGTCCACTGCTGGACATAGGCCTGCTTATTACTGATAAATATTACGTGGGTACTTAGTCATGTATATTGCGTTTTATTTACTTTTTCAATGGCATGAAATTTTATTGAACGACATATATAGTTGCGCCAAGCTTAATCTGTAACAACTTCGTCCAGTCCCTTTGCAGATTACACACAGATATATGAATTCAATTGTTCTCCTTACTTATTTTAAACTTTAATTTAAATTATGGATTGCTAAAGTTGCATCCTATCTGACCAAAGCAACTTACCCAGGATAAAAATCCAGAAGCTGTCTCGTTTTCACTGAGCCAAGAAGCGATCGATTATAATTCGTAGAAACAGATTATTAATTTCTAGTAAACATTATTACTATGAGCGTTACTGCCTTTCATACTTACACAAAAGATTCTTCTTTCTGTTCCTTTTTGCGATGTCTCTCTCGTGGAGGTATCATCTCTGCTGATATCACACTCTTGCTTATATTTTGACGATGAATTCGCTTTAGTGCAGTAAGATAGGCCTTATTCTGGTTGCCATCTGCTTATCATGGATTCAGTGAAAATATGCTAACTAGTTATAATTAACGATTTTATAAACATGATGGTACCAACCGAGGCTTATTTTCTTCCCTTTGTCTTCCATAGCTTACCTGGTTAATGTAAACTAATATCCACTAACTTTTATAGTAGAAAATCTAGCATCTGACAATGTCTTGCCATTTGGACAGATCGAAAATTTCCACAAATGTAACCTTTATACAGTCTGTATGCAGCTGCTCAAGACTTTGTGATTAAATGATCTAGTACTTACATTACCTAATGTACAACCATACATAGAGCTAAAAAGGCAACTTGAAAGAACATTTAGTTTATGAGAGAAATCAAAAAATATACTTTATGTCATGTGAAATATCAATATTTTATTGTTACAGTATGCCATATTAAACTTCATTAATAACAACATAATTTAATGGTGTTCCATCAAAGAAAAGAGCAAATACTGAATTATTTATTTATTTGCACAATTAAATATATTTTGATACACAAAACTTAGAAGCTATCCTTGATTTTCATCCATTTGATTTGATTCCTGTATAGAAAAAATTGTTAACACTAAAATATAAACTATAGACAGTATTTGTTAACACTACTTGAAAGTATTCGAATACTTTAATATTTTTAGATGGCATTGCACATGTCTTTATATAAATTAAAAATTTATTTGAACGCACAGGACTTGAACCGGCATGCACAGCGCTTCATACTTCTGTTCTAACTACAAAACACTATAGCTCAACAAAGAACAGCACTTAATTCTGTCTCTGAATTCAAGTCTTTCTCATGTCGTAAAATTTCAAAATAACTAATCTATTTTTAATTTACCTTATCTATGAAAAACAAGTAAATTTATGAGATTAGACTTAATGCATAGTATATAACTATATAAACAATTAAATTCGGAAATATTTATGTTAAATATTATTTAAATTAGTATTAAAGCTCTCAACTAGAATCATTTAATATTCCTGTTTAATTCAGTTCTTTATTGTTTTCGTTAGTTGGCTACTAACAGATATTTTATATTAAATACTTACAAGAATACTTACTTGTAAGTTGGTTTTCTTCTCAATCCAGCCAGATAACCTATATGTTAAAAAATTTACCTAGCAAGATTATCTAATTATTTTATCTACATTACCCAGGTGTAATAGTAATAATTTTTCTTTACCTTACCAATGAAATTCCAAATTTTATTGGGATAAGATTAAAACTGTATAGTCAAAAAAGAAAACTACAGTGAAACTAAAAAGAAAATATGAAACATTACCCATCTTTGCCTATTCATTCACTGTCATTTGCACCCACTCAAGCACATATGTTTTTATACTTTGGGTTTCACCATCACATGACACCATAGCACTGAGTTTGAGTCTGATTTAATTATTGAGATATAGGACACCTGCACTAAACTGACCAGAACTTCACTATCACAATGCACAAGGTATAAAAAAACAACAACATTGAATGAATATAATCTATTTGTGTTCACACACTACACATCACCTAGGAATACACTGATTACACTAGAACTATAAATTACACAATCCAAATATATTCTAGCAAAACTAAATATATTTATTGCTTTACACATTAAACTGTGGCTGCCACAGCACTTCACAATATTTTGGGTAATTCACAATTACACGTCACATAGTTCGGTTCACTACACGTAATGTTATACAATAAAAAGTTGTTGATAAGCTTTAGACTTAACCTAATCATAATCAGCATATTAACATGATTCTTTTTTATGCTGAGCCACCGCGGACCACTACGATTACCAAATGGTCCTCCTTGAGGCTCTCTTCAGTGAGGTTATGGCAAGTGCGTTTTAACAATTCAGTTGAGAAGTCGCAAGGAGGGAAAGAGTATAAGACTCCAGTGGCCTCAGTCTCCTTATTGAGAAGTGAAATTACACCAGCAGCCTCTTTTTGCTTTAGATATGAAACCAAATTCCTCATAGGACGTGTCTGTATGCTTGCATCGTCATTTGTAATAGAGGCTGTAGACCCTGCTACGCTTAAAAATATTGCATGGGAGCTTGATGTGGCTATACGCTTTTGTACATCATCCAGTTTTGGTTGATCTAGTCTAAGCCTTTGGGTTATTCTTAACTGATTCTTGCCATCTTCATCTTTCATAAGGCTGTCAATGATATCTGAATCACCATCTGTGAGGTGAAATTTGGTAGGGAAGAGAGAGTTCTTAAGAATCAAAGCTCCGTTCCAAACAGTCAAAGCTTTACGAACAACCTCAGGGAGGGTCCTAGCTGAGGAGAGCATACCACCACTTCTACGAGGTGAACCATCTGAATCGCTATCCGGTGAACGTCGTCTTGGTGTTCGTGACCTTGAACGGTCGACACCAGGCTCTCGAGAACCTGACCTACGTATTCGGCTATCATAGTCTGTGTCAGGTGGCCGGCGCCACTCGTCATCGCGGTAGTCTCCTGAACCATGGTAGACACCTCTATAGGTTCCGCGTCCGCGACCACGGTGACCACCCCTGCCTCTATAACCAGCATACCCATAACTGTCGTCCCATGTACTGTCATATGCTTCATATCCCTCTACCGGTCGTCCATCTTCACCCACTGGTGGAGCATAAGTTTTAGGTCTGTAAGGACCACCATTTCCAGCATCAGCAAAATCAATACGTAGGCGTCTTTCTGGCCCGCCTAAGGGGAATCCTCTCATTTCTTTCACAGCAGCTTGTGCAGCATCTATAGAATCATACAATATATAAGCATGAGGCTCCCCTTTTGCATATTCAATTTTCTTAATAGCTCCAAATCTATCAAACTCTCGTTCTAGTTGTGCAACTGATGTCCAAGGCCCCAGACCACCCACCCAAACACGAGTTGTTGGAGTAGCCTTACCATAACCAATTTTACATTGAAATTTGCCAATATATTGACCAGACAGTTCCACTTTAGCCCGGTGTGCCATATCCAGTGTTTGATAGCGTACAAATGCAAAGGCATTTCCTGTTCCTGGTGGAGGTCTCTTAATATCAATGTCTTCAACAATGCCATAACGTCCAAATATACGACGTAATTCTTCATCTGATATGTTGATTTCTAAATTTCCTGCAAAAAGGGTTCTTGTTGCTAGAGGATCATCTTCTGGTTGAACATGATGAAGATAGTTAGGAAATTTATCTTTCTTGTTCTCTGTCTTTTCAAAACCTGGATGATGAGGTCTAGGCATATATGGTCTTGGTATATAATGAGGATGTGGTGGGTGGTGCATTGGTGGGCGATGCATTGGAGGTCCATGTGGACCTGCTAATGGGTATTCATGGATTGGAGGTCTAAAATCTCTATGGTGGGGTGGTACAGTAGGGGGAATTCCATAACCTCTATCATCAGGTGGTGGTCTTCGTCGTTCAGGCACTGGGGACCAAGCATAGGAATAGGGGCGATCATAATCTGGAGGGGTGATGCTTCTCGGCCGGCTCCTATATTCCGAACGAACTGGTTCATATACAGGATCTACAATAGCAACCTTATCATACAGAATAATACGTGGTTTCGCATGTTTGGCGTCACGAGCGTCTTCAACACTTCTGAAACAAACATACGCCACACGCTCATCTAGTTCATGTGAAATCTTAATACTGAAGTCTCCAAACTTCTTATATTCTCTATAGAGAGTATCTTTTACAATCTCATCAGAAGCTTTAGGGTGTAGAGCACTAACACACAGCACCTTATAATAAGGCCGCACTGACTCCTCTCTCACTTCGCGAGACCTAACGTAATCGTCTCTATGCGGAGACACATACCGACCTCGAGGACTAGGCGAACGGACTCGCCTGCGCACCCTATCCGGCGTAGCGCGCTCATCAGAACTATCGTCGTATCTCCCGATACTACTACGCGTCCTTTTCGACCGAGGTAAACTGTCTCTTGAGGAACTCCTCTTCATATTGCGAATTTTCACCGTAATACGATCTCTATCTCTATCGCTACGCGGTAAGCCGATCATGAAAGCTCAGTTCGAAGAACCACTATCTGAAATGCACAACATTACACGTCACTTCAAAATGTCGTCTAGTTCCAGAAAAAGCGCTTCACTGTAACAAGTCTTAAGTCTTACCACAAACAATTCAAGGACCTACACCACTTTTCTAACGTCACAAAACTCTACAACACCCTGCGATGAGCACGCGTACAATTCAAGAAAACTTACAATTGCACTTCTAACCACCGCTGATAAAAATTTTCACTACTTATTATTGGGGACGACCGATTCAACTTCTACATCAAAATGGCTGCGTAATGCGTGAAGCGTTCGTGCTCGGTGATTGTCGGTGTTGTCATTTTACAAAGCTTTTGGTTAGAGTTGTGAAATGTGAATATAAAATTGCTAGATGACTGATTTTTCGTTTAAGAACAGGCGTTCCGTCTGTATAGATTACCGATTTTTACAGGACACATCATATATACAAAGTATAATAATTTAAGAAAAAAGTTGCGATTTGTATTTCCTGTCAAACTTCATAAATTTACAATAAAAAAAGAAAAATATATAAAGTTTTCACATTTTTCAACTCATAGTGAGTAATCGGTAATTACATGTTTGTAGCATCTTTCAACATTCACAGATAAAATATTTTTTATTTGAATACATACTATGAAATATATGGAAGTATAGTATATATAGGAAGATAGAAAGTTAAAAGATAATATGACATAAAAATATAGGTATCTCTAAATAGTAAATAAGTAAGTAGTAATGAATGTTTCTTTAATTGCTCGGTACTCTATGCTATATATAGATACTAGAAAACCATATTTGTTTACTTTTTTGAAGCGAATAAAAGAACTATGTATATATTATACATATATACATAATAATCGGTGCATTGTGATGTTTTTTAAAACTTAAGTAAATACGTCACACTAATCATATACATACAATAATGTAATATGCATATTGTGCATACTACTTGATAAGTACTTTAATAAAATAAGATAGTGGCCATTTAGTAATATATTACAAGTATAAAACATTTGTGAAACGTTATTTTTATCGTATTAACATAACAGATATATTTGCCGTTACTGGCGATAAAACAATAAACATTTTTGTCATTGAACTTTCGACTTAACTTGGAAGTTTAATCTTAATTAGAATTGTGGAAGGCAGTGACGATAAAGAAACAAAAGCAATAATAAAATAGTATTCTATTATGGAAATAGTAATTAATATTAACAATCAGTCAAATGGAAGGGACAAACTTGCCAGGTTTGTACTATACTGGTCTTTATTAAATTAAAATAAATGCATTATATTATTTTTTCTTACTTAATTATGTAACTATATTCGTAATTGTAGATTAATACAGTATGCCAGTCGTCTTGTGTGGCATCAATTGGAGAGAAGAAATGCCAATAAATATTCTATAGACAGAATAAAGAGCTTGGAAAATAATTTGAGTTCATTTCGGAAAGGTTTGTAAATATTTTCCGATTTTCTTCATGAACTTTTTTCTACTTCTCCATACTATTTACACATAATATTACTTTATTTACAAAAAAAATATATTTCTGCTTTACAGTTCTTAGGCTTGGAAGGTGTATAGACATTTGTTATGCAGCATTAAATACACTACACATAGAGGATCCATTCCTGAGAATTTCCCTAACAATAAGTAAAATTGCACATGCATTATTTCTGTATGCTGACCATATAGTTTGGCTCACGAGAAGTGGGTTCTTGAAGAGTGACACTGACAAATGGAATCGGACAGCAAATAAATTCTGGTTAATTTCAATTATTGCAAACTTAGCTAGAGATTTCTATGAAATTTTACAAGTATTAGAGCTAAGTAAGTCGAAATTTCTGAAGCCAACAGAGCTATTGGGATCTTCTGTAAAGAGTTTTGATTTTCATAGCAGTATGAAGCATTTTTATGCTCTTGTTAATTGCCATAAGGATATATTTATTGATACTGCTAAAAATTCATGTGATATCTTTATCCCTTTAACTGCATTAGGAGTTACAAAATTGAGTCCAAGTGCTGTTGGTACCCTTGGTTCACTGTCATCACTTGCAGCTCTTATGACCATAATAAAACCGATAACAAAATTACTTCCAGCTTAGAAGTAAAACTTGAAACGATTTTTTACCTTTGTTTTTTTATTATTTTTTATTTACATACTGGTTGAATAATGGGGGCTATTCTTTATGGTGATTAGCCTAAGATACTTGTATTATGAGAATTGGGAACAGTTATATTAATGGTTATTTCAAGATAACAGGCAATGTTTATATACGCATAATGACTTTTATTGTTTTTAATATTATTTTAAGGATAAATATCTAATAAATGGGTTGCGTAGTAGAGGGTTTTCCTTCCTTCCAAAATTACGTAGTATTAGTCCCTCTTTAAATGATGGATAAACAAAATCGCACAGCGCACTCCTTTATTCACTCGAATCTGTGGACATAGCAAATTTTTATAATATGTTGTCTGTACTCCACTCTGCATTAGGCTATTAGCCATAGAGTAGGACAATCTATATATTGGCTGTAACAGTGGCTATTAACTAATGTTATTTGTAATTAAATAACAAACAAATTATTATTTATTTATAACAATGGCTCACAAAATGAAAGATGTAGCCAAAAAGTTTTTACTTCTCGGTCAATGTGTTCCCACAGTGAAACAAAATGCAACAAAAATACGCGTGAAGAGGTTAGAATTAGACGAAAATTTGCTAATGGTTTGTATTATTAGTTATTTATGTAAGGAATATTTAATTTAGCAACACCGATTTATCATCTAATATTTTTGCAGTATTTTAATAAAGATGAATTCTACTACTGCCACGATCCAAACAAAATGTGTAAAACTGGTGATATAGTCTTGATAAAAATGCTCCCTCATAAATTAACTAAATTAATAACACACGAAGTACAAGAGGTCGTGTATCCCTTTGGTGATGTAACAGATCCTGTTACTGGAAAGAAAGTAGCCAAAGCAAGGTACCGTGAGGACATCGACAGAGAAGCAGAATTATATGGTAAACTGCAATCTGCTTTTGACTACGATAAAGCACCAGCAAGAGGCTGGCAAGAAGGAAAGAAAGATTTCACAGCAAAACCTACCTATACAGGTTTCCATGTATTTGATGAAAAGGATCCCTACGCAATATAAATTGATAAAGTGTACTTAGTAATTGTGTAATTAGTGTACTTGTAAGTAGTATAATTTAATAATAGTAATTTTAATTGAAGCCTTGTTTTAATTCAATCCATCTCATTTAATATGTCATACTTTTCCGAATGATTTAAATAGCTTTACTGGAATTTATAGCAATGTGTTTGAAAGAATCGTAAAACTTATTTTTTTTTAGGGAATTCAAGATTGAGTGTGCTACTTGATTTACAGCTTATTATAGAGAAATATTCATGTTTAATAGTGGTATAATGTGATTTTAATTAGTGATTTACGACTCCATAGCTTATGGTTAAGCAGCACAGGTGTTGAGTTTGAATACCATGGAAAGAATAATCAGACTGGGTATATTTTATATCATTAAATTTATATATCAGAAGTAATTTTGAAAGAGTAAGTTTAAAATAAACAGGCTATATTAAACAAATGTATATATTTCTTAGTTGATAATGCTGACATCAGTCCTGTGCTAAAAATTCTCTTTCCAATGCTGCTCCCATAAGATTCCATGAACTGTCATCATCATCTGGTGGTATATCATCATCTGATGGTGGGGTTGATGGCCTAGGCCTTTTTTTAGGTCTATCTGTACCTATAAAGAAAATTGGGGCTTAGTATCTGTGACAATTCAAAAGCTTTAATATACTTTGGGTTAAATACCAACCTGTCTCTGAATCACTAGAATTATCTTCATCCTTATCTTGTAATCTGTAAATTAAAAAGTATCTTATCCAGGTGTGTTTTTTATTGTTTTTAACTTTTTCCTGTTTACATCTCTAATTTTATTAAAGAAACAATTACATACATACAGTAGAACCTCGATAAGACAAAAACCTCTACATCTCGTAAAAAAATTGTGTTCCCTTCTTTTAAAACACCAAAACCTCCATTAGTCGAAATCTCAACCCTCTATTATGTCGTATAGTCGAAATAATCAGTGAGTCCCTCCAAGTCAATTTGGTACATATATTCCTTCCATAACTCGAAAAAATAATTTTTACCTGTGTATCTCGAAAATAGCAACGTCTTATTTTACAACCTTTACCACTCTATCATTTTGGACACCTTACATCTATAGTTCGAACACAATTAAGTTACCGACTTTAAAAATTTGCAATGAATGAATAGAATTACTACGAATTTATGACTCACATTAACAAAGGCTTGCTTAAATACTGTCTATAGTTTACGCGAGTAGTACACATTTAAATAAAACACTTTAACGGTTTAAAACGCGATATATTAGTTTATTAAAGTTTTGTTAAAGTGTTTTATTAAAAAGTGCTTGCTTGCTTGATATCAGGTTTTTCATTTTATTAGTTTTGATTGCATCTGAATGGAAGTTATTTGTTATCGAGTGAAATGTTGTCAGAAGTTGTTTGGTTCTACTGCATATCAATTTGTACATGAGTTACACATTGGAAAATGAGTGCTGTAAAACGTAAGCTGAACTTTGAGTCTTGCAGAAAAATTAGAAGAGTTTGAAGCTGTGAAGAGTGTCGAAAGAAGAAGATCAAAAAATTTGGCCTGCAAGAGTCACACTGTCAAGATTAATAAAAAATTAACCAGACATCATGAAGAAAATACAAAACGGTCAAAGTCTGTGTCCTGCAAAAGACGACGAATTCCCAAATTCCATTTATAAGAATGAATTTCAACCTCTATGTCGAAACAAAATCCGCCTAAGTCGAAAACTCTAGAACTCGAATTTTTTGTCGTCTCCCTTGATATTCGACTTATAGATGTTCTACTGTATATAAAATAATCTCTTAAGCATGAGAAATGTAAAACATTTTGCTGTAAAAGGAATACCTCTCTTGTGAGTTAGTTGTGTTTTCAAGTGCAAGCAATCTGTTCTCAGAAAGGTTCTCTTCATCATCATCGTCGTCTCCCATTTTATCTTCTTCATCTGATGAACTTTCATCAGATTCATTAAAGATGTCTTCTACCTACATTGTATAAAAAATACAATAATTATTTTATTTACCTTCATTGTAACGCCTTGCAAATTAGTCTCAGTTTAAATAGAAATCAACAATAACAAGAAACAAAATTTGTATGAATATTTTTGAAAGTACAACTGGGAATAAAAGCATTCTAAAACATCAAAATAGCTTTAAGGCTGATGATGATACCTCTCGGTCCATATCCGCGATATCATCGCTTGAGAAGGATAGAAGAGGATTGAGCGTGTCCATAAATCGCCCCGAGGGCGTGCGCTTGCGCAGTGCGGGCGTCGGTACAGGAGGCGCTGGAGGTGGACTGGTGCAATGCGCGGGAGGACGTCGGGCACTGCTCTGAAATAAAAAAAAATGTGTAAATAAAAGTTTAAAAGTACGATGTATATAATCTGTGGAACAAAATGTACCTGTCCGCCTCGTTGGAGGGGATACAATCTCTCGTCAACTCGCTCCCACCTTTCAGCGCATGCCCATAGCCATTCTGGAGTCACAACATGTACTTTTGCTTTGCCTTCTCCCATTCTACGACTTGCGTTTACTTTCGCGGTTCCTGAAAAAAAAATCATGAATAACTCATTCTCCTTCTAGACTTTAAATACGATCCATAATGTAGAAATTTTTAACCTATTGTCTTAAAACGATATTTCTTAATGAATAAATTTATAATGATGACAACAAAAACTTAATATATTACAAATAGTGAAAAATGTTTAGCCTTGTACCTGATCTAACAGCAACCAAATGAGTTGTTTTCTCAGTAAGATCCTGTGTTACTTCTGCTCCTAAGCTTCTGGCCACAAGGTAGGCTCTAGATGTCTCCAACTTTTGATGAGTCGGTACGAGGCCACTAAATACTAAACTAGTATTTGCGAGGACTTTGCTTTTCACTTCGGGTATAATAAATTTCAGATCTGGTATTTGTTTGTTGCCCATTTTCTCATATGTGTCATAAAAATGCCTGAAAAAAAAAATGAGTGTAGAATTTGGTAGTAATACAAAATACATTTATTTTTGTTTCACATATTCATTTATGATCATGCAAGCATGTGCATATCTTATATGACTATGTCGTTCTCGTATCTGTCTTCCTTAAAATACTAAAATGTAGGAAGTCTTCAGTAGAACAGCTTCTGTGTGGATTATATAGTGAAGCTACATACACACTGAATTATGTAACTTGTATCTTAATCCAATATTTAGCGGTCTATCTATAAACAACATGAATCTAAACTCACCTATGAATCCTTAACAATATATCTTCTAAATATATCAAATAGTCATCTGGATCTTCTATTTCTATTTGCCCGTCTGATGTTTCTAACCATTTAGGTTCAGGTTCATTTGGATTTTCATTTAGAACATCTACTTTATCATTATTTTTATTCTTAGCCACATTATTGGTGTTCTCATTATTTTCTACAGATTCTTTCTTTATATCATTCTCTATCGTTTCCAGTTTCTCTGGTTCTGCTTCAAGTGTTGGTAGCTGAGGTAATAGGGACCCATTTTTTCCACTTATCATTTTTGATTTTTCATCATCTGAAACACAATATTTATTAATTCAAATTCTCTATTTATTATAGTTTAAAATTGTTAGAAATTTTCAGAGTAACCTATAAGGAAGGACCAATATATGATTTGCAGAGCAATTTGGTTTCTATTGGTTTACTTTAGTTAGTGAGATATGGAATTGTCCATATCTCAAAGTATTGACTTTGTGGTCAAATATATAGAATGCAAAATTTGTAGTAAATTATCTAAAATTTATCAAAATACATACTGAGTGGAGGTGGGGCGTTAATATCGCCAGTCGTTTGAAAGAATGAGTATGGCCTCACATGAATCAGATTGGCTGCATGCTTCCATACATCCTCGCGGTCATCTATGATGCATACCATGTTATCACCGCATGGAAACAGGGCTCTGGATTTTAAAAAGCAATCAAAAATAATATATCATTTGAGTATAAAAATATTTAAGTCTACATGTTAATTTTATAATAAGATACTTGCAAATAACTAAAACACAAAACATTAAATGTTTGTCATTATTGTACATATTATACAAAATGTATTTCGATGTAGATTAAATAAAAAATAATAATTGTAAATCATACATTTTTTCCTCTAATATTGATATCATCATTTCCACCTATTTATGTTTCTTATTAGAACGAGTTTTTAGAATAGGCATAGATGGTTGGTAGACTACTAACAACAACAACTGCTACTAAGCTACTAATGAAAACTAAGGCACATGGTGGGCAAAAAGGTGAAATGGTCAGCTGATGGTGTGGACTAATCACCCGGCCTTCTATAGGTTTCCCAGATAGAAAATAAAAAATAATAAGTGACATGGCTGCTGTACAATAAGACATGCTTTCTGAGGCACAGGATTGCACCTCACTTTTATAGTAAAAAAAAGTTAAACTTACTTAATACTAAATTGAATTATGGTTGTAACACAATAAAAAACTCACTTCAAATTAGCAGATTTTGTTCGAGCATCAAAGCATTCATCCCTAGACAATATTCTATGTGAGAAATATTTTTTCTTTGGATCCAACAACTCAGTAACTGCATGAGCATACTGCCTGGCTCCAAATGTACAGACATGAAGTTCATAGTTCTTAGATGCTGATTCCAGAAACTCTTGCGTTCTGGGTCTTAACCTGGTATGACACCATCTACCATTACTACCTGGGCCTCGAAGGAAGAAATGTAAGACTCCCTAGAAAAATATAACAGTAAATAAACATAGAGTTAAATTTTCTATATGTAATGCATGTTATAAATTTGTAGATTGATTTGTATACCTTCAAGTTAGGTGGTATATCATCATTTGTTGTATGTACAAGCGTTTGATCAAGGTCCACAAGTAACACAAGCTTTCTATCCTTTAAGAGCCTATCTGCATCTTCTCTTCCAAGCTTTAAAGCCAGTTCTTCAGAAACCTGGAATTGGTAGTAAATATTGTCATTATCTTACAAAGTCGATTATGGTCTATTATCTTGAAAAAACATTGTTTAAAACTTTTTATTCTGGAAAAAAAAGTAAGTTGTTGTATTTATGCAGTGATTTGTTCATGTTCTGCTTATTTGTGTTGTTGATGCTTTGTATCAATATATTTTTTACCTTTAACTCAGGAACAGAGTGTACCATGGGAACGATTGCGACGTCCTGTTTTTTCCTTTCTTCGGCGCGTAAATCGGCCCCGCATTCCGCGCACATATCTTTCATAACAGTTGGATGGCGGCATTCTTCTAAATCGGCTAAACACCCTCTGTTATGGCAAAAAGGTTTACAGTAGTTATTTATATTTATTTAAAATTCATTTTTGCAGTTAGACAATTTCAATTTGGTTATATCGACGCGCGCGCATTTTTGAGATTGCATCAACAAAAGTAAATAAACAAATTTTGTTAATGCAAATACATACTTAAGATAGGTATAAGGTTCAGCAATTTTTCTAATAAACACTTCTTTTCAAACTGCATGCCTTGGTTTATTTATTTAAGATTTTGACATCATCAAAACGTCACTTACCCGGGCTGTGCGACGTCCCCTTCTTTCACCTTGATGGCTATGATAGTACCAGCGCGTATGGCTTTATATTTCTTTATTTGAGAATCGTTCCCGGATGAATCACTATATAAAAATAATATCTGGCCCTGTGAAACAAATGCGCCCTGTTTTACCTTCCACTTTTCTAGTTTTATGGGCTTTTCACATGGAACAGAAATAGACATAGCTTTGTCCGCCATTTTGAACGGAAATTGCGCACTACAAGAATTTGTGGAGATTTTATTGGCAGATTTGCTATCTTTTTGGCGGTTATTTAGTTACAACCAATGAGAAAATTCTTTAATATTATTGATTATATTTTAACCAATCATCGTTTACTTTTGTAAAGCATTTGATCTTATCATTGCACTTATGAAAAAATAATAACACTTTGCCATATAATAAGTATTTTTATTGTAGGACACTATATTTTTTTACTTGTTTATATACAAAACAACAAAATTATATGATAATAATAGAAATCCTAAATTATTTTTTGAAATCTCGCTCAATTGAACACTATGCAGTCTGTAGCTATTTCTTAGTCTATGTTACTATAACATAACTCGATACTCGACTCTTACCTGTCAGTGTCATTTTGTAAATGAAAAATTGAAATCAAAGCAAAACATTTTCGGTAGGAGTAATTATCGAAAATATTTACCTAGTTAAACTTTTATTTTGTTTTATTTAATCATTTCTATACGAATTTAAGCTCAAACATGACGGATGATAATATAACTGTGAGTGATAATTCAGATCTGGAAGATCTAACTACACCGGAGCTCCGCGGATATTTGAGTAAATGGACGAATTACATTCATGGGTGGCAAGATAGATTTATTGTGTTAAAAGATTCAACATTATCTTACTATAAGAGTGAGCTTGAGAGTAATTTAGGATGTCGTGGTGCGCTTTGTTTAAAGAAGGCCAAAGTCAAGGTAAGCGTTGCCTATCTGGCGACGATCATTTACGTCTAATTTAGATTTGAATAAAAAATTAATTTGTCCTTGTAGATGCCTTTACTGTATTTTAAAGTGAATTGCTATGCTTGAATGGCCGTTATGGCTATTGCAATTATTATTTTTCCTTTTGTTTATATGATGTCATAGTATCACTCTCAATTAGATTTATCTATATTTAAACATTTTCCCTATTGTAATGTATGTAAAAAATAAGTATGAATTTACCCTTGAAACATTGTAGTATTATTTTGTATTAGACTTGCCTTGCCCTGTTGTAAAGTAGGAAATATATACACATATATCCTTATTCTTTGTCACTTTTAACTAAAAAAAAAGTCATATTCTAATATAAACAGGATGAGTTTTTAATGGATTTTTGTTAAAAAACCATGTCTCTATATAATAGTTATAAGCATTTATAAATATTTTTTTTATTACAGCCTCATGAATTTGATGACCGAAGATTTGATGTGTCCGTCAACGATTGTGTGTGGTACTTAAGAGCTTCCAATCCTGAAGAAAAGCAGCAATGGATTGATGTTTTGGAATCATTTAAGGTAAAGCAGATAAGAACTGTCTCAACATGCTCAGTATAATACTGCGATTAAGAATGTGGTTTAAATCCCTAAAAACATAATTATTTACTACCTTCATATTACTCATTACTATCTAAACATAAGCAATAGCTATGTCCCTGTATGTGGTGCAGCTTTTATTCTATTCTATTTATTCTTATGCTTGAATTTGAGTTACAATAATTATTATTTTCAATTTAACAAGGCGAGACGGTTGTTAAATAATTCTTCATGAAAATTTAAAAAACCATTCTTAAGATAACTATACATATATAGTTAAATCATATAGAATGGTTCCTAAAGATAACAATTTGACTGAATCACTTCCTTGTTTAGTAGATAAACTATATAACCAATGGTGCAAGGAAAAATTGCAAGTTGCTTATAATTTACACATGTGAAGTAGGTATCATTCAAAATTAATAACACTATCAAGATATGCTCACATGGTTTATGATTTTATTTCAATATTATCAGATTACACTTTTATTAGCAATTGATAAGGTCGGCAGCATTCCAACGTTGGTACTAATCTTGTATTACCTACATGTGAATAATTGTTGTATATGTTACATTTATTGGTTTCATATCACATTAATATTAAAGTGTCCTTTGTAGCACACTTTACTGGTTCTATGTTGGTATCCCACGAAACGTAATAAATAGCTTTCTTGGACAGGTCCTGTTAGTCTAATCTACCACTTGCCTGTCAATAAACTGGATCAGTGAAGACACAGAAATATGTCTATGTCATGCACAATAGTTCTATTATTATTAACATTAATGATGAAATTAGAGGCGAATTAATTGAATGTTGATTACTATAGTAATTAACACTTGATTATGCTATAACTGTATTTGATTCAACATCTTTTGAAATCAAACATTATATTGTCCTTCAATTTATAACTGAACAAAATAATTTTAACAGATAAAGTCGAAGAGTTTGCTTGAACATGCTAGTCTCAGGAACTACTGATTTGAATTAAAAGAAAAATGTGTTGGTTAGACCATTTACTGAAGAGCGCTTTAGGCTAGCATCACGCTGCGACGCAACAGCAAACGAAGCAGTAGTGGAAAATATTAAAAAAATATATATTCATCTAGAATTACAGTTAATTACATAATGAGAACCAAATCTTTTGTTTTACAAAACTGTGTAATTAAAACTTTCTTTCTTTTCTTTGTCTTTTCAATTTAAATAATTCTAACACAAACTACTCTTTTTTTTTAAAGACGGTAGATGTAGCTGTAATGTTATATGTGTATATATAAAAATGTATGCATGTATATGTGTTGTTGTATAAACATTTTGTACATTGCATATATTATTTGAAATTTCTTATCAGATTTAATGTATGCTTTAAATTTGACCTCAGGTGGAATCAGGGTATGGAACTAACTCGGACAGCAGCTCAAATGGAGGGGGTCTTAGAAGACATGGTTCTATCACGTCTCTCCAATCAACCGGTTCACATGGTTAGTAGAAAATACATCATAGAAAGTTACAAATCAATGTAAGATGACTGTTTGGTATTGAAATTGGCAGTCTAAGTGGACTAGCCTAGTAAGCTATGGTAGTGCGTGTTGCCTACTACTCCGTTAAACGCGAGAGGCTGGCTTCGAATCACGGAAAACAATGGATTGTTTCGGGTAGGGCACAGAAATCTGATCTATAAATAAAATGGGTACAGGAATACGCGCAATACCCCACCAGGAGTGTGTAGTTCTCTTATATAATAATCGTAAATAATTCAAACATTAATAAGGGAATAATAATATAAAATAAATAATATTTCCTCAATTTTTAGGTCGCACATCCCGGAGACTGGCTGAGAAAATTGCAGAGCTGGAGACATACAGCGATATTCTGTCAAAGCAAGCGATTCAGTTGCAGCATTACTATGATGTGTGCATCTCGTGCTATCCACAGATAAACGACGATATCACAGAGGCTATTGACGCTGTCAAATTGGCGGATAGTGAGTGTCATTTGTTTTTTTTTTTAATTTGGAAAAGAAGTAAAGTAAATGTTTTTTAATTTTTATGTTTGTAATCTGAGAATTTTTATGCTAATGTACTCTTAAAAATAAATGTTAATGGACAACCTAAGACGTTAGACGAATAATGGTCTAATTTTGTTATTGCGGTAAGCGCAAATCTTGAAGATAGAAATGGTTCGTTTGGGAAGGGTACAATTTGATAGACTTTATTTCCATACAAGTATTAATTTTAATTAAGTCTACCATAACATGGGGATTGACAAAACAGAGTAGAACATTAAAAAATTAACGATGGAACAATTATTGAGATTCTACAAAGATACCGGAAGGTTTGAAGAGACACAGTGACAGTCAGGTAACCCAATGACCTCCACAAAGGGGGAATGGGGAAATGGGTGAGGTGGTTAGCAAATAGCGTGGACCGATCACCCGGCCTCTGTCGGTATCCCCAATAGCAAATAATTATAAGTTATTATCGATATTTTTAGGCATAGATCAGAAGAAAAACTTGGAGGAGGTGCGCGCGACTAGCACGTCCTTCCGAGCGACTTGTAGCGCGACTATCGCCACTGTTCAACACTGTGTCGACTTGTTAAAACGGCGCGAGAGACAGGCGAGATCTGCTGAGGAACTATACATGTGAGTATTTTTGAGATGTTAAGTCAAAGCCAAAAAATTGCCCCCTTCCCAGAGGAGAGCTTCGTGGAGAGAAGACCTGGAAAACACTTGTCGCCTTTTAATGGTAGAGGGGGAGAGAGAAGCATGCTGCTCACTTTATGGTAGGTGATATGTAACCACCCTATACCATCTAAACAACATCTCTATCTTGACTTGATAATTAGAAATCTATCGACTGTAATCGAAAACGTGATAAAACCTTACGGCTTTTTCATCTGTGGACGTGACCCAGACGGAATTTCGGTATTCCTATCATTTCATTTTTTAAATTTACTTTTATCAGTTCCTAATGTTTTTTCTAACATATATATTTTATGTTTGTCCACAGGGCATTGAAGAATCAATTGAATGAAGCTCGTTTATCGTCGAAGCCGGGACCCGACGACGAGGTAGGAACAATTTTTGTAAATCTCTTCGTTTAAATAAAACACTTTAACGGTTTAAAAAGCCGCAACCGGCTGCTGCAAAGCATCCAAAACGTCGGGCCGAAGTTAAAAATCATTTTCAAATAAGTTTAACTAATATATCGCGTTTTAAACCGTTAAAGTGTTTTATTTAAATATGTACTACTCGCGTAAACTATAGACAGTATTTAATCTCTTCGTTTTTATAAAATCGTGGTAAGACATATGCTTAACACTAATCTTGTCGATCCGTGCGACTAGTATGCTTTGGGTTGAGACGTCCTGTAACTACGTTCTCGTTGTAATGTTGAAAAGTAGTGGAGGGGTAGCAGTGCCGTCATAAACATTGCCGTTGTGTGTTTTAGTTACAACGCTAATCAGAGCTCATTTATTCTTTTTACGTGATGTACATTTTTAAAGATTTAATTTAGGTCCAGCATGTACTTTCTGGTAACCTGTATTATAGAAATCAATTTAGTGTTGTTGTGTATACTTAAAATTCAGTCAGGCAGGAGCCAGCGATGATCTAAATCAGAGATGCACAGACCGCGCCGGTCCAATACTAGTGGCTCGACAGCAAAAACAATACTTAAAATAATAATTTCGTTTTCTACTTTAATACATTACTAGCTGTGTCAGCGTAGAATAGTTGCGTTAGGCATCCAAATTTGTTTTTGCAAACCTGTACAATTCAGCTGCCCATGACATCGGTCGCGTCCCGTCGTTTGGGTCCCTTCTTTCTTGCAAGATAATCTTAACAGATAGACAAATAGTGTCGCGGACATTTTTTTCCGATTCTTTATAGAAGAATCATTTCTCTATATTTTTTGGGTCTCTATACATTTCCCGCTTATGTATCTTTGCTTCTATTTGTCGCAGCGCGATGTATAGCCTTCCTCGATAAATGCTCTAACTAAAACGAATAAACTCTACTGCTTTGAAATAAAACACTTACGGTAACGGATTATGGGGAATTTTTTTTTATTTTCGGCCCGGCGTTTTGGATGCTTTGCGCAGTCGTGGTCACGGGGAGGTTGACCACGGCTGCCATGACACCATATCATTTCCAAATAAGTTTAACTAATATATCGCGTTTTAAACAGTTAAAGTGTTTTATTGAATGTGTACTACTCGCGTAAACTATAGACGTATTTAAACTACAGCTTTATATATTAGTATAGATACAGATTATCAATTCTTTATTGTCGTTAAACGTCTAAACGTATTCTGGCGGCCCTCTATCAGTTCATGATTTGCCGGAGTGGCCCCTAGTCCTAATAAGTCTGTGCATCCCTGATCTAAACAGTATATATAAAGGTTTTGCCTGTATGATTTCTTTTGAATGGGCTTGATAGGTGGTCAAAGTCTGGAATGCCCCCATTATAATCCGGTATAAACAGTACTGGGCGAAAGATAACGCGGTTAACGATGCTAACCAGTAATGTCTATATATAACCCACAGACGCATAAATAAAGTCGTACTCTCTGCAATGTAGTGATAACCACCAATTCGTGATAAATTGTTTATTATTTATATTATTACACTATTATATCGGTTAAATTATTAACTCATTTGAAAAAGAAATTAGTCATTTTCTAAGCATAACCTTTCATTAATTAATACGTATAATATACATATATGTATATTTTTTTGCTAAAAGTAATAATTATTAAACAACGGAAAACAATATTCAAAGTTTTTGTCAAGACTTTCGATTTTAAATAAAACAACCTTAACGATTTAAAACGCACAATATATTTTAGGTAACTTTTTTTAACTGACGCGAGGTTTTGCAACATTCTAAATAGTAGAAGGAATATATTTTTTCTCGTGACCACGGCTGCTGCAAAGCATCTGAAACGCCGGGCCGAAGTTAAAAATAATTTTCAAATAAGTTTAACTAATATATATCGCGTTTTAAACAGTTAAAGTGTTTTGTTGAAATGTGTACTACTCGTGTAAACTACAGACAGTATTTAAAGATTATATTTGTTGTATGTTCATTGTATTGTCTTTATAAAATACTTCCTCAATTTGAAAACTTTATTATTTTGCACATGAAGGCACTATATAATTTAAAAATTGAAAAAATTTTCGACTCGGGCAGGGCACGGTAGCTCAGTTGGTAGAGCAACAGCACAGAACTCTGACGATGCCGGTTCAAGTCCTGCCCGAGTCGAATTTTTTTTCAATTTACTTTCGATTTTTAAATTACCTCCTCAGTTAAAATTAAAAGAAAAAAAAAACAAAATAGTTCAATAAGTCGTATATTTTTTTATTAAATCGTGATAGTATCGTCTGGTCGTTATTCAAATTAGAACAAACAAAAAAATAAGAAAAATCTATTCTTCTATGTAAACCTATTAACCATAGATTATCAAGACCATATAACTTAGTACGCAAAGGCTTTCGCGCTACCAGTGCATAATCGAACAATACGGATACGGACTACGTAAGGCAGTTCTGAAACGCATCGTACAGTATTTTGTCGGGCGGCACAGCAGCTGGCCGCACGCGCGCCCGCCACTTTTTCACGTTTGTTTACGTTGTGATAATTAAGTTTCGTTTTTGTGTGCGCCCTTGTGGAAATTAATGTAATGCTAACACGATGAAGTTTAAATTCTTCAAGAGGAACCAACCAAAGGTGTGTTTTAGGCTACGTAAATAGATCGCGCTGGAACTAAGCATAAACTATTAAACTGTAGATTTACATTCAGTTTAATATATTAATTATTATCGGAAATGCGTTTTGTTTATATATAGTTTAACTAGCGACCCGACCCCGGCTTCGCTCGCTTTGCTGATATTAAATAAACTACAGAGAAACTGTGAACGTTGTATATAAAAACCTTCCCCTTGAATTACTCTATCTTTAAAAAAAAACATCAATATCTTAGCGTAGTTTTAAAGATTTGAGCATAGATAGGGACAAAAAGCGACTTTGTTTTGTACTATGTAGCGATTAGAGACAGCGGTTTGTCACGGCCCGTTTCATACTTTTTAAATCATCCAAATTGTTTATCGTTGAACGTGTACAGTATTTTTTACGTTAAAACAGTTTTCATTAAAATGCTCGAGGGAAACGCTTTTAATACAGTGTTCGGATTTCGTACATATATTATATTAAAGATGAATGCACCGGTTTGTGGATTCGCTGATAGTTTTGCAAATGTGAAAAATATTTGTTTATTGTATGCATAATATTTTTTGGGCTTATAAAAGAAAGGTTTAACACAGTTATAATTAGACTTAAAAATGTAAGTAATGACGTCATCAAAAAGAGATTATTTATAACATATTTGCAATAAAAATACGCCCACTACACTGATCTAGCTAAGTAGCTGATGATTTACGTGTGTTTTAGAGTTCACAGATATTTTCACAGTATTTGGTTATATATATATTCGCGGCCTCATACGAAATCTGAAAGATAAGTAAATACTGTTTGTAGTTTACTCGCGTAAACTACAAACAGTATTTATATAGTATTTTATAAAACAGTTTAGCGGTTTAAAACGCGATATATTTTAGCTTAACTTGATTGAAAATAATTTTAACTACGATGCTTTGCAGCAGCCGTGGTCTATGCTATGTTATGTATATGTAGTTAAACTGATGCATATCGCGTTTTAAACCGTTAAAGTGTTTTATTTAAAAGATGTAAGTTATAAGATATTGCGTATTGCGTATGTCAAATTAAATTCAAATTAGGAACCGGAAATACGGGATTAACCTTGACGGGCGATGGTTCATGTAAATAGAGCATCGATTACAAACCATTGTGACTTATGGTTCTGATTCATTTCCGATGATCGGATGTCTCGTTAGCGCTGAAAATGAGACATAGGAATTTTATGAGCGGCCCGTAAACAAGTGAGTCTTAGATCTTTACGTCATGTTTGTCAACTGCTGATAAGTCGGTAGTGTAGAGCGTGTATTCTATTTTAGAGACTTTAATTTGCTTATCTGTGCACTTAGTCTCTTCGAGATACATATGGTTTACTATTTTTTATATAGTAATGATTTTTCACATTTAAATGAAGCACTTAAACGGTTTAAATTAGAGTTAGAATTTATTTTAACTACGGCCCAATGTCTCCCGGTGATCATGGCTGTTACAAAAAAATCGAAACGTCGGGCCTTAGTTAAAATAATTTGTAAATGAGTTTAACCGATATAATTCGCGTTTTAAACAGTTAAAGTGTTTTATTTAAATATGTACTACTCGTGTAAACTACAGACACGATTTGTCATATGCTTTTATTGCTACCCTGTCTGGAGGTATAATGGCGTTTTATATTTAAGAAAGTCATCGCTAATTATATTAAGTCAAACAATTTTAACAATTAAACTTTTTTTAAGCAATGTATTTCTGGCGACGGTTTAACTGCGTTTTAAGATCACTGTCCACGAGACCCACCACTGTATGTATGTGTAACTGTTTATCAAAAGTGACTTTTATATTGTTATCTTATTGTAGTCTAATACTTAGTGGTACTAAAAGCCGCCTCTTACAAATCTGTCAGGGGTTTGCATTCTGCCAAACCACGGCATTAATATTCGCAAGGATTTGGTAGGTTTTGGCTGTACAAAAACCATATTAGTGTATCGGACACACTAATGTGTCCCTATACTCTACATAGTACCTGACTTTGTCCTTCACTGCCATGTTTTTGTCAATGACAAGTTCTTTTTCCCACGAGCTTCGAACTCAGGATTCCATTGGTTAAATACAATGAATAGATAGAAGATTCCTTTTTCAAAAGTATAATGCGACAACACAGATCCATTTTTAATTTGCTTACTTTATTTTGCTTTACTTGTATATGTACTCAATATGGCGAAGCGTGTTTCTAGCATAATGTTATTCAGGGCGTAAGGTTGTTTACCTTACGTATCAAAATGCCTGTCTTTGCACGCATCGGATTTCAACTGCATGTCTCGACGCAGTTGCTAACTCGACATACCTATTCACCTAGATAGT